TATTTTATTTCTATTATTTCTATTTTTTTAATTGATTTTTACCTACGTGACTTTACCGAAAAAACCTAAGAGCATGAATCTTTGTAGTCACGAAAGCTTCAAATCTAGAACCATAATAATACTTATTAATAGCTGACAACCCATACGGTTTACCTGTATTCTTGTACAGGGAAATTGTGTTTTTTATGTCTTTGTGTTTCTACCTTATTTATGGGACTTTGTGGGAGGAACGTTGAGGTTTATAAGGAGCACGGAGAGACCTATACGGTCTGAGTTGGTCTGTAATAACGTAGGGCACTGATAAGGGGTTGACAGGAGTGATCATGTATCAGAATATTTATACCGCAGGAAGAATCCGATGAGCTATGAAGCTCTTTATTTCCACAGAACGATGTCCAGTAGGGACAACGGGGTCAGAACGTTGCAACAACAAACAGTACAACAATACGATAGGAGTGCAAAGTATATGAAAAGTAAACATCACTTAAAATATATTGATACAAATAAAACTCAAACTGTATAACAATATAGTCAATAACACAACACAAACTTGCCAGTGCAACCCAGTAGCAGCAGCTGGTACATGTACAGCCTGGTCGTTGTCAATCCACTGCTGGATGAGTGTCTATTTGACAATAACATCACCACGCAAGTCATTGAGGGTTGGTTGAGATAATGTAGAACAATGGACTTTGCCGTACTGCCCTCTACTGCCAAGAACATCGGCAAATGTGTAATGAGTGATAGAACAGTATGTCATATGCGACGTTTCGGGCAATGGCCCTTCTTCACAGCTCGTTACCAAAATCCGGCACCATTTGTTTAGGTCAGTAGGATTTAAATATAGTGCTGGGTTATGAGCAGATGTTATTTACGTGAGTATTCCCATTGACAAAAAAAACACCGGATACATTCGTCAATAACACTGCCTCAAATTTAAAACATTCAATAATCGATATTAATAAAGCATTTCCCGCCTTTGAAGCCACAGTGTTATTGCTGAATGCGTTGAGATTTTGTTGTGTTTTACTTATGCACCCCTGCGACAGCTGTATCACCAAATAATAATTTGCTTCTGTGGTGTAACTTTGATTTGTTTTGCCATTTTTAGTGAAAAGCCAGATCTCTTGCGAATGGGACTGCCCTGGTCTACTTGAATATTCACCTGGTTAAACAAAATAAACTTGAATTACTTAATTGACAGACATCACTGTTTGGAAGAAGGGCCATTTGAAAAATATGTAGTCTATTATAAATGTGTTTTCCGTTTTAAGACCAGCATCATTGACGCATTTGTTGAGTTGTTTCTATTGGAGCCTTTTTGCCAGTATCAAGATAATGGAAAAACAGGGTTTATTATTTACAACAAGAATATAGGAGGTGTTAAGATGTGCATACACTAAATAGACACCTGTCAAAAGGCATCAAGTCTGCATGAACCACACATGCTTGTGGTAAAACGTGCAAATATACTTTGATAATGTGTGCATTGTCCTTGAAACCGATTGGCCTATACCAGAAACAGCCTTCTTTATGGCCTTGTCTCACGAGTGTCAGACCAGAGAATGCCAAAAGGCTAGCGGCACAAATGCAATCTAAATATCAAAGCATTAAATAACTCGAGTCGAGCAGTTATATCTACAGGACCCTTTTGACCGGTATCAGAATGATGAAAAAAATAGGCTTCACCCTCTCCGGCAAGAATAAAGGTGTTAATGCATTAATTATCAAAGCACGTTTGTTTGCATTTTATACAGCAAGCATGTGTAGTCAATGCAGACTTGTTAAAAGGTGTCCATTTGGTGTTTGAACATCTTAACACCTTTATTCTTGCCAGAAAGGGAAAAACTATTATTTTTTCATCATCTTGAGTTTGTTATTTGTGCTTTTACACCACTGATAACTCAACCGCAGTTTAGCACCTGTGGAGGTGTTTAATGTATTTGGTAGGGTGTTTTTATCTCCAGCCTGCAAGCTTTCATTAGGTTTTTACTATATTTACCCTTTGTACAGCACTCTGCAAAAAGTGGAAATTATTATCACCACCGCCATATCCTGAAGCTCCCAAACTCAGGAACGCAAGGCTATTGCTAATAAGACGATCAGAATCATTATATATATTTACGACTGTCTTGAAACCTCTCACCTCTTTAAACTGGCCTTTAACCCCCCACTACTTCTGGCCGTTTAGCCAGGTTCTAATTCCTGCTTTCCATAAACGCCGCATTGGGATCTTCGGGTGAAAAACGCCTTACACATCTAAATTCTTAGTATTATTGTATTTGTTTAATTGTCATTACAGTACTGCATTTGCAAATGTTATTTGTAACTGTAATCCCTAGCCATGCATCGATTGTTCAATTTGAATGTGCAATTAATTGATGGGCTGTGCGTTGTCTTGGTGTGGTCTGGGGCTGTCCTTGCTGCTGTTTTACTGTCTTGCCCAATATTTGGGATTGGTGTACTTTTGCAACTTGAACATACAGTATATACTTTATTTAATTTATTTTTGTGATTTGCTTCCCTTCCCTATACTGTGCACTCCCACCGTGTTTTGTAGTTGTTGTAACTTTCTGATCCATCCCAAATGGACAACTCTCTCATTCTGAGTAAGTCCTGTTCAAAATGGAACCTTTTTTTCCAGTATTAAAGAATATAGAAAAACATTGAATAGGTTTTACTCTTTCTGGCAATAAAACAGGTGTTAAGATGTTCAAACACCAAATAGAACCCTTTTGCAAGGAATCATGTTTGCATTTGTAGTGAGTCGCAGACGTTATTCTTCAGAGGCAACACGTTTATTGTAACACGTATATACAAAGGGGTAACTGCCCCTTTACCAGATACAGCCTTGGGTTGGTGACCACCTAGCTAACTACACTATATTTAGGAGTCACAGCGATGGAATATCGGACCCTCACTCGGGTCCCCGGCCACGTGTTGATGCCTCTTAAGACGTAGGACGTGGAGCTTCCAGCTTGTAGAACAAAACGACCCCAGTCCCTCTCAAGGGACCCACCTTATATCCTCCCGGGTCGGGGCCGGCTCTGCCCTCGGCCCCGCCCAACTTCTCGAGCGTTCCAGCTCTCTCTCGATCCCTCTCGAGAGCTCTCCCCGGACACGTGATTCCCCCCCCCCCCCACCTGGGGCCATCTCTGTGGACACTCCGGATCACGTGTCTACGGGGTCAACCAGAGTGCCATGGCCCGGGGCAACCCTGTCCATGGGCTGACACTCTTCTACTCCCCCGCGTGGGAGCCAGCACTGCACGGTGTGCTATCCCAGCGCTCACTAAGCCCCGCTCGGGCTGGTACTACACCCATCTACGGGGTGTACGCGATGACGGTGCATCGCACGTCGTGCTGTGCTAGAGCCGGCATCACACAGCCACCCACCCGGTGCTGTTCGCGAGGTCAGGACATCGCACGCCACGGCCCTCCTGGGCCGGCACCATACAGTGACATCCCCGACAATGTCACTACACATTAACCACACGTACTTGTGGTGAACATGCAAACTAAACATGCTCTTTGGGGTTGTCCATAAATGACGTCACGCACCTGTGGGGGGGGGGGGTCAGACATTTGTGAGGATGCGTGACGAGAGGGGGGGTTTAGAAATGTGACGTCACATAAAAATGCGCAACTTTAAATAAATATAGACAACACGTTCTACTTCATTAAATATACCTTTTAATAAATGTTTACTCCTACAACATCAGAGCGCATTAAATACGAACTACAATGACAATAGTTTAAAGCGATTTGAAGCCTGTTTTATTTTCAAAATGGAAATATGGTTTTGAGGGGGGGGGGGGGGCAGAGCTTTGTGACGTCATATTTGAGGGGGGGGTCTGACTTTGTGACGCCGTGTGACGAGGGGGGGGTCAAAAATCGTCCAAAATCGCGTGACGTCATTTATGGACGGCCCCTTTGAAACTGATTGATTGGTCTACACCAGAGACAACCTTACTCTTTGGTTATTTCGGTAAAGTCACGTAGGTGAAAATAAAAACAATAAAAAAATAGAATAATAAAAATAACTAAATTAAATGTAGTTATTTTCATTTTATTTTCATTATTTTATTATTCTATGTTTTTATTTTCACCTACGTGACTTTACCGAAAGAACCTTGCAGTCACGAAAACTTCAAATCTAGAAGAGACAACCTTCTTTATGACCTAGTCTCACCAGTGTCAGACCAGAGAACGCCAAAGGCGAACAGTACAAAGACAATGCACTATCAAAGCATTTATAGCTAGGGGTGAGCAGCTACAAAAAGGGAACTTTTTTGCCAGTAGCAAAAACTAAGTTTATCAGCTATTTGAAGATCTTGACACCTGTTTTATTGCCAGAAAGGGTAAATAAAACCTCTTCTTATTTGTTCAAGTCCTAAATCTTGACTTAAAGCTTTCGTTACTGCAATAATTCATATTTTTTGGGTCTTTCTATAAAGTCACGTAGTTAGGTAAAAATAATAATATACTTTTTTACAGCAGCTTTCCCCCTCGTTTTGCCTCCTGATGACGCCCGCTTGTGTTGTGATCGAAACGTCGTAATTTTTATTTTTTATTTTCTTTGAACCTATCAACGTGACTTTACCGAAAGACCCAAAGAATATTTCCAAGTCCTATTCTTAGGTTTTTTCGGTAAAGTCACGTAGGTAAATTTTTTTTATTAATAAAAGTAAAATAAAAAATAAAAATAAAAAATCACGACGTTTCGGAGGCAACACAAGCTTCCGTCTTCAGGTGGAACCGTCACAGCCCGACAGCTGTATCAAGTAATTTTTATTTAACTTTCATTAATTTCAATTTTTTTACCTACGTGACTTTACCGAAAAAAACCTAAGAATATAAATCCTTGCAGTCACGAAAGCTTCAAATCTAGAATATCCAAGTCCTCGTCAGTCTATAAAGAAACACACTCAACAAAAAACGAATCGATTCCCGGATCGACATCAAGTGTCGCTCGAGCTCAAAGAATCGAATCGCCGAGTCTCGTGGTCTTCAGAGAGTTTGCAATGGCGGCGCTCATGGTACCGGGCCGCGTGGTTTGCTCCGCACTGCAGGCGCGGAGGTGGAGAAGCCATCGCTGCTGCTGCCGCCTCCTCCTCCTGTCGCCAACATCGGCAGCGGCGACCCCGGGCGCATCCTCCTTCTCCTCGTCCGCCGTGACGGCTCAGCGCCTCTTAGAAGGCGCCCGGGGCCCACTAGCGCCAAGGTGCGTGGGCCACCCACCTCCCTCCACGCCGCTCTCGCTTTCAATCACCGCTAGGGTGCCCTTGAGTGGTCACCCACGTGCGTTGTCGAGCAGACACCGCGACAGACTGTCATCGTGATGGTGCTTGGCTTGATGATGGTGATGTGTGTAATTGGTGATAGTTGTCGTCATGACGTTCATCGTCGTTTTTACGTGAACAGTTCGCGTTATTGGCGTGAGTCTCGTTAAGAAATCGCCGTCAGATGGTGTTTACTAGATCGTCATCAGATGTGGTTATTGATCATTTTAGGTTCGTAATACGTTGTCGTGGTCTTATGCCTGTAATCAGGCGTCATACGCAGTTATCAGTGATTATCGCCATTCAGCTGCAAGCTCCGTACAGTATCAACCTCCATACAGTATCATTTTTACTCGTCATGATCAGATATATAATCAGTCCGATGGAATCCCAATATAGACTTCATCATATTTTTTTATTATTACCACATGTATGTTTAGTATAAGTTATATAATCAATTAAAAATGTTGTCTTAATTATCGATTAGTACGGTTGGCTACATGCGGTGCAAAAGAAGTTTAACATACATTCTTAGGGGTCACGGTTGAAACGTCGTGTAAAAGTGCTCTTCTCTTGGTGCAAGTTGACCAAGGGCATTCCACGAGGTGACCCACGTGGCCCTGTGCCCTTGAATGAAAATCCAAGTGATCTTATATGCACTCTCACAATAGATTGGCACAGAGCCCTTCTCAGATGTGCAGGTATCTTCCCTTAGTAATTTAAAACAAACACGTTTTGACTGTTCGGAGAGTTTTGGTGCGCAGGACATGTCTCTGGAAAGAATGATGGCCGGTGGTCGAGACAAACGGCGGAGTGGCAGCCAAAGGAGGGACTAGACCAGAGAGGTCGTCCACTGAGGAGACAGGGCGATGAGATGAGCTCATGTGCAGGATCGAGATGGGTTGTTGCAGCGTAGGACCATGATAGTTGGTGATGACTTGGGAAGGCCTTCGCGCAGCAGTTACGGGAATCATGGCTGATTTATAAAGTATATAATTTAACTGATTAATGTGATGCTGCTGGCCACTAGTATGGAAGAGACGTCAAGTACAATACCCTTGTAGATGTTTACCTATTGAATTATGTGCTGTCCCAAGACATGTTTTAAGCTCCATTAATGAGAAAAAAGAGGGAGACATCACTGTACTGACATGTGAAAAACAAGTGATTCTAAGAGTGGTTGAGCCAATAGCCACGACCACCTTAAAACACAGCCTACACTATCCCTCTTAAAGCAAAACCTCAGCTGTACAAGGAGAAAGCCATGCTTGCACTGAATGCATAAGTTATTCAAACTTATTCCAAGACTAAATGATGTTTGCAAAATGTTCCCATAAATTCAGGATAGTCCACTTCAAAAAGCAACAAACAACAGCACACATTGAACCTCAGAAACAGTATCCACATTTATCTTGAGCAATGCCTAATAACATAAATACAACAACTGCCTTAAATTAGTAAACTAATAGTTATTAATTTCCAGGAAAAGCCTCAAGACTCATTCAGCAGAGGCCTCCGTTTTTGCAGTACGGAATGACAATTGCCATGTGTTTCGAAATTAAAATAATTTGTGAGTATTCTTGTTATTTTACAAACTTGGACAAGGACACCAGCACACGTGACTACTCTTTTCCGAATTACATCACAGGATCTTTAACGTCCACGGTGGAGCATATATTTACGTTTAATGCACCCACTGTATTAACCAGGGTGACTGTGCGCTTGAATCACAGGCCTCTGAAACAAGTGGTTAAATGCGCTACCGCTGAGCCATGTCACCACTAATTCCTTGTGCACTATTGCCATTTCTGCAAGGGGAGATAGGGCAGTGCTCTGAATTTTAACTGACTAATATTGTCATTTATATTTTGTGGGTTGGGCTACAGTGTAAATGTATGTGTTTTTCATTATCCATGTGTTTATACAGTCCACTGCCGAGGATAATTGAGAGCTGATTGCACTTTAATTGTGTCTTTGCAGTAACTTAAATGCACTTGCAATCCATTCCTGCGATGGCAATGCGCATGTTTTCCAGGCTGTCACACGGACTGCGGCCACTGAGCACAGTGATGACCCACCAGAGCTTTGATGTGAGTAAATCCATCCCGGCGGTCCAGGCCAAGCAAGTGCAGCAGTTTGAATGGGCCCTCAACCAGCTCGACTCGTCTGTGAGGCGCACGGGACGCGTCACCAGCAAGATGCTTCTCGACGTGTTCCATGACATCTGCCGTTCGGGCTATCCGAGCGCCAACCAGGCCCTGCTGCTCATCCGCAGCTGCGGAACCCTGCTGCCGGAGGAGCTGCCCGAGAAAAGGACAGAGCTGCTGCATAACTTCTGGAACAAGCTGAAGGAGCTGGGTCAGTTGATGTTGCATTGGTAACCGGTTCGTGTCTTCCAGTGGGGCAGTTGGCAAGTTTCTTAAAATCCCTGCCTCTGTCCAGACTTTAGTCTAAATGGGTACTCCACAGTTAGTCGATTGGCAGGTAAAATTTTTACTTGAAACTTTCATGACTGCAGGAATTCATATTCTTGGTTCTTTCGGTAAAGTTACGTAGATAGAAAATAAAATAAAAATAATTTAAAAATATGAGCAAACAACCACGACGTTTCGATCGCAACACAAGCGGTCTTTATCAGGCGGAGAGAAAAGATGAAGACAGCTTGTGTTGCGATCAAAACGTGGTTTTTTGCTTTTATTTTGAATTAAATTTTTAATTAAATGTTTTGTTTTATTTTCTACGTACGTGACTTTACCGAAAGAACCAAGAATATGATTGCCAGGTTGTATGAGGTGTTGCTAGGCCCACCTCTTTCAAAGGCCAAATACTATTTGATTGAGCTTTTTATAGCTCCCATGAGCAAAGGCTCCTTTTGCCAGTGGTCACGTGAGAAAGCAGTTGCAGGGATGCACCTGTACTATGCCACATAGCAAATAGCTTTATGAGTACATTTTCCCCATATCGTATAATAATATTTGACAGTACCAAAATATGAGAATTGGTTTTCCCCTTTTTTCTGGCAACAAAACAGTTGTGTTAAGATGTTAAAACGTCAAACTGAAACCTTTTGCAAGGAATCATGTCTGCATTAACCACAATGCTTGTGGTCAGCAACAAAAAAACTTCCTCTGATAATATATGCATTGTCTTTGAAACTGATTGGTCCATACCAGAAACAGTTTTCTTTTATGTCTCAACGGTGTTAGACCAGAGGACACGACCAGAGGACACGACCGTTTAAAAGACAATGCATATATTATCAGAGTATACTCTTTGGTTCTTTCGGTAAAGTCACGTAGGTATAAAATAAATCCCGACGTTTCGATCACAACACAAGCGACCGTCATCAGATGGAACAGATACAGCAGGAGAACTGCAGTTATCATATGCAGATCTGCACCTGAGATTTCTTGTTGTTGTCTAAATCGTTCACAATTTTCCGCTTAGTTTGCAGAGGTAATTTGCTCCCTTACTAGATGACGCCATGGTTGACTTAGAAGAGCGTGCAGCATCACCTCTAATCAACACGAGAATACTGTGTTTTCCTGCAACTATGTTATAATAGGGGATCGTTAGAAGCATGCTTCATTGTACTGCAGTAATACTGTACTCTGTATACAGGTATTTGCACATTTACAGGTCTGCAAGATATCCCATTTGTCAAAAAAATAATTGAGATAGATAATATTGCAATCCCTTGCTGGATAAGAGCTTCCCCCTATTTCGTGTAGGGTTTTTGGGTCATTTGACCTGGATATACATGAATCAGTGGGAGTTGGTGAAGGGGATCATAACAATTGAGGCATAGCACGTTGCAACAATGATTTTACTGCACTGCTCACAGGTGCCTACCATGTGTCCAGGTAGCCTATAACTAGTATTATGTATGACAGTCGCCCATCCATGCAGAATCCGGGCTCGATTTTGCTTGGCTTCGGGTGCATTACAATTGATTGGGAAGAGGATTTGTCTCAAAATGTTAATGGTAACTTGCTGCTGTACTTGTGTGTGTAACTAATTAGCATGTTGTACTGTGTGGCTGTGCAGGTACTGTGTTTGATGTGAGCCACTACAATGCCCTGATAAAAGTCTACCTGCAGAACGAGCACAAGTTCTCGCCCACTGATTTTCTGGAAAAAATGGAGAAAGAAGGAGTAACGCCCAACAGGGTAACGCATCTCATTGACTGCATGACGTTGACCACATTCTCTCCAGTTTTGTGGATGAATTGCATCTAGCGAAATCTATTTTACCACCATGCAAATTGGAATTAATTTGCCGTTGATGGTTTTTGCACAGGTCACTTACCAGAGGTTGATTGCTGCCTACTGCAACGAGGGTGATATTGATGGTGCAAGGTACGCTTTTTATTTTTCCTTGGTAAATGTACCACACTATTATATATAGTTTAATTAACGAAATACTAGATACAGAAGTCTCTCGATTATTCGCGCTAATGAGAGGGAGGACGGCCGCAGATTCTAAAAAATCACGAATAATAAAAAAAAAAATCCATTTTCCGTGGATCTCCATGCCAAAAACCACTAATATAGGTATAAATGGAAATTTCCACGATAAATGGTCAGATAAATCACAAAAATTAAGCACAACTGACGATTTTGATTGTTAATCTTTCGATTTAGAACGAATACTAACGATCGACCGACCAATCAATGCACGTGCTCAGCGATAACACTTTCCTGCTCCCTGCGCAGAAGACTCTGCGCACTAAGTGGAAAGCAGAGCCACACCAATCAAAATCAATCAAATTCCACCCTCTGTTGTAAATGTATGCAACTACTGTACTGTAGACGCGATCACGTGGATTTTAGATTAACTGGAGCACATATTTGTTGGGTTTAAGCACGTGACTTGTAATACACATTCACAGGAATAACGAAAAATAACTGTTTTTAGATTATTAATTTGGGCTTAAGGGAAAATCCATGAGTTATTAATTTATGTCAAAATCTCAGGTGCGCGGTTAATCTGCAAATCGGATAAACCGCACGTGGATCAAAGAGAGTCTACTGAAAACACTCTTAATTCCTTTTAAATCGTGTGTATTGTGTGGTTCCTTTTTCAGCAAAATCTTGGGATTTATGAAAAACAAAGACATACCCATCACAGAACAAGTTTTCAACTCCCTTGTTACAGGCCACGCAAAAGCTGGGTAAGCCTACTGTCTGCCTGACAAACTAATGCACATGACTGAATGAACAGAACAACAGTGTGTATGCATTGAATTGCATGCAAATCCGTTGTATATTGAGTTTGCTCGGTTCCTGAAAAGGTTTTTCCAAAGTGACTGATGCCCTGATGTTGATTGCTTTTCTCAGTGACATGGAGAATTCACTGAAGATCCTCTCAGTGATGAGAGACGCGGGCATTGAACCTACCTCTGAAACCTACTTGGCTCTGCTCATTGCCTACGCCGAGAGAGGAGACATTAAGAGCATTACAGAGGTGCCAATATAAACAACAATGAAAACTGCGTGAACACATGCATTATTTTGCGAAAAATTCTTCACTTCCTTAGAAGCAATATCAAACTGCTGATGAAACGCCTCACTTAATTTATAAATGCTCAAAACAGTTGACAAAACTATGCATGTTACTGCAGTAGATTTTCGCGGTTGTGCTATATAGCTCTACAATGTGTTTTCTGTTGCAAATCCTGCTGGTCAACCCACGGTACAACCTGAAAACATTAGAAATCATAATCTCTGCATAATTTATTTTCTCTGACATTAATACAATTATAGCATATGGCTGTATTTGTAGCTGTCTGAATGTTTCTGTCGTAACCATAATCTGATTGTGAACCCATGTTGTATTGCAGCATTTCATCACGATGGAGAAGAACAATAAGAGCCTCATGGATCGCGATATCATGCAAATTATTTTTTCCTTGGCCAAGGCTGGGTTTTCTGATCAGGTGCAGGCCATAGTGGGCCACATGCGACATCAACCTGGCTTCATTCCAGGTGCGCAACGCTTTAAAGTTTATCCTTAATATAACAAAACATATAAGCGTACTCTTTGGTTCTTTCGGTAAAGTCACGTAGGTATAAAATAAAATAAATCACGACGTTTCGGGCGCACCAAACGCATCCGTCATCAGGTGGGAAAGCATGGTTTGCTGCTGAGGCAGACTGACCCTTGGGCTACACCCATTTCAAACCTTTTAAATCAGTCTGCCTCAGCAGCAGACCATGCTTTCCCACCTTCATGACAGACGCTTGTGTTGCGCCCGAAACGTCGTGATTTGTTTTATTTTATACCTACGTGACTTTACCGAAAGAACCATAGAGTATGGATTCCTGCAGTCACGAAAGCTTAAAATCAAGACATGTTAACATATTGAAAAGTATTTATATTTGACAGTATACTGATGGATTAAGCTGTGTTGGGCATGCCGGTTGTTTGACCATACTTCATCAAGTTGGACAGGGCATGTAGGTGAAGTGGCTGGGACCCAAGACCGGGTTAAGATATCATTCGCCACCGATGCGAGCCATTGCTGAAAATCGAACTCTGGTTGATGGTTTTACATTGCTGTGCGATAGCCACTTCCCCACCGCTCGACCGCATTTAATAGTTTCCTTGTGCGACTAAAATGTAAGAGGATGCATGTGTGATTTTAATATTAAAGGTGTTTTAAAATGTGGATAGCTTATACAAATATAATTTACTTTTATTTGCAGCTTTCAGAACTGTACCAGCTGCTGCTAAATATTTCATAAAACTAGTAGAAAGATTAAATGGCTTTAATAAGGAAAAATCAGACTGATTCGTTTATTTCGCTTATCACTCAAATAGCATAAAACTCCCAGTCGAATGGATTGTACATTATTTTCTGATTGTTATCCCTTATTTACTCCTTCGATATTCAGTTTTGCAATTTGTTTGCTATTTTGCAGTGTTCAGCTTGTTTAAAGGGGAAAAAATTACCTGTAAAAACAAAGTTTTTCACTATAAATCCTTTATATGCGTGGCGACTAGAGTCCTCTCGTCCTCTGGCTTGAGATGGCTGCCACCTATGGGTCAAATAATTGCCTGCCACCATTAAGCAATTGGTAATTAAATTTAATTTTTTTTTTCCTAAAAAGTGTAAAATTTTGGAAAACATTTTTCACGAAAATACATTGTCACGCACAACGAGTCTGTGTGCAAAATGTCAACTCGATTGGATCACGGGAAGTGGGTAAAAAACGACCGAAAGATTTGCACGGTCGTAAGCGCGCAAGCAAGTGAACTTAATATAAAGGATTTAAAACAAACCTCTGTCTCTTTTCTCTTTCACCCTTTTTGGGGAAGCAGATGCCATGAATCTTTGTTTGAATCTGGTGACGCACGGGTTGGAGGACACGGCCTTCGAGGTGCTCCTCTCGTTCCCAGCCCTGCGCATTAACCAGGACAGCTTCATTGGAAAGTTCTTCCTTCGCCACTGTGTCACCCTCGACAGGGTAACGTACAATTGCTTTGACATTTTTCATTCGTTTATGGGGAGGAGAACGGGATTTGTCATTGTAATCAATCTGGGTGACACAACTCAACAAGGTGGTCGCTCTCATTACTTTCTTTTCAGCCAGTGGAGAAACTCGTGAAGTTCTGTGACACGCTGCAGGAGAAACAGATGCACACCTCTGCCCTCATGTTCACTCTCCGCTGTGCGTTGGAAGCAAATAACAAGGGTGGGTGTCAGATTTATGTTGTGCCATTTCTCAAATGGACCATATCACCTTTTAGTCTAATATCCATCTGATAAGTAAATGCATGGACAAGCATGATAGATGAATGTAAATTGACAAAAATAGTGTAGTGTGCTTGTAATACATTTCTTTGTTGTTTTTTTGTTCATGCTCAGATATGGCAGTCCAGCTGATGAAGCACGCTTCCAAGACAGGCCTGCCCGTCAGGCCACACTTCTTTTGGCCGCTCTTGACACACGAGCAGAAATTGAAGAACCAACAAGGTAGGCATTGATTCTTTACCTTCTTCATTGGGGCAAAATATCCTCTGGCCAGCTTTGTGTTTTGTGGCATTTTAACCTGGGATGGTTGTTTTTAAATCCTTTATATTAAGTTCACTTGCTTGCTTGCTTGCGTGCTTACGACCGTGCAAATCTTTCGGTCGTTTTTTAACCCACTTCCCGTGACCCAATCGAGCTGACATTTTGCACACAGACTCGTTGTGCGTGACAATTTATTTTCGTGAAAAAAAATTTCCAAAATTTTTCATTTTTTAGAAAATACCAATGTGATAAAAATGAAACTCTTACTCAAGAAAAACAGAAATGAATAATAAAATAAAACCGATGCCACGTATATAAAGGATTTATAGTGAAAAACTTTGTTTTTACGAGTTAATTCTTTTTTGTTTATTTGCTGTGGGCCACTGATTAAATCTGAGTTAATGCAATCAATGTTGATATGTTTTTGGCCACAAATCTGGGTTTAAAATTTTCCCAAAACTTTGCCCGTTTTTGTGACTGCTAACAACATTTTAGTGCTGTTTTAACAGGGCACGTTTATGCACTCGGATTGTATTTTAACAATGGGAATTCGTTGGCTTGGAAAGAGTTAAAACTTGGTACTTGGTCACATATAGTAGATCACACTGGTCTAATTAGAGTTTTACAATTTGGCCAGTCTGGTGTGCATTGCAAGCATTCATCATGTATTAGAAATTGCCTTTCTGTTGTTTTGGTAATTCTGGGTTGCACGTGCCCCTTGCAAGCGGCGTATTGCTCATTATTACAAGTGTCATGAGTCACCTCCCATATCATCCAATGAATTGACATGATTCAGGGTTGCGATTTGATTTCAGATATTTGTTTTTACATTGCTGAATATAACAGCTTATAGTGGCTGAAGGGATGATATTAACCCGTGGCAACATATTGGATTGAAAACTTTGATTCTTACGCACGCATCGCGATCTTCAGAATCTATATCGGTTGACATCACGGCTGTCCTCATGCTTTGCAGGGGTTTTGGATGTGCTGAAGGCCATGAGAGACATGGGTGTGGAGCCCAACCAGGAGACCTTCACCTCCTACGTTATACCCGTGTTCTCATCCTACGCTGAGGCCCGAGCCAAGTTTCAGGTGAACCCCTAATCGCTGGGCTTTTACGGCACCCAACGCCGTGATGGCGATTTAACGTGTGTCATTCTAACCCTGGCACCTGACACACAGCCTTATTTCTCAGAAATCTTCCTTAAAATAACATTGATAATTGATTGCACATTGTCAAATGGGGGGGGGGGGGGACTTTTACCATACTTCACTATGCTGGTCAGTGCAAGTTGGCGAATGGTTGTGGGGGACAAGGATGGTTCATATAGCGTGCTAGCGGTGGCCGGAAGTCGGTAACATGAGGGGTAATGCCGGTCCAGTATACATATACAAACCCAAAAACCTCAGCTGTTAGGTTATGGCTTGTGATTCACTATCTTTACGGTATGCATCGGAATGTTTTTCATTATTCGCAGCCAGACTGTCAGTTACTGGCCTGCTGTGCTTATTTTGTCATCCGCCTGTGTCTGTGTTACACGCTTTGTCTTTCACAATAGAGTCAGCTGTGCTCACTCTCTTTATATCAATCGTAAGAGCTGGTGATAGACGTGATGTCAGTATGAGACAATGAGATAACAGTGACGAGAAACGATGTTTAAAGGTGTGACTATGATGTGTGATGTGTGCAGGAAATAGGCTTGACCCAGGAAGAAACGGCCGTGGCAGAGATCAGATACATGGCATTTTCTGGGAACCTAGATCAGATTTATGACGTGTGTACGTAAGATTCACTTTTTTCCTATCACATATACAATTGTAGCTCTGCCGAACACTTGTATTTTAAAGAACTGGTGCTTTTCAGAATGTGCAAAAATTCAAGTTGGTAGCATGTTGGGAAGTATGCTAAACATTTCGAACAGACACATCCACAAATTTCCCTTTTAAATATATTTAATATCACATGTGTGGAATTAAGATGCGTGCATTAACACAGCTTCACCATACCCGCCATTATCTTTGTTTAGCTCTTGTGGTGTACAGACTAAAATTGCTTTAATTTGCGTAGTTTCGTTATTCGTTGCACCTTTCAGGAACGCATCCCCGACGTAACCCGGGGTATTGCTACATGTTGCCGTCTGCTTGTGTATTCATATCACAATGCTGTCTTTGTTTTTTGCAGTGTCCTCCCCCAAATTTCCACCTACAGACATGAACACCTTTAGGGGAAGTCTCACAATGGCGTTCAGGAAGTAAGAAGCACATTTACCGTCTGTTTTAAAACAAACAGCTAAAATGTACCAAGGCCGTAGCCATGGAGTCAACGTTGGGGGGGACCAAATCTTCCAGGGGTTCTGGGGGTCCTCCCCCAGAAAAAAAAAAAAATCTAAATTTGAAAACGAATTTCCTGCCTAAAATATAAAAAAATTCACTAACACATGGGATGAACTTTATATTTATTTTTAACAATAATGTCTAATAGTGTATTGTATTACATTGCTCATGTTTTTTCTTGTATGTAATGGCATAGATTAGGGATTTATAAAGTACAACCATAAACACAATCATATAAATAGAAATCTATTTTATAGCAATATATTGAGGGGGGACATTTATGGCCTTGAAATGTACTAAACGGCAACACTCATTAACAAACTGATGCATTTCGATTTAAAGCTTTTGTGACTGCAGGGATTCATATTCTTGGCTCTTTCGATAAAGTCACGTAGAAGGGAAATAAAAGTATTTATTATTATTTTATTATTTCCCTTCTACGTGACTTTACCGAAAGAACCAAGAATATAAAACTGATGCATGCCTGTCAAAGCAAGATGTGCGTGGTTGATTGTATCGTTTTGTATGTGCTGCCACCTGCAGGTCTAATGATGTGGCTTGCCAGAGCAAGGTAATGTTTCTTTTATACAACACTAGCTTTACTACCCGGCTTTGCCCGGGACTTGGATTCTTGTCTTGGATTAATACACGGCCTACGCGGAGGGGGGGGGGGATGCGTGACGTCAGCCGTCGCACTGCGTGACGCTGCCGCATGAGGGTGACCTCATAGATGTGACATCACCGCTCACTTGCCGTCCAATAGAAATCCATTATTGCGCCCCACCCCCCCAAAGTACAAAAGTATATTTTTATACTTTTTAAATTCTGTACAGTCTGGAAGCTACCCACATGCCAAATTTAAAGTTTGTTGCATGTTGGGAAGTATGCTAAATATTTCGAACTGACACACATTCACAAATTTCCCTTTTACATGTATCGATTTCCGAAAGGCTTCAGTTGTGTAGCATTGGCATCGAAGGCTCATACGTGCAATCTGAATGCTAAATCATTTACTTGTGACACTTTTGAGTCTGATGCTTTTTTGGAGAAATTTTGTTTAACGGAAGCCATCCGTCGAATACTTATTTTTTTGCTTTTTTAAGTTACCCATCTCATTGTGTTACAAAGTTATATCAGAAATGTAAATGCGAGCATATACAAACGTATATTATTTACATATATCGTATATTTAATAAATGGTAGTGATGTGATGTGTCCGTATTGGTTGTTTGTGCTAACCTTTAATTGTAACGTCTCTCTAGATCACAGAACTGCTCTTCACGGACTCTCGGTTCAAGGGTAGCTTTTCTGTCCAGGGTAAATATATTTAAAAAAGGCTTTTACAATACTTAAGCTTAAAAAAAAAACCACGTTAAATAATTTTACAGTTGAATTTTATACATATTTCTGAAATAAATATTAAATGTATTTTACGAGGTTATTTTTAGAGTTCCTTCTTGTGGAAACCATTCCGTCAGCAAGTGGTGTGAGCAAGACATTTCAGTTCTGCATCTTTTCCTGCGTTCAGTAGAATGTTGGAATTAATCATTGGTTGTAATGTCCATGCCATCAATCTGTGTGTTTCACCAGAGTCTTTGTCCTTCTTCCTGAGCAACCTTTTGGAGTCTATGTCGGCGGAAGACATACAGAGGAAAGAGACGCACCTTCACACGTACTTTCAGAAGCTGAAGTCCATGGTGCGTTCCACTTTACGGGGCTGAAGATCCATTGTTGTTCTCAGTCATTGTAGCTCTTGGGGCCATCACCTTCACGCTTCAATGCACACACGCTGATACTGAATTAACGCATATGGAGCTTATTCGTCTTTAAGCTCAGCTGAGTTATTTTTGTCGCCTGAAACAGAACTTGAAGATCCAGATGAAAGGCTTTTATGGATTAAAAAACTTGCTGGATACTCGTAAAGCTCCGGGGCTCACTAAGGTGAGTGATGGCCAAAGTCACATTGCAGCATTTTGATGTTGGAGGTTTCACTGTCGAGTCTAAAAATATATAAATGCAACTCAGAATGCTCCGTGTGTGAATCGGAATGATTGTGGGATTTTTATGTTTTCACATGCAGGATGTTTACCTACTCGTGGAAAATGCTTCAGCCATGAGTGACCACAATCCCTTTTGGTGAGTAACACTACTCGTGTCTCATAAGTCCCCTCAACTGCCTGCGTGGTGCACATTCACACTTAGTGTCAATCAAACCTAGCTTCCTTCCCCCAGTGCTTTGTTCAAAGTTCACGGAATATTTATTTTTGAGAGCACATTACAGTTATATGCACACCGCAGCTTGCCATCTACAGTGAAATGAAATGTATTTGCAGTGCGAATGGGAACACTTAAGAATTAGCATATTGCAGGGGATTTGACCAATTCTTAATAATTTGTACTAGGCTTAAACCCAAAACATGGTGTTAACACCCAAGCTATATATAGACATGCCATCTGAGCTTTATAAATATCTGATCTTTTAAATGTTCATTGCATTTTGTCCAGTTACCATTCATCTCTATTGTGATTAAGCCCAATAAGTGGCTTTAATACATCTTATGCGTATTCAAGGGCATCACAAAATGTTTCAAATCCTCTGGGTGGATAGGATTTTAGGTTAAAATTTAATCTGTACGACAGAATGTCTTGCAATACAACACACGCCTTGATGCTGGAGCATTGGTTGAGGTTTTTCTTAAGAGGTCAGAGTGCTGCTCTTGACTTTGCTTGCTGGCAGTATAGCTGATGCAGTGGTTGTTGTTAATGAGAAATAGAGTGGAACAGGGAAGCAAGAAGCGTCTGAGTTGGTCTGTGTGTACATACACGTGTTTGCACATTTCCGTTTGCGTGTGGGGGTCTGCGTGTGCGTGGTATTATTACGTGTGTATGGTATGTCGGTGCTACTCGCTAACAGCACTTGCCCCAACAGTCTGTTCAGACTATACCTCCAATTACCACGTTTGTTTATGTATGGTGCGAAGTAAGTTCAACATACATAGAAGTGGTAATATGGGGACAGTAGTGCAATGGTTAGCATTCTGCGCTTCTAAACTAAAACATTTTTAACTCTTTTTATTTTAGCAGGTAAGGCCCACTGAGCTATATCGAATTTTTTGAGGAACGACCTGGCCACAAATGATAGCTCAACGAAGTAGCTTGTGTGTAAATTTATAACAGCCAAATACTCTAAATACATGTTAATTCGAAATGTGGATGGAAAAACTGGAGGACCCAGAGAAAAATCCACATGACCACGGGGAGACATGCAATCTCCAAATATGCAGGTGTCCGGGTCGACCTCCTGCATGCCAGGCGAGGTAGTTAACATCTCCTAGCCACCGTGGCACTTCAAACCCGGTGACTCGAGTTTGATTCCGGCTCGTGGCCAATGCCAGTGATGATTTTCTGAACAGGTCCTGGGCCTTCCCTAGGTCGACTCAATAAAAGCACTTGCCACAAAAAATCTGTTTATGTTATATGGGGGTCTTTTTCTTCATATGGTATGCTTTGTGTATAATATTTCTGTGCAGCAAAAATCCATTGTTGCACTTTACTTCTGTGCTCCCAAGTCTGCTCCCCACGTTCACCAACCCACATTAACCACCATGCTGAAGTATGGTGACATAACCCCCATGACCCAGACGTTGTGGACAGGCCTTCACCCAGCAGTCGAATAACAAAACCTGTAGATGTACTTTAGTACAAGTCATGTTAGCCTGTTTAGACCCATTACAGAAATGTGTGATGTGGCCACCTTCTTCACTTGTGGAAGATGAGTGACGAGCCTAACTAAATGCGACCGTGGCTATTAGTCCCATACCCAGGAACATATAGTGTAAATCTGCCCACTAGAATCTGTTGTGGGAGGAACTTAATTTCTCCACTGAGCGTCTCAGGAATCCATTGAGTGGATCACCAAACTAGACGTTCCATTATAAGCATTTCCTATACGAAAGAAGGTGCAAGTCTACAAAATAGATGCACTATTATGTGTGCATGCTTGTGTGAGAGTTGGAATGAGAGAAAATTAAGTTAGCCCTGTACTTGTGTATTTTGTGTGGAGTGTGGACTGACATTTGGTAGGCATAGGCGGCTGTGTACTAGTACTGTAGCTATTTAGGAATAGGCTCATGCCTGACAGTAATTTCATGAATGGTTCTAAACAGGCTAACAAGAAGCCATTTGTGCTGGGGTTGCAGAGTGAGACAGAGGAGAAGCTGAAGCACCTGAAGGAAGAGGGGCTGCCCTTGGAGGAAACCTTGCGCAATGTCATCCGCAACTTGTGCAGCCAGCAGGTGCGTCGCAGATCTTCCTTGGACTTGGCGTGACTGCAGTCAATCTCGGGGGGGGGGGGGGGGGAGTGGGGGGGTTATTTCGGCGGGTGACAGCCCATTGAGCTTCACGATCTCCTTTGTGAAGGAAATGTTGGAAAATTAATTTGCTGTGGGACAATCGCGATTTTTACTCCTGTGTTTTATTGTGGCTAACATTTTGGGTTAATTGCATTTTAGTGCTGACACAATGGTGCCTATGCTGCAGTAATAACGCTGCCAAGTAGTTACATGCCGCAAAATAGAATGTCTGTGTTATAGGTAAACATTTGCCTTCAGGTTAATCCAATTCATATTCCTCTGTCATCGAGCTTTTGGGAGTGTATTCCTCACAGTTGGCTGAAAGTAGTCACTTGAATGAATTTCGGAAGTAGTTTTGTCCAATAGAATCAGAATTGTTATTTAGACTGGAGGAATCCGATGAGCAATCAAGCTCTTTCACAGATGTCCTGTATACCGGGTATTCACTGCTCTCCAAGAGTTGCAAATAGACACACTTCATTAGACGAAGCCGATGTCAAATTTGGAATAAAATTATTAAAGAACAGACACAAATGTAGTCCTTGACGTTTTCATGCAACTATGGTTTACCTTCTGGAAATGTTTCCATTTGGCAGAACTTAGACAGAGCCCTGGAGGTGAAGTCTGAGTATTCGGCCAACATGGTGGTAGCAGGGTACGCGACGCTGCTCAAGCATTGTTGTGAGCAGGGGCAACGTCACTGAGGCCTGGAATATCAAGAAAGAACTGTAAGTGGGATTTCCTTACAGCAGAACAATGTTGAATGTTGAACCACGGTAAAATAGTAGTTGCATTGGTGAATATTAAGGCGCAGCCTTGCAATTGCTTGACTCGTGCCATTGCTGGTGGAAGGACCTCCACTTAGAGAGAGCTCTAGACAGCCCCTATAGATTCTAGATTTGAAGCTTTCGTGACTGCAAGGATTCATATTCTTAGGTTTTTTCGGTAAAGTCACGTAGGTAAAAAATGTAAATTAATAAAAGTAAAATAAGGAATAAAATAAAAATCACGACGTTTCGGAGGCAACACAAGCTTCCGTCTTCAGGTGGAACCGTCACAGCACGATAGCTGTATCAAGTGATGCCTCCGAAACGTCGTGATTTTTATTTTACTTTTATTAATTTTAATTTTTTACCTACGTGACTTTACCGAAAAAACCTAACAATATGAGCCCCTATAGAGTTAATTTAGCCCACTTCTTCATGCTGGACCTTGGGATAGGTTGGAGCACCCACACTATACCCCCGCCACGTGTTACCGGCCGATTGACGAACTGTGCTGGACCCATTTACACTGCTGGGTGGGCGCGCTGATTGACGAAACTTGCACCATCGGTTCAACGGTCGCGCCTGGCAGATTAAATTGGCGACCTCTGCATTGCAAGTCCGGTGTGCTCACCATCGCACCACACAGCAGCCAACCCTAGGTTCATGGGTGTTGCATTTTAATTGGCTTGCAAAGTAATATTAATTTTACCAAGTTGAGAAGTGAGAAGTTTCTGCTTCTTGAACGCCTTAACCCGGTAAGCACAATTCTCACTTGATTTATAAGAGGCTGCTATTTGTGAATACTAATGCTCGCCTATTTTGTTCAGCTGTATTGCTTCAGCCATACAGAACATACTTTCATTCACCTCTGATTCAAAAGTCTTTGTACTTTAAGAAAGCAAGTATGCTGAAGCTGTTATTTGAAAATACATTTTAAAAAGTGAACACACAGTGACTGTAGGTGTTATAAAACATTTTTGCTTTGTTAAGTACCGTCATGCAATTTCTTTCAGAGACCGTTTTGACCCGAACGCTGTTCTCGGTGTGTCCAAGTACATTCTGCTCTTGAAGCTCCTCGCCACTCATGGGATGGTGCAGGGTGAGTGAGCAGCTGAATTGCACACTTTTTTTTGTTGCAAAAGTCTTAAGAGAGAGAGAGAAAAAATATATATTATTTATTACGTACCTCCGGTGGGATTTTACCATCAATAATAATTCAAGTATATTTTGTTTAACCAGGTGAGAATTGAAGAGACCAGAACAAGTCTTATTCGCAAGAATGACCTGGGGGATTAGTCTGTCAGTAGTTGGCGATGATTGCTTTATGTAAATGGCGGACAGACAATGGGCTACTCTTGCAAATATAAAATAAGGAGAAATATTTTAACAACATTTCCTTGGGTTTTCCATTTGCATACACACCTATATTTACACATGGCCTTAATTAATGTTCTGCTTTGGGGTGTTAGATGGGGAATTTACAATTGTTTGAAATCTCCATATCCATGTGTCTGATGACCTGTGCTAGTCAAAGTCATTGGGTTTCAATGACACAAAGGTTCACAATACAGTTTCAGTGCTTGACACTTTAGGTGGAACCTTTAAGCGTAACTTTAATAACAAATTTGGCTTGTGTTTTTTTATCTATACGTAAACCACATTTATGTGAATGTACAAGTAAGATGCCCTTGGCCACTTTCTAGTAACCAAATGCCATCCAAACATTATTTTACGTGCATTTCTGCACTAAATTGCTAAATAGTTGGCACACACAAATACTACGCTTGCCATTATCATTTTTACTAATGCACACCATTTTGTGTAGGAGTCCTGGTTGGAAATGCTGTTACAAATGCACCCTTGTTTGTGTTAATGCTTAAAAGTTACACCAAATGAAGCATTCCAAATCACATTTTGGTCATGTCAAGTGACATTTTAGCTGTTTTCGTCATTAGCGCATGTATTGTGCAGCTGTGTTTAACGAATTAACTAGGCACATTTCTGCCAGTTTACCCTCCCACCACCCTCGCGCCCTCCTCCCCCTGCCCCCACTCCTCTCCTCCTTCCACCCCTCGGCTCCCACCCCACTTCCTGCATAAATGTAGACGTAATTGCTATTAATTACCGGTGCAAATGGCTTTGGTAAAAAGCCAGCTGCAGAGCGCATTTGCACTTTTAGTTTGGGAAATGAGTGCGATTATCAGCGGGTTGCTGGGCCATCTTGGGCGGTAATGACACGGTTTTGCACAAAATAATTCCCAGTGTGGATGACCAGTTGTGGCCTGTGGGGCCGCAGTGAAGCTGCAGTCTCCGGCCACTGAGTATTTCATTAACCTGATGGTGAGAAGCCGTTACCAGGAGATCCAGCACCCCAGACGCATAGACGTGGTGCATTCAGCCTGCTTCTATAATTATGAGTTACAGAGCTAAAGCTGTTCTGAAATAATGGAGAGTGAAATGTATTGGGGGTTGTCTTTTAAATTAATATTCCTTTGGGTAGTTAGAAAGATTTAATTGGACAGTTTTGGCATGCGTGTCTGGGATGAATAAATATGGTTTAAATTTCATTCCCTTTTTGCTGCAACTGCAAATCTGGAATTGCTTATCTGGCACGTGAATACCTTGTAATTTCCATGGCCCCTGGAAACTGTGGTCTGCTGGTCCAGGAATGACCCAGTCCTGGCCTAGGACCCGCTCCATGAACCATGAGGCAATTTTGGGTTGATCCATCCCTACTCTTACCCTGCCACCCCCCATGTTCTCCACTCCCACTGCCACCCAATGGCTTGGATTTAGGGTTTCAATTTTTTTTTTAAAGTAATTTTAAGCAATGTTTTACCTAGGCCTAGGTTTGGTTAAAATCTATGTTCTAATTTCCCATGCATGTTTTACATTAACATGGCTTAACAATCTAACTGAGTGGCGTCACGGAGCACGCTTCTCATTTCTGTGTTGTCTCCACGATGTACGAGTGGTTTTGAGCTCAGGCCAAGTACAAGTGTGTAGTGTCGGTTATTGAGGCATACTCAGGATTCGAGGTGCTGAGCTCTGAAGTGGGGGGTTCGCTCAGGAAGGGATTGCTGTCGGAACATGGAGTTTTCCGAATGCAAGATCTGAGCCCACACACTTTCCACTGGCTGTGAAAGTGACAAAACACTACTCAGCAAATATGTGTTGCACATGTTGAATGATTCAAGTGATCTAACGGTTTTTCACGGCTTGGTCCCAGGAAAGCTAGGCTGAGGCTGACCCAGAAAAACTGAGATTAGGTGAGGACTCAGTATGGGACAACTTGCAAAAACTGCCAAAGACAGAGAGTCTTGTGGCGTAAGAGAGTCCGTATCGAGGAAGGCTAGGAACATAATCAGTTTTACATTTCCACCAAGCAGGATTGAACATTTTATTTAAATAGAAATAAGTCACCTAAAACCTCAAACATTGACAGTGGCTTTAAGCGCTATACAGCACAACCGTGAACAACAAAACAGCAGAATTGAATAGCGCCTGTTTAATTTAGTGCAGCAATTTGTCAGAATTAACAAAGGGTAATATCCTGGAAGTTGTATATTTAAGTAATCTTTTTTTTATTGTTTATGTTTCAGAGGCACAAGAAGTTCTGAAGGAGTTGAGTGCCAAGAAACTGCTGATGAATAATGAGTTGAGATTGCAGAACTTTGTACAGCTCCTGCAGGATGTTTCGGCCACTGGAAATACTGAAGCTGTACGGCAGCTGTTGGATTCCATTGTGACACTGGGTTTGTGCAAGCCCGGAAACTTACTCTGCAATCCACTGCTGACTCCTTACCTTGAGAAGTGAGCCCCTCCACCACCAGCGGCAGAACACCACAGCACAGCACACTGTTACCACTGCCACTTTCATCACCACCTCCTGCAGCGCTAACACCAGCGCCACTTGTACTGCCATGCATCCTTGCTATAACGAGCACCGGTAATTTTAAGCTCATGTTCAGAGGGATATGAACAAAACTTTTATTTAATCATATTTGGGAATTATAATAGCAGCCAATTAAGCTAAATTCATCTTTCTAAATGTGGAGGGGAAAAACCAGTGGACCGGAGAAAAATCGATGTGACTACGGGGAGAACATGCAAACCCCAAATATGCAGGTGTTAGAGTCGGAGTTAAACCCAAGTCCTTATGCATAGCAGGCGAGGGGGATAACATTTATATAAATAGTAAAAAAAAAATAGAAACTGACACTTTATTCATTGTTTATGAGAGTAGTGTTGCTACAGGCCATGAACCTCATTTGAGGACTCAATTACAAACTATTTTGTCTACACATGTCAAAATATATACAAGATAGTGATTTATGAAACCTTCATCTAATGGTCAACAGAGCTCAGTGGTATATAAAATATAATTACATTATGCCACTTTAACTTAATTTAATAATGTTACAAACATGATCTTAAACTGATACTGCAGTTGAAAATTTCCTTGGCTTATTCTGCAAACATAAAACCGAATATGTTGTGCAGCCTCAACCTATTTGATTAAAAGTTGCAGAGTGTTGTTTCTTTTATTATTTGAGGTTTTGCGAAATAGTAAATGCAGATTGTATTGGTAAAACCCATCAAATGATGACTTTTAATGTTATGTTGACTGCAACCAAAATATCGGTCGAGGTTTTATATTTGGTTGTTAAGCATGACCAATTGCCATAGTGCGCTCTCGCCCTCAAGCGATTCTGAAATCTTGACCTCTGAGGAATCAGGCAATCGCCAAAGCACTTCTCTGGCACTGAACAGCAGGTGTTTGACCTCTGCTTCCAACAGCTTCGTGAAATCATCAAAGCACACAATTCTTGGCAACCTTCAGTCATGCTAGAGAATATCAGGCACGCAATCATGTATTTTCTTATATCAAATATTGTGTGGTGACGGTTAGAAAGTAGGCTCCCATCCAGCCCGTGCCTCATATTCATGGATGTTGGGCTCTTTTGGAAATAAAAGTATGCATGCTCAAGGTTTTTTTTACTTAACAGCAAGGCCTGGCCACAGGCATCGCGCAGCAGTGTAATTGGCGTATTAACTGCGATTGACACCTCCGAATTAGCACGGTTAGCTACGTACAGTGCGAAAGAAGTTCAACATACCGACGTCGACACACGTCTTCCCTGCCTCGTCTTCACCATCTTTGACAACGCACGGCCAAAGGGCTCCTGGGAACAACAACAAAAGTCTTGTGATTTCCTGCTCAAATGAGCATTGAGGTGGTGATCATTGCTTTTTTAAATCCTTTATATTAAGTTCGCTTGCGTGCTTGCGTGCTTGCTTGCGCGCTTACGACCCGTGCAAATCTTTCGGTCGTTTTTTAACCCGCTTCCCGTGATCCAATCGAGCTGACATTTTGCACACAGCACTCGTTGTGCGTGACAATTTATTTTCGTGAAAATTTTTTTCCAAAATTTTACACTCTTTAGGAAAAAATAAATTATATTTAATTACCAATTGCTTAATGGTGGCAGGCAATCATCTGACCCATAGGTGGCAGCCATCTCAAGCCAGAGGATGAGAGGACTCTAGCCGCCACGCATATAAAGGATTTATAGTGAAAAACTTTGTTTTTACGGGTACATTTTTTTACAGCCCTGACTCATAATCAACGATTTTTGGGTTTAGACCGCGTTATTTATAAATGTGTCGTAACCCTCCACCACCCGACACGGCCAATCAGTAAAAAAGTGTCACGTTGACAAAAGACAAATAGTTCACTGCTTTAGCCCACCGGTGTGTTATAAATAACGCGATCTAAACCCAAAAATCGTTGATTATGAATAATATTGGTTGCGAAAGCCTACGTGTTAACGCCCTGACTCAGTTGTGGAAATTGCACGTTTAAATCCGCAACGTTTCGACTGTGAACTGCTCGCAATACCGTCGAGCCGACTGGCACTGGGCAATGAGAACATCGCTCTGGGAGAGCTGTCCACGCACAGACCTTGAGCAGTGCAACCAGAGCCAGTCGATTTGTGTTCATTGCTAGTAATGTGTGCACTCTTGCGCATTTATTATTGAGCACATTGTGTAACCGTAATGTTTGACATGTAAATACATAGTTAATCTTAAGTAAAAGTGTTTTAATTATTACTTTATATCTATTTAAAATACAGCAATTTGGTGGCTTTTGCTAGAATATTTAAACTTTTTAAAGTCCAAAGTAGCACTGCAATTGGACATTTAAATAGGGGTAAAGTGACCACAACTTGACATGTAATTCTTTTTAATGGAACATTAAGATTGTAGTATTGGGATGGTTTTGACATGATTTATCACAAATGTTTAGATGCAGTGTGCCCATGAAATGAAACAAAATGCACATTTTCCTGACATTAGGTCAGACTTGTTAGTTGCCAAATGAAGTGGACTAGTGTTTGTTGCAATTGGATGTTTGATTACTTTGTTTTTATTTTCAGCGGTCTATTTTACATCTTATTTAGCACGGGACACTTAATTGTAATTCCTTTTAAGTCACTTATAAAAGAAGAATTATTAATCAGCGACTTTTATTGTTAAATCCACTCTCAACAAAAAAAAAAATCAAAAGCACAAAAATATTGAATGCATTTTAATGACGTGAAGTGGAATCTGCACAGTTTATTTAAACTGCTCATCGCAATCAGAGCAATCCAGGGGCGCAAGCCTCGCAGGATTGAGTGGGTTGAGTAATTGTTGCCCCCCTCCAGTGCTTACTGCCTTGGGGCAAACTGATTAGGAAATGACAGGCTAGCAACACTCGAGGCTGGCTGGGCTATTTGCTCACTGCTGCTGTCCTGCTGCGAGCTGTAATGTAAGTGCGGCGCGCCGGACCGTGACCAAACAGGAAGGTATTTAGGCAAGCGGAGCTTTGCTTGTGCCCATGCTTTCTTTTTTTCCCCTGCTTATCCCATTTGTTCCCCGCTGATTGTGCGAGTGCGCCTAATAAGCCGTAAACTTGTCACATCTGTCAACCGCAAGGTTCCTCCGATGCGAATGCGGAATGCATTATGAATGATGACTAAATTATAGACGGACCAAAGGAGGGGGGGGGGGACGCTTTTAGCAGTTAGTTTTGCCGCAAACCTCTTGCCTCGCTCGCCGTTTCATATGAGTCTCGGTGGGAAATTACAGGTGTTTTGTGTGTGCATGCTAAGGCGTGCTAGGTAACTTCATTCGAAGCTCATTAAACAACGCACCAGGCCATAACTCCAAGGGCTAAATCATAGTGACATTGGTCCTAAATTGTACTGGGGTGGTTTTTAAGGGATTTATTTTAAATGTTGATAAGTAAACATTTGTGCCACATGTTGTGTTTTTTGAATTCAACATTGAAATTAGACATCTAATCTTTCAGTGAAATGAGATAAATACCGTATTTAAAACACTACTCATAACTATTAAAGAATGGTTATTATATTCAAATCAAAAGTTGCTTATAAGTCTCACTAATTATGCTACACTGTGGAAACTAAAGGTCATAGACATTAGGTTTAGATCTAAAACATACATTATTATTTTTCACAAGCGCAGTTCAATTAACTTTACTTTACAAGCCAACTTGTTCTGGAAGGGCTAAACAAATACAGTATATGCAATCAATGCTATTTTGTATTTTTTTTTAAAGATGCCATTCATCTATACATATACAAAAAACCTAACCAAAATAATTTCCAGGTTTTTGTCAATATAATTATTTTGAATCTTCATAGTTAAAAGTGTTCGAATGAATGAATGTAGATTGAAGGCTAAAATGGAGTTGCCTGCTTTGTGTGACTATTGCAATATTTGTAGTATTCATCTTCTTGGTTCTTTCGGTAAAGTCACGTAGAAGGGAAGTAATAAAATAATAAAAATAAAACATATTATATTATTTATTATGTTTTATTTTTATTATTTTATTACTTCCCTTCTACGTGACTTTACTGAAAGAACCAAGAAGATGAATCCCTGCAGTCACGAAAGCTTTAAATCGAAATATTTGTAGTATTGTGCCAGTGGTTGGTGCCCAAGGCTCTGGGGGGGGGGGGGGGGGGGGGGTCCTGTGCCATCAGGTTGTGCAATAGCTGATTTATACCCTTGACATTACAAGCAACCCATGCACAGCCTTGCCGCATCTGTAACACTTGCCACTCAAAGGGCTGACTGCCGAATCGCATCTTTGCCTAGTATGTGTGAAGGCGGCTTACTGCTCTCTTTCACAAATAATACAAAGTGAAATGAGGCTCAGTGCAGCTGTGGTCAATTTATAGACGTATTCATTTTTTTTTTAATGGTTGCTTGGATAACGTGTGTGTGACAACGGTGTGCGGTAGGCATGTAACGATGCATCGATTGAGTATTTGATTAAAATTATTATAGTTAATCTCAATTGTGCACGTAAGAGTCGGTTATACCTGTGAGCAGATGACTACGGAAAAAACAATTTTGTTGGATCGTGCTGTGCTCTTAATTTAATGTATATCCACATATGTTGTATGTAAATGGTTCACTATACGGTGCTGTTATCCTCACAATGTTTGAAAAATAGCATTGACTATTGAAGCAGGTCATGTCGCGTTTCTTTAATTAACCCCAGGTGAGAACCAAGAGACCAGGATGGTCTCTTTTGAAAGGGTGACCTGGGTCATCAACATTACAAAAGCACAACAACAAATACAATGAAGTACAGTAACGAAGTGAGATGTTGGGATGTTGGCTACCAACAACAAGGCAACTCCTATGACTAATTGGGAATGGGACGCAAGCGTAGGATTGATCACCCTGTCGCTGGCCGCCTTTGGGGAGGGTGTATAGTATGAAAGGCCGAAACACCCTAGGAACCAAAGGGTCACTACTGACGATGCGCTCCCCAAATTTCACCAGGCTCACTGTTCATGAACTCTTGGAAGTGCTTGCACAAAGGATAGTAACATCTCATCCTGTGTTCTTTGGAATCTGAATATGTCACGAGAATTAAAATTAATAAAAATAAAATAAAAATCACGACGTCGTGATTTTTCTTTTATTTTTATTAATTTTAATTTCATTTTTTACCTACGTGACTTTACCGAAAGAACTAAGAATATGAATCCTTGCAGTCACGAACGCTTCAAATCTAGAATGTGTCACGAGAAATCTAAAATATTGCATGAAAATCCAGATGCTGAATTATGACAATCTGGAGACTCGCCAGGGGGCGGGGATTCGTTAAGTGCACGAATGTTTTCCACGGAATATTTGACGATCTTTTTTATGTTCGTCGACCTTGTGCCATTAAAGAGCAGTGTGTGTGTGTGCTCGCTTTTGTATTCTATGCATGGGAAAGGTTTGCAACTTGATTTTTTTTCATAAAGAAAGTTCTAGCATTTTAAATGAGTCTTCAGAGTCAATTGTTCCTTGAGAATAATCATAACAGTACACTGCTTCAATTTAAATAGATTCTTATTTATTTATCACGAGTTCATCTGCTCACTTCACCCATGTATTATTTAGACCGTTGGTGACCTGTGATGGCTATACTAAGGGTACATCTACTTTTATATATTACACATGTATGACCAAGTACCGAAAATGCACCCAATCTCATCGGGTTTCTGAAGCTAAGCATGGTTTATCATAGACTGCTTGGATTGTCAATCACTGTGCATAAAACATGTGCTGTAGGCTGCTGTGAGGTGCTAGACTTGTCAGCAGAGGGCAGTGCATAAAAATACATTGTTGTACTGTACTGTGCACCGACCTCTTATGCTCCCTTCAGGAACCTGCACTGACCAGCATGGTGAAGTATGGTCACATAACCCCCACAACCAGCACAGTGTGGGTGGGTAGCCGCAGTGGATGGAACAGAAAGGGTTGTGCATGTATATGACACACTTCCCACTGTTATCAACAACTTTTCCATGTTTGTTTGTTGCAGGGAAGACTTGTCGGGAGCACTTGACGCTGGCATGGCATGTGCCAACAACTATCAGGTCTTCCCTCAAAAGCTGGAACTGCTCAAGAGCTTGGTGGAAAAGGGGGAGATGGATCTCCTCCAGAAAGGTCACTATAATGGCCGAAAGGTCACATCTATAGGCATTCCTGAAGAGGGTGTGCGCGCTGATGGGGTGATGCTCGAGTTGTTTTGCATGGGCACAAGATAGGCCTGAGCTTGGCAATTTCATTTGATCACTTTTGATTCACTGTGCACTTGAGAAGCTATGTGTAACCACGTAGGTTTATCGAAGCTACCAAAAAGAAAGATTAATGGCAGTGCCATTTGTCTGCGTGCAACATGTTTGAAAGAATGAAAGCAATTTTACAGCCTACCTTAGTTTTGAGCCAGTTATTCATTGTTGGAATAATTTTTATAGCACTAGTAGTATATTCACTGGTAATGGTTCATTCATCAATACAAAAACATGTATTTCTCTCAATACATGCTTACAATTGTGCATGTAAGAACCGATTATGATTTATGTAAATTATTTACAAATTATAGCAAATGTAATGGATAAAATAACAGACTATGCCAAGGAGGCAGACAGGAACACGAATGAGACAACAAATGTTGCAGAGCATAGACCGACAAAACTAATGAGACACAAAGTATAAATGAGACAGAATGAGCCAGAACAAATGAGATGCTACACATAAGGTTTTACAAACGAGAAAGGCTAAACCAATACAGTAAGACGGTTCACATGAGAGACTTGTGCATGATGGAGTTATGGCAAACAAGGCAAAAAGGAATTGAATTCTGAATACACATTTTGACCATAGCATCGCTGGGGCTGGGGGCAGTGGAATTTCTACAGGCCCAGTGATTTCTCTTACCTGTTCCCGGTGTACACATTTCCATGCATTCTTATTTAACGATTGCCTATTTTTTTAGCAACCATGCAAATTGCCTTTTGTCATTATTAAAATTTGATTACCGACATCCCAATGACTTGGGCCAAATGTATGTTTGTTTTATATTCTTGGTTCTTTCGGTAAAGTCACGTAGAAGGATTTCACACCTGATGATGATTGCTTGTGTTGCAGTCGAAACGTCGTGAGAATTTTTAATTGTTTTATATTTTTATTATTTTATTATTTCCCTTCTACGTTACTTTACCGAAATAACCAAGAATATGAATCCCTGCAGTCACGAAAGCTTTAAATCAATATTTTGTTTTGTTTATTCTTGAGCCATGAAGGGATCTACACCTGGGTTCCAAAAAAGATTCCCCTCCAACATACTTTACCCACTTTTTTATGCTCTATATGATGTGGAGGGGTTTTTTTTTTTTGTCGCAAACAAATGATCTGTGTAAACCAAATGCTTGTTTCATTTTATTTGCTGCAGAGCTTAACAAAAAAAAATCCTCACTTAACTAATAGTAAAAAAACACAATCGATGCATCAGCAGAGCACGGCACAGTATTTTATTGCATTGCTTTGCCACGCTGTGCTTATCACTTTGAGCTGGACACATTGTGTCTGTTTAAAACTGCTGGGAGTCTGCAATTGCCTATGGCAACTGATGATGGCCAGTTTATGCTTAGCTAAGTATAAATTGGCCTTAAAATAACTTCTGAAGTGTCTAAAATTTAATTCTCGGATTTTTTTTAATTAAATGTCATATTTTGCTTGGGATATTCATTTGGCAACTTTTAAGGCTTTTCTTTTTAAATTGTTGTAGCGTTTATCAATGTTTAGTCGATTCATTATTACATAGCATCGTTGCAAACTCGGATTAATTTAGATAAGGTTAATTCAAATAACATTTTCTGGTTGGATTTGTGAACATTTAGTGAATGAAAATAAACGTTTTCTCTGACCTATAATCTCTGAGACAAGGAAGAAGAATACGCACGTACATGGGGTCCATTCCTTAACCTTAGACCAGTCTTCAATACCCGAGCCTAGAATGTCAATGACCTGGCCAACCCCCCCTCCCCCAAAGAAAATCACATCCTCGCCCCCCCCGCCTGCTCTGATGAGTCCGGTGGGCCTGATACCGTCGATGCAACTGGTAATGCTGTCCAGAATGTAAGAATGTTACAATGTATGATGTGAGGGAGGATGTGGAATAAAAAATATTTTATTTTTTAAAAACATTAGATTTGTTTTCAAAAGGTTTGCACGTAGCTAAATGCCAAATGTTTTATTGCAGCGTTGGCCTTCATAAGTAAGATGGCGGGAGAGTTGAACATGCTGTACGACATCTTTTTCACCTTCTTGGAGACTGGAAAGCACGCAGAGGCACTCAAAATCATTGAGGTGAGAGCCAATGTCTTCTGTCACTCCTCGCTTGTCACAACCGGGAGCAGCGTGCGCGTAAAAGCTAACGGTCACCGTGACAAGCGGTAGCTGTTTATGCCAAGCGCCTCACCAAGTTGTGCGCACCTACCTGCAGTGATACAGTTTTACCGTCTTCACTCGGGTGTGAAGGTGAAGCTGTCTTTCAGCGTCTTAATCTTTCGAAAAAGATGGCAATTTTAACCGCGAGGCGCGGACTCATCGGCAGCCCAGCATGAGCGCTGGCAATTTGAATTATTAATTTGGCCACTCTGTGCCGGCGGGTGCCGAGCCGCCCGCCGACTGACGACGCGGCCCCCGAATTGTCCCCTCGATTGCTGCCATTTGCCCACCGCCGTGTGATTGCGCGTGCTGCGGATTTGCATAAAGAGATTGCGAGGCCTGGCCAGCTCCCGTGCCTTTTGTTCGCGCCACGGACAGATTGACGCGCGGGCTCCTGGAGAACCTTTCAATTTGCTTTCGATCTTTGGAGCAGCCGAGCGTGTAACGGTGACATTAATTTCCACCTTTATGTTTTATTTACATGTTGGGATAAGTGCCCTGACATTCCTTCGCTGTTCTTGTGCTCGGGTGTTCATTCAGAGTATAGAAATACATTTTTCTCAAAGCTTTATTAAGATGTGTGCGTGTTCAAAACGAGCTGGTTTCTTGACTTAAATTCCATTCCTAGTAGATTGCATTTCTATCTTCAAAATGTTAATCGCTGGCTTTAATTCATTTTCTCTTGTGTGTGTGTGCTTTTAAATCTATTCATACATATAGTATATTCAAATGTTAAGTATTGGCACCTTTAAGTGAATGTCAAATGAGCTCAATTAGTGTAACGTAAGTATGATTTATGATTTGCAAAAATGTGACGTTCCACAATTTAGTACAATTTGTATATTTTTTTCTGCTAGTGTCTGGACTGTAGGTACCTGTATATATGCGCATGTCTATGCATCCTTGCATGCACACATGTGCATGCACCGTGCTTATATGTGCATGCATGCACATGATTGCATGCAGACGCTTTGCCATGCATGCGTGCAAGTGTATATTTTAGGGTCAACAAATTACCTTAGTACACGTGAAGGTTCCATGCATTCCACTCTCATGTGCACATGCCCAATGCATACCTCCTTTAGTATACAGCATCAGCCTACGCATATGTGAGCTTCAAGTACAAAATAAATAAAAAACATAAAAATCAAAGCTACTTTTCTTTTAATTGGTGTCTTACAGGCAAACGTATTGAGGCATCGAAAGGCACCAGATAGAAATGTAGAATTTATCACCAAACAAGATTACTTTCTCTTAGCCAAAGGAAATGATTACAGGATATGTTAAACATCCTTTCCATCATTGCTGCTTTAGAGCTTTAGATTTCTGCTTGGGAAATTGACATCTTTAGTACCATTATCGCCAAAGCTTCTTAACGACTGCACGCTTAGCTCACCAAAACTGCCTTGTTGCAAATGTAGAAGCGATGCCCACTCCACCAGCTTATACGCTGCGTCTGTAGTTGAATGTAACTAAAGGCATTTTAATTTCACTGATGGATGGGAGATTATGCAGAGCTCTTATAAAGGTTGCTGGAGGTCCTTGGAGATTAGCACCAGCCATGATCTTTGTGCCCTGCCCGACACGAGGCTTTGACACGCAGTTTGCATGAATCTGTGCCTTTTGATTCTGCCCTCCTGTGTTGGTTTAGCATGCTTGCGTATAACGCCAAGATTTTGCAGTCAAGTTAATGTAAAGTCATTCTGAAATGTTGATCCTGAAATAAAACATTATTTATGATTGCGCGTGAACGTGTTGAAAGGCCACCTAAAAACTAAAGTGTTCAGTTGTATGTTTTAATTGACTCTAGTCCATAGTTTTATTTTAAAATATTCAACCCATTTATTTTCTATAACCTTTTGGGCTGATGTTTTCATTTACTACAGTTGTGTTTCTTTTTTACAAGGATTTGCCTTTTACAAGGATTTGACCTTGTAGTTGGAAGTGTGCTTTTTGAAGCTGTCAGCCATCAGTAGACCTCTAAGCTGGCCAAGCTTAAACACTTTGTAACAAACTATTTACGCCTGTCCACATATCTCACAGCTGGTGTGCCACGTGTTTAGACATTAAAATCTACCTGTTGATTGCATATATGTCAGAGATTTTTTTAAAATTCATTTTAATTTGCACAACGAATTGACAATTTACACTCGTAATAAATGATCAAATAAATCAGCATTGGTAACATATCAGTCTCAACATTTTTTTGTACATTTCTTACGTACAACAAATCAACCGAATGGCCTTCTGAGAGTGATTAATTCAGCAGGATAGTTGCAAGACAAACAACCGCTGGAGCAGTTTCGGCACGCGCTGTTAGTTGATATATTGTGTGGCGATAAAGGGAGCCGAAGAAAGAGAGCACATACACGCAGTAATGGAACCTTTACAGACAAATGTGCTTATTTATTTGCTGGTTTTATATTTCTACAGGAAAGTAGAGCAAAAGGAATACGTAAAACTGTGCAGAGACTTTATTCCGTTATTCTTTTGTTGCAGACGCCAGGCATGAAAGCTCGTCCCAGACGCCTGAAGTGGTTTGCTGAAAGATGCATTTTTAATGACAAGGTAAATCACCTGTGTATATGTTGGGACATTTCATTGTCAAAGAAGCTACCTATGAAGTAGTGTTTTATCCCCAATTTGTGGAATTTTTCAACCCGTTGATCTTCAATGAAGAATAAGAGACGGGCGTAATTTTACTACTCCTCTTGTAAGCAATCCTTCTGTACTGGAGCACTGACAGTTCTTTGAAACTTGTTTTATGTAATAAGATACCAAGATATGTATTGTGATTTAAGTTCTTAATATTCTCTAGGATTTAAAGAGTATTCTTGCTAAAGAATTAGATTAAAAATACCACACATTTTAAAAGTTTGAGCAATTGTAGATTCAACGTGTGGTCACTCGTCCGTATTCGTTACTCCCACCTCTTCGATGCCACTCTCTATTCTTTGTCTTCCGAGCGGCCGTCATTTTTATTCAGTGTTCCATGGAAAAACCCATGTCGCCAGTTACCCAGCTAGTTTCAATGGCACGCAGCCACTATAAACAGAGTTATTGTTTGAATGGAGAGGAGCCCAGCCAGCAGCCAGCCAACAAACCCGAGGCATAGATTATTTGTAATAGTCATATGATTAATATTTAACCAAAAGATTTTTAACATTGTGGACCTCTCCCATGTCTGTTGATGAACACAATTTCCTACATTTTCCATAGGACTGAATTATAATACTGCTTAAAAAATACTTTAAACGTATATTGTGTTATGATTGAAATGTACTTCCCCAGCAGTACCTGTTACACAAGACATTTCTTACGCGGTGTTGGTATTTTTTAAAATTTTGTCCACAAAGTTGCCACTTTTTTAAAGTGCTGTATTGCGGAGTGATGATAGCAGGACAGGACGTTGACTGTGTTGATTCCATCACGTGTTTTGCACGGGATTACAGGGCAAGATCTTGGAGCAGCTGTTGGACCAGACCAAGAATCTGTTTGAGTGTGACCGGGACGAGATGTACTTCTACATGCTCCAGTATTGCAGTGAGTGACTCATCTCGCAGTGGTAACAATACATTATTAATGTGAGGTTACATCTGACATTTTTACCTCATCCAGATCTGACCCTTTTGTGTTTAAACTTTTTAACATGTCGATAGATTGGCAGCGAATAAATATAGTTAATAGTGATCAGGTATCCCATTGCGTGTTTTAACAGCGTACGTGTTGAGCAGGCATTTTCACCCACAGCCTTTACCACCGTACATCTCAAACTCCATTTCAGAGACTTTGAAGAAGAAGTGGCAGTGTTTTATTGTTTTCATCTCTGCATAATAGTTTAATCTTCCCTTGTTTACCATTAGTTCTGCTTTGAACTGACAATTGATTTATTATTGTAATTGTAAATATAAATGTTTGTAAATTTATAGCCCTTTGTCAATCCAATGGCTCAAACCTGCTTAAGATTGGCAATATCAGGTGTATTCTCTGTGATATGGTCATGTATGCAATTAGAGGTTATCCATGATATAAAAAATACACATGCGGCAATGGAGAAAAAAACTTTTAACCAAAACAGAATCTCAATCTTTATTTGTCCCGGAGAAATCCGATGAGCTATGAAGCTCTGTTTCACGGGTATCCAGTAGTTTGGTAATAGTACAAGAACATGGATTAGTGCTAAACCTCAGTGATTAGTTTAATGGTTTGAAAGGCCATTGCAAAATTATTAAATGGCTCTTTGTGCATATCACAAGGCAAGGGGTGGAGGGTGGAAGTCAGTTTTTCTTAATAACGTCACTGCCTCAAAACATGTAGTTGAATAGATTGGAGTGGCCTGTAGAGACTTTCGCATTCCGGCAATGGCTTGCCTGACTTTTCTTATTGGGCCGCCACAGAATGTACCTCGCCATTGAGGACCAATTTAGTTTGGGTAACGCTCCTTTATATGCCCGATGGAAGGCGCAGTGATAATGCATTAATGGTTACTAATGTACAGGGCTAATTCAGCTAATTCACTTGGGCCGTGGGTGAGGAGGACTCTGCATGAGAGCAGCAGACTCCCCACGAGGGCTTCAGGCTGAGTGTTTTCTCAAGGCCTGGGTTACAATAGGAGTCCGACAAAGACCACGTACCGAGGGCCAAATTAGCGAAACTTTCCTGCTTCTTTTTTCCGTTCCTTGTGATGCACAGCGTCTTGTTAGAGAAATCATTAGAGGCGAGGTTTTTGAAATGTAACCCTTGCTCTAAATTCAGGTTTTTCAGAGTGTGTGTTTTTTTTCCCACCGCTTTTCCTTTATATAGAAAACGATTTAATCCATTACTTATAAAGAACAAGAAAGGAAGAGCTTTTCTTTTCTACAGTTACAGTTGTATAAAATATGTCGATAAAAAAAATCCTCATTCTTAATGTTAAATACACAGTACTCTTTAACAATTGGATTTCGATGACATTTCATAGATAGGTTCACATCATTGTACTTTCATGAGTAATTATCTGTCTCGTCTCCCAACAGTCCATTTGGGAACATTCCTCTTCGCTTACCGGCGTTGATAGTCTGTCACCGCACGGCGACAGACTATCCACCACACCCAAAACACGAGTGCTTGATCACCAACCCCCCTTCCCCCCCACTTGCCTCCCTGCTCTCAGAACTTCACAGCGACGTGGATATGGCCACTGCCACCTGGACCAAGATGCAGGAGGAGAACCTGATCCCACGGGAACGAACACTGAGCCTGCTGGCCGACATCTTGCAGAGCAACGGGCAGGAAGTGCCGTTCGACATTCCTGTGGTGAGTGGCATCCCTGCGCACGCGCGCGCCGCTACGTAGCTTCGACGTCCTCGGCCCGTGGGGATTGCGTTTGCGCAGATGTGGGAGTCCGTCGTGTTTGCCTGTGGGGCATTACAGGCCAACGGTTGTGACGCCGGAGCGCCGGTGCGTTGCTCCCAATGGAGAGAGCTGGTTCCTTCCGCGGAATGTTGCGCGTTGTGTGAGTTTAGTCGTCTTGGGCAATGACGACGGTGTGGAGACTGAGGCGTTTGATGCTAGCGGTGGAATTCTTTGGGAGGATGTTTTGGAAAATGTATGCAAATATTCCCCCAGTATACAATTTTATCTTGGGTGAAATCCTATTTGGTACTATCCTTCACATTTATGAATGTTATCCACTGTTATGAAATATTTGTGATGTTTCTCACTTGTACCATTAATGGCTTGAAACTACATATTTCTTTATTACCAGATTTTGATAATCAGCTGTGTATGGATGGAAATGTATTTTTTTACATTCTCACAAAGCCTATAAATAGAACTATATTATTCGAACAGATGTAATATTGCGTGGGTGTAACACACGTATATATACACACACATACACAGCTTACTACATCAGTGGTCCTAATATAATCATGATAGCAGGCAATGTTTTTCAACATAATGAGTGACCCAACATGTCTTGGTTTTGTCTGCAGATGCATGGCGCAAAAGAATCAAAAGACAAGGCCTCTCATGATAACAAAGGCAATGACGAACAGCTGACAGTGTTTTCTAACAATGCCAAACCAAAACAAAGTAAAATGAATGCCCCCTGGCAACCCATGGACGGAAACAGCATCCAAGAAAGAATCCTCATTCTGTGCAAGCGGAAAAATATCACAGGTTTGTTTGAAATGTGACCCAAGGTGTGCGTGACTTGTGCTGTCAACTACAATATAGCAGTGCTTTGTTTCACATGCCCGATAATAACTATGGAGTCGCTATTTAGATGTTTTTTTTTTGTCAGCATTTAACTCATTGCTGCCGTGGTTGTGTGTGTGACGTGTTATTCACAGAGGCATTGGAACTTCTGTACAAAGCCCAGGAGCAGGGTCGCGCCCTGTCTGTCACCGTGTTTGCCACGATGATAAATTCCTTGCTGGCCAACGGCATGCTGGAGGACGCTTTTAAAGTGAAGGCCATGTGAGTCCACGCTGTCTGCAGTCCGTCTCACTTCCTTCAGTTATCTTGCTGTCGCAAACAGGGCCACCCGCACAAATAATAACCGAATAGCACTTCGAGTTTTTTATTCCAATTATTTGTTTGATTTGTGTGAGAAAATAATTTTACTTCTATGTGTTGCTGTGGCACAGTGCCGTCGAGTTAAAAATATAGTTATATATGCCTTGCCATACAGTGCAGTGTCCGTAAAATCGTATTGTAATATGCGGCTTAAAATTGCGTGCGATAAGAATTATTGAATTACAAAGCCAGACACACAATTTAGACAGCTGATATTATATAGTGCGAGATCAATTTTCCGTAAAATATTAAGTGTGCACAGGAGAATGTATGTCAAAGTGAGGTCCCTATATCTGCATAGAATTTGTGCCCTCAGAATATTCCATATACGCAAGTAAATGTCTCCTTTTATTTAGCACGAACGGTCCATTTGAAGCAACGCTTTTGTATGTTTTAGTTGGGTGTCAATCTCCCCAAAAATGCACACAAAGTGGCAAGTGTGGCGTGAATGCATTAAATGATTGCTGTCCTAAAAATGATCACATCAGAATGTCAGCTTTTCAATCAGAACAAAGAGCAATTTAGCAATCCAGTCATGGGATGTATTTATAATAAACCCTTCTCCCACTTGCCAGATAATGAGGGGTACCAAGGTTAAGCACAGAAAGTGTTTATCTCTAAAACTTGTCCACTTTGGCCTCCACTTGTGATAATGAAGGAAGCGACAAAGATGGAATTCTGGCTATCCTGAAAAAGCAATTTATGGCAAGTGAGGGGTGGTAAGACCCTGTGTGGTACTTTCCAATGCAATTCCCCAGTAAGTCATCGGGGATATACAAAACATTTCTTGAAGCAATTTACAATAATTCCATAGCCGAGACTGTGTCTTATTTATTTTTTGTGCATGAAATCTAATGGATGTAGAAAAGGACAAAAAACCTACGGTACCACATATGCTGATGAATAGTGCTATACCGAAATGCAAGTGACATGCTCACAGACTTGGCAAATTAGTGTCCCACTAACCTTGAAGAATTAAAATAGACGTTAAAGCGTACACTGATTTGAATGACTTGTTGCTGTGGTTTGTCCGTTCAATTTAACATGTTTGATTTAATATCCTCTGTGTAGCATGAAAAATACCGCGTCTGTGTAGTTGTTTCCTTGCTCCAAATGCAATTTAATTATCTATTATTTCGTGTATGAAATTGAAAGCAGCAGGAAGCGCTGAGACTTTGAACAAACACAGTACGGCAATTAAGTGTAAATTTTCTGCTGCATGTGATGTGCTTGCCATCTCTCCGAAGGATTGCGGTCCATTGCTAAGACCCCCTAGGGAGTGTGTAATGAGAAGCTTGACAGGTTAAAAAAAAAAAACGTCTTCATTATATCTTGGCAGCATCGAGAAGCAAATGCCTGACTTCACCATGTCCCCGACGGCCAACAGCCTGCTGGTCATCACATACGCGTTGCAGGGGAAAGTGAAAGGTATCTCGGAACACTGTGCATCAGGAGGTCACACACTCCTCCTGCCTCTTCTGCCTCATGCACAGCTAAAAGAGCGAGGCCCCCCGCGCGCCTCTTATATTTGCATCAAGATTTCTTTAAGTATGCACACATATATATTTTTGTTACTCAGATTAAGGCCGCATTGTTTTCTTCTTTTTTATTTGGATATGAAAGGTTCAAAGCCTCTCTGTATTTCTCACCACTACCTTATTTTATATAAACATTACATTTTTATTGTTAATTTATATATATGTATATTTTATTCGTATATAAATAAAAGGTTCAAAACCTCTCTGTATTTTTCACCACTATGTTTATTTTATATCAACATTACATTTCTATTGTTAATTTATATATATGTACATATATATTTTACTTATTTCAGGTGAATTTCCCATCTCATTTTAGCCATGCAGCGATTGTATGCAACATTCATTGAGACACAATGAGGGAGAGTAGTTGTCAAACTGCCAAAACAAAATTTGTATAAAATACATGAATTACCACCAAACCTTTGGAAAACATCGTGGGTAACATTTAAATAAACAGAAATATCCATCTGTACGCATTCAACATATGGGCAGCAGCATTTGTCTTAACAGGCAAACTGTGGACTTGTTTTGACAATCTGGGTCTCATCAGCAGAATCAAGCCTGTTAAACAAATGCTATTGTGTTTCCAAATCTGTTGGCAAGAGCCATCCATTTAAGCTTTGGGGCCTGTTCAACTCAAAGCAGCAAAAATAGTCACACTTCTCAATGTAGCGGTAGGATAATGCTCTTGACGACACCTGGAATGTTGAAACCTGTGCAGAGTTTACCTCGGTAAACAAATGTTACTGTTAAACATAGAAACACATATCGGTGTAATGGACTATACAGTATATATTGTGTGCTGACATCTAAACACTGACGGCTGCCTATCATTATTTATATGTAACCTCTGCAGATCAACATTGTGACTTCTGCGTAATGTAGAACGTTGCCCTCGGCTCTCGACACCGCTGACCGTACTCTCTCGTGTCCCCCCGGCAGAGGGGATGGCGTTGTTGCGAGAGATGGTGGAGAGGGGCCAGCCGATGAATCCCTTGGCCCTGGTGCGCATGGCACAGCTGCTGAGCAAGGAAGGCGACATCGAGAGGCTGAAGGAGCTCGAGGCCCTGTTCACCGAGGACACCTTGCCCACTGGGGTCTCCCGCATGTTGTTCGTCAACAACGTGGGACTCGCTCTCCTCAACAGGTGACGCTGCATCGCGCACGCACTTGCGCTCGTGGAGGGGTTTAAGTCAAAGTTGATGCCCATGGGGCAGAGGTCACAAACGGGTTTTGATTCCTTACCCGTACCCGTACCCGGCCGCACCAGGGTCGCAAAAGGGTACCCGTACCTGGCTGTACCCGTACCCGGCATCGAGTACCTGATTGCGACCTCTGGGATGAAGCCATGTTGCAAGCGTGGGTGGGTTGATTCTAGGAACTTGAATTGTGAGAAGAGACAAGACGTTGGGAAATGAGTGACAAACGGTTACTCACCAGTGACTCACGGTCTAACCGTACCCGGCCGCACCAGGGTCGCAAACGGGTACCCGTAGCCGGCCGGGTACGGGTAGCCGGGTATCGGGTAGGGTACGGGTATCGGGTACCCGGTTGCGACCTCTGCCATGGGGCTTTGATCGTCTTGCCGATTACAATTTTTATTCGTACAATCAACTCAATTATCCGGGGTAATGGTGGGGAAAAGGATGGGGCCCATAAAAAAAACAAAAGCACGAACGCCGCAAAACATATGCAAATTAAGATTTGCGTACGCAAATATTGTTTGGCGACGTATAATGGCAGTGAAGATGTAGAATGTGTCGTCTGTTTTTTGTTTTGTTTCTTAAAAGTAGTAATGTTGTTTACCGATGGCGAGTTAAACCAGCACGCACACATATCAAATATTTGCTATCCGGATATTATGCCAACGGATAATCGAGAGTTGTACAAATAGACGCTGGCTGACAATCACCAATCCATGTATTCCCTTTTTTTGCATGAAAATTGTAATTATTGACACTGCTATTATTTTTCACACCGGTGATTTTTCGGTTACAATCTTTGCTGCATAACCAATTATTATTTGTTCAAACACACTGGAGTACCGGCCGCATTATATGCAGCGTGCATTATAATTCCAACACAAACGAAAACAAATGTTTGGACTTCCATATTTATTTTTCCCATTCATTGCAGTTTACATTACAAAAAAATTAATGTATGTATGTGCTGGTTATAAATCTACAAGGCATTCAAAATACTGGTAAAATGCTGGCCTCTGTTTTGCTCTCTTTGGATATACATTATTAACGTACAACAAATTATTCTCACAAAACTTGCAAATTTCTATTGGAATTGCTGTGAATGAACCGATCCAGGTTGAAGTCTGTAACCTTTCGTGTTCAGGCTTTTTTGTGTTATTCCTTGTTGTTTAATTCCCCATCACTGCCTTCTTGAAACTTTGTGTATGGGCACCCTCTGGTGGCTTGTTTAATCCCTGCAATTCCAAGTAATTCCTTTTGGCAAAATCCACTTTGCTCACGAGTGAACAATGCCTGTACATGAATTGAAACGCAGTAGGTTTATAACTCATTTGTGGTAACTCGATTTGTTAGTGTAATTTATTTGTTGACGCGATTTTCCTGTTTTAAAATGGAGGTCATGCGCACACAAAGACGTGTTCACTGACAAAACACGCAAACCAAAGATTAAGAGTAAAGGGGAGGTGATGCAATTAGGCCTTAATCTAGCAGTGGACGGGTTACGGCTGATTATGAAACAAGGTTCAATTGGGATTCATCCTCATTAGTCTATTACAATACATTACCAGACAAATTAAGAGAGCAACCAATAGGAGGAAGATCACACGCCTGTTGTGTTATCATACTGGGCATCTGTGAAAAAGAGCTTCATAGCTCATCGGATTCCTCCAGTCTACATAAAGATTTTCATTCTGATTGTCTCATCAACTAAGCCAGAGCAAGGCTTCTATTAAACACATGTAGGCTGTTTCATCTATTCGCTGTAGATGTGTCGAGCGTCACATTGCTTAACTGACTCCCTTGCGCCGCACTGCGCGGCACTGCAGGGATGGAGCGGATGCTCTCGTGAGTTACCTGGAACCCATATTCATGACCGGAAATGACGAGGCCCAGCAACCCTCGGGTAACATCATCTACGTCTTCAACCAGATCATAGCGAATGAAAATGAGGCCGCACTCGATAAGCGTGAGTACTTCACTTGCTGCGCCGTCGCAAGCTGCTGCACAACGCCAGCTGTTGTTTAGTGCAGCAGTCACCGGTGTGTGACATGGCATGGGCGTGTGGCTTGAAAATGTGCTTAATGTTTACATGGGATTTAAAATTCCTTTGACCAAATTACCCAGAGTGCACCTGATGTCGTCAGACTCGTCAAAGCTAAGTTGATTTGAGCCTGGTTAGTGCTTGGATGAGTAATTGGTGTGCATAAATCGGGTGCTGAAAGCTGCCCCCCGGGGCTACGTGTTCAGTAGAGAGCAATGCAGCAAAATACATTGTTGTACTGTGCTATGTGCTCCCAACATCTTAATCTTCACAGCATTCACTAATCCGCACTGACAGCATGGCAATGTATGGTCACAACTACTCCCACGACATCGCGAGGGGCCCCTTCCACCCGTGGATTGACAAGAGTCGTACATTCAATATTTGTATTTTGTTCAATTATCACAGATGACTTCAACAGCAGTGTACTAATGTTTTATACATATTTCTGTTGCATTGTAGCGTTGAGGCCTTTCATTATATATATTGTTTTGCTTGGTGAATAATTTTCTTGATGTAATATCAGTTCATTTTTCTTGAATAAGAGGTTTTGAGGGACTTTGCGTGTTGCAGTGAGCCGGCGTGATGATTGCTTACCCCGGCAGTGTGGCGGTGTTGTTGCAGTGAGTGCCATGGGAGAGAGGCTAGCGAAACAGTTCTCCCAGTACCAGTGCATCACCTACCAGTTTCTCGCCTACATCACCAATGACAAAATCCAGGAAGCCAAGTTTCTACTCGAGGTAAAGGAATCTTGACGGCAACCTCATTTACGCGGCACGAATTCTGATGCTCTTTAAAACCAAATTGTATTTAAAGTATTATCTGCGGGGCAGTAACAGGGCTCAGCGGTAACACATTTTCTGCTTGTCGTGTTATCTTTAACCATTGTATCTATAATGTATACATTGACATTGAAGTGTATTGTGTCATTATTTAAGTAAAAAATTCTGGGCTATAAATCATATGTTGTAAAACTAAAAAATGTTTTGTGACTGATCTAAGGTTATCGGTACTTGGCACCGAATTTCATAGCAATTCAATAGACGTCATGCGACTGATTTTGGTGCCATACCCTGGCTTGCCAGGAAGAAGGCAGTACAACAAAAATGTGGACTCCACCTATTCCATCTGTCTGGGATAGAGTGTTTCCCTCTCGCAGGCGTGGGTTTTCTCTGGGTGCTCCAGTTTCCTCCCACATGTAAACTCTCATTAATTGGCCAATAACAGCTTGATATATAGAGGACCAAAGAGCTTGGGGAACTGTTGCTATTGGTCCATCGCACGACTGCCTTTCCGCTTGTCTGTGGTGCCTCACGCCTATGAATTGTGTTCCATCTCTACGAGTGTGAGCGAATACTGTGCAGCGCGTTACAAGTTGAAATTTCTGTCGTCATTTTGTAACGCCGTTCTGTGTTACCATTTTTAGCGCTGTCCTGGGATTGTGGAGCAGAAGGAAACCCTGATCAACTTCATCGTGCGTACCGCTAACCGTACTGGCAAGGTGAGACATATAAATGAATATAAATGGTATTCTGAAGTGCTTAATTTCTCACTGCATACTTCTGGATCACTGGTCAACCGGAATTAGGCACAGGACTAACAGCCATATCGAAATATTTTCAGAGTCACTGACCCGTACCGAATCCCCGCAGTTTGTTGCATGAAGAAACTCTGGAGCGGGCGTTGTTAGTACAAGTAGTGCATAGCCAACTTTTTGAGTCGTACAATTTTGGTGCTGTGTGGGTAAAGAAGGACTGCATTTGGATCCATAACATTGCTGTGAACTTGTCACATGTTCCTTCAAGTCCTGATGATGCTTGCCACATAGTTAATAGTCATTGTTCTGACAGTCTTGAGAAGGTGGATGTTGTATTCTGGGAAGAGGTGACATCTTGTGGTGTTGCCTGGAACTGACAACCTGTCAGTATGTGTACAGATGATTTCCACGGTTTTTTTTAAAGAAGTTTAATAATGAAGTGTTCAACTTTTATAAATTTGGGTTGGTTGAGTTTTTTGATAAAGGTATTTGTGTATAAAACTAACTTTTTTCCTCTCTCACTAAGGCTGTGCATATTGAAAACATTCTGGAAGTGGTGCCAGACATTGACTACAAGAATGTTGCCTTCAGCTACTTACTGAAGTGCTACGGTAAGGCTTTGTAGGCTGCAACCAATTCACTTTACTTCGCAAACGAGAGTATCTCGTCAATATGTTTTCAACAGCGTCTTCATAAAACTGGCGCAGCATCTGACAATAGCGTAGGTTTAAGAACAATCAGTATATTTCACCAAGCACAAAATCCACGTGTGTTGCTATTGCATAAGTGACCTTAGCAAAGGCGTGCGTATAATCTGAAATACAATCACCATTCATTTTCCCCTGACAGTCAAGCAGAACAATGTGGTGGCAGCCAAGGCGTTGTACAACAAGATACTGGCAGATGGTTTCACACCTGATGAGCTGTTCCTCAAGAGACTGGCCGTACTTCTCATCAAAGTTGGCGAGCCCGTGCCCTTTGAGGTGCCGCCGGTATGTTTGCACGCTTCGACTCTTCGCCCGCTCGCTTCTCGTCACGACGTTGGCTAAGTTAGAACACGTCGCCTCCGCAAACGGCCCAGAGCTCTTTTGTGTTTATGGGCCCCGCGATGGCGAGATGTGAACTACCTCACCTGGTATACAGGAGGTTGTGGGTTTGATACCGACCACTGACACCTGCTGAGTTTGCATGTTCTCCCCGTGGCGATGGCGAGATGTGAACTACCTCGCCTGGTATACAGGAGGTTGTGGGTTTGATCCCGACCACTGACACCTGCTGAGTTTGCATGTTCTCCCCGTGGTCGCATAGATTTTTTTGCCAGGTCTTTGTGTTTTTCCTTCCACATTTTGAAATGCATGTTTCGAGTATTTGGCCGCTATAAATTTCCGCATAAGCCACTTCGTTGAGCTATCATTTGTGGCTATTTTGCTTCTGAAAAAGAGCTATATAGCTGAGTGGGCCTTACCTGGAAAAAAATATAGTTTAGTGTGTAAGTAGTAGCTATTTTTTTCTATTTAAGAATCATAATCAGAACTTTATTTCCAGAGTGAAGCCCATTGAGCCAAGAAGCTATTTTTCAAGGCGACTCGGCTGGCAGAAAACATCGAAGGATTTTAATGTTTACTTTGAACAGTTTCATTGTGCTAGATATTGTCACCCATATTTACATTCCATTTTAAATTATCAGCAAGTTCAGTTGTTTTGACACCTGATGTGTCAAGTCCCCGATGGTGGACTGCTATTAATTATGACTGCTCTGTAATTATATTAAAAAACATGTTCAACGTTAAATAGATTTGAAAAAAACGCGTTGGTTATCCTTTTAATAATTATTTTAAATTATTATTATACAAAAAAATCGTCTAAAAACTGAGCATGTAAATATGTCTTGGTGTGGATTACAATTTTTTTAAAGGGTATCCATTTACAGTATCATTCATTTTCTATTGTTTTGATTCATGTCATAGCACGTTAGCTACATGGATTGTTATATTTTTGAGGAACTTTGGTACGTTGCTTTTCACTTGCATGAGAGGGATTAATACATATTTTTTTAAACACTATTATATTTCACCTGTTTTCATTTTGTCTTGCAGGAATCGTTTGAATACTATGTAACACAAGCGAAGAAAGCACATCAGTAAATATATATACATTTTACAGTAATCTTACTATACTGTTGGAAGTAAGGTGTGTGTTTTTTATAACTGTGATTGTACTGTTCAGAAGGCTGAGCCAAGGATGTTTTGACCATACAATTGAATATCAAGACAGGTTATTTAATTGCATTGTGCACTGGCAGGTATATTTAATGGGTAATTTGTGTTTTTAATCGATAGTTACAATACAAGTCTTGCTAGAATCTGTAAAAAAAAAAACGAGCTGAAATGTCATATCATGTATAACCAAAATCCGCAGTATTTATACTTCGTCTTATGGTTATAAACACTTAAGGCAGTCATTATTATTTGGGTCTTTCGGTAAAGCCACGTAGATAGAAAAATAACAAAATTATCAGGACGTTTCGATAGCAACACAAGCAAGCGTGATCAGGTGAAAAAAAATGTAGCGAGAGAGCTGCCAAGACAGTGCTGTAGTTAAATACTTGGAGCGTGTCAATCTTTGGTCATTCATGCACATCCCTACATTTGATAGTGTTCTGCTGAGAGTGTTACACTTTCTTGACATTGTTTCTGTATCAGTTGACAGCCTGTGCATTTGGGCATTCCTTAAAAGTGACCTGTCTAAAGACTACAGTTGCTTGTTTGCGCTGAAGATAATGAGATTTCTGCTTTGCACACCCTTTTGCTCCGGAAAGGGTTGTTACCCAAAACTTTTGCTTGTTGGTAAGTTTTCATTTTGAAGGCAGCGATTGTTGATTGTGACGGTGAAATCAATGTATTCCTTTGATTTTACATCACTGCCTGCCTGTGCCCCATCCCTTGCACGTGTTCATTTAAAGTTGGGTGCAAAGGAAGAGCGCAGTGCCTCTCGCGTTAGTTTGCATTTACCTCGAGAGTCGGTGTATGCTACTCTTGTGGTGTTTGTGCAACATTGCCATTGTGAGTTAACAGATAGGCTTTATTATGAATAGCCAGTGTGGCTGCAGGTTAAATATTGTAAATGTCACAGGCAAGGAAGGGATGGCTCAACGGTATATTGTATGTGTATATGAATGGTGACAAAATAAAAACAATTTTGAACACATGACCACTGCTTTCCAGCACCCGTTTGTTCCTGGCTGTATCGTATTCATGTGTGCTGCGTGTGTGACCTGCATGTGGGGAGCGGTGGTGCAGTGGTTTGTGCGATGTGGTACAATCCTCATGGTGACCTGGATTTGATTATTGGTCATCAACAGCATCAGTGGCAAATCGCATCTTAACCTGTCCTGGAGCTCTTCGCTCAGTCGACTTGGCTGTATACCAGGACAAGGTCTGTAAACAAACATTACGATAGCATATAAATGAGATGTAATAGAGCAAATCTGAGATCAGATTTGGAATCGGCACCCTGAAATTAGTCTAAAACAGCTGCAAAAGTCCAGGCCAGAATTTTTTTTTGTTGTTGACCAGTGTAATACATGCAATCGGCTCGAGTGTATTACAGAGGTGAGAGATTGCAATGCTTGGTGAAATGTTCATCCAGCAGTAGATAAATTGTGGCTGATGCTCCCGTGTTACAAAACAGTTTTAACTGAAACTGCAAGCATCCCGACAAAGATCCAACGAGCAATCCAGTGAGTGGTTCAGGTGCCATGTAGAATTTCCACCAGCAGCCCTGTATGATTATAGCCGATAGCCTCGTGTCAGACATCAAACGGTTATAATGATCTCATTGCCATAGACAGTGCGCCTATCGTGCTATGAGTGAGATCTTATCCGATGAAGAAGAAATTTCCTTTCAGAACTCTCCGCAAAAAAAGAGTGCAACATCCTAGATTTGAAGTTTTCGTAGGTAAAGAGAAAATAAATTAAATCACGACGTTTCAGAAGCAACACAAGCAACCGTCATCAGGTGTTGACTGCTCCAGCAAAATTACTTGTGTTGCTTCCGAAACGTCGTGATTTAATTTATTTTCTCTTTTTGTGACTTTACCGACAAAACCAAAGAGTAAAGAGTGCAACAGCCCATGGTAGAGAACAGCCTCTGGAAGATGACACGGCAGAACTACATCTGGGATGCATTCAATTGCACCTTATCCATACTAGGCAGTGAAACATTCTCACACGCCCTATTGTTTGAGTTATTTGATGACCAGAAATCAATGCCAAATGTAATGTTCCCAGAGGCCCAAAGCTGAAATATTCGTTATTGAGGACCCATCATGATTTTGTTGATGTGCAGTCATTGCTGACAATTGAGATTAACTCGCTTCATTTAAGAATGTACTTTTTTTATCAGAGCCTTTGACCGAAGCATCCGAGATGTGCCCGATCTCGTTAGATCTGAATCTAAGCAAAGTTGAGCCTGTCAAGTGCTTGTGTGTTGGGCCTTACCTGGTAAAATAAAAACATCGGATGGGTCGCAAGGTTGTTCTATGGTGCTGCGATGGCACGTTATAGACAGCAGAGGGCAGTGCAGCAAAGTTAATTGCACTCCACGTCTCTGCTCCCCCTTCTTCAGTCCAACCCGCACTGCCCAGCATGGTGAAGTATGGTTAAATAACTCCTAAACCCACTACCTTCCCGGCGTTGAGTCGGCCATCATCCCGCAGTGAATTGACAAAACGGTAGTACAGTTAGTAACATCTACATTGACTACATATGCTGTTTGTAATTTATTGATGTGACTATCCCTGCATCCACCCGTGCGGTCGCCGCATTCACTAGGGTACCGACAACAACTTTGAAAAGGATCGATTATTATTGAATGCAAACGTGCAATAATTATCAACTATGAGACGCATTTCCTACACCTCTGTATTTTTATCCAAAGTTGGGGGGGGGGGTGTGCATTGTACAATCCGTTAAGTGCGAGAGGCCGTCTTTCTAGGACTATCGACAGACACGTTTGGAGGGGCTGCGTCTTATAATCCGGCGCGTCTTATAATCCAGAAAACACGGAAATCATCGAATTCGCCGGGTGTTGATGACGGTGGTGGTGGTGGACCCTGAGTTGATTTACTACCCAGCACACGTTTGGAGGAGGTGCGTCTTATAATCCGGTGGTTGTGGTGATGAGCGGTCGTGTAGCCCCGAGCAAAGCGAGTTCGATTCCCGCTCACAGCCACCAACACCGATGACGATTATCCGAACCGGTCATGGGCCTCCCCCCTAGGTCGACTCAGCCTCAAATGAGTACCCGGTGCCGTGTGCAGTGAACATCGCCACTGGGGAGAGACAAAGGCGGCCGGGCGTGGTTGCTGGCCACCCACCCCTCCGTGCACCGTTCCCATGCCCGTTATCAGTGCCCTTCCTTATTACAGACCAATTCAGACCGTATTGGTCACCCCGTGCGCCTTATAAATATCAACGTTCGTTCTACAAAGTCCCATCAACAAGGGAGAAACACAAACAATGAAGACATTTCTTTTTTTACTCAATTTCCCTGTACAAGAAGAATACGAGGTAAACCGTATGGGTTGTCAGCTATTGTGGAATTATGATTATGGTTGTCAGCCCATGCTGTCAATCAACTGCTGGGGATGAAGACCCAGCCGTGCCCGGCCATGGGGGGGGGGGGGGGAGGGAATCGTCGTCGTTTAACCAAACTTCAACCGCGCTGTGTGAGTGTTGGTGAAGTATGGAAGGGATGGACGTGAAAACTCAAATTCCACTATGGGAACCTCATTTGCCAGTAAAAATATGATAATTGTTTTTTACCCTTCTATCTGGCAACAAAACTGACACCTTTTACAAGGAGTCATGTTTGCATAGACCGCAATACCTGCAGTCATAATACAAACAAAAGAACATAACTCTGATAATGTGCACTGTCCATGAAGTTGATTGATGTGAGACTAGGCTCTAAGGAAAGCTGTCTCGGGTGTGGACCAATCAACTTCAAGGACAGTGCACATTATCAGAGTTAAGTTCTTTTGTTTGTATTATGACTGCAGATATTGCGGTCTATGCAAACATGACTCCTTGTAAAAAGGTGTCAGTTTTGTTGCCAGATAGAAGGGTAAAAACCCAACTCAAATTCCCCCGTGCAAGAACACGGGCCAAACCGCGTGGCTTTGACGGCTACTTGACGGCTCCTTGATGAATAATTGACAGGTACGCGTGCCGGCCTTCATAGGCGCTGCTTGCTGACTGACACCACTTGCTCTCCCCCAACAGTCTGTTAAAGTTCATAATAGAGGTGGGCTTTTTGGGGGGGTTTAGATCGCGTAAATATATAAATGTGTCGTTAAAACCCCCCACCACCCGACACAGCCAACTCGTAAGGGTTGTCACGTAAACAGAACGTGGCCAATTCGTCACTAGTGCAGTACATCCAGATCTGGCTGTCGCCTGATGAAGCTCGTTGCAATTACTGGCGAAACGTCGTACTCAGATTGTAAATGTTGTGGCTTGGCTCTCCAACACACCGGTGTGCTGTACTAGTATACTGCACTATACACTACACTATACACTACTATACAAAATACACTACACTATACACTACACTATACACTACTATACACAATACACTACACTATACACTACTATACACAATACACTACACTATACACTACACTATACACTACACTATACACTACTATACAAAATACACTACACTATACACTACACTATACACTACTATACACAATACACTACACTATACACTACTATACACCAGAGGTGGGACAAAGTCATTGTTATGCAAGTCCAAGTCGAGTCTGAAGTCATCAAATTCATGACTCGAGTCTGACTCGAGTCCAAGTCACATGACTCGAGTCCACACCTCAGAGGTGGGACAAAGTCATTGTTATGCAAGTCCAAGTCGAGTCTGAAGTCATCAAATTCATGACTCGAGTCTGACTCGAGTCCAAGTCACATGACTCGAGTCCACACCTCTGCTATACACAATACACTACTATACACTGCACTATACACTACACCGGTGTGCTGTACTAGTGACGAATTGGCCACGTTCTGTTTACGTGACAACCCTCACTAGTTGGCTGTGTCGGGTGGTGGCGGGTTTTAACGACACATTTATATATTGACGCGATCTAAACCCAAAAATGACCACCTCTATTATGGACGCTATTGATTGCGAAAGCCGGCCACGTGTGAGTCGTCTGTTCAAGGCGAGACGGTACCGGGGTGAGAGGGGTGGGGGATCTCTGTGTTTGTGGTGAGTGGCGGGATTCCTCCTGCAGCAGCAGCAGGAGGAGGTGGGGGCGATGATGATGATGGTGGTGATGATGATGATGGTAGTGGTTGTGGTGGTGATGTTGGTGGTGGTGGTGCTCGGTTTGGGGCGTGGTGCAAGCGGTGCCGAGCCACAGTCTGCGTTCGCCAAAGGTCTCTTAGCCAAGCCTCCTTCCGTGTCACCCCCCCCCCCCCCCGTTTGTTAAAAGAAAAAAAAACCCACCCTTGTTTTGTTGCGCCATACTAAGCACACACACACATCCGTTTAGTTGTCTCTCCTCCCCCCGAGAGAGAGAGTGGAAGAGGAGCGGGAGCTTCATTCAGGCTGCCAACAGAGAAGAGAAGAGTCACTGCCGGTGCTGCTGCTGCTGCTGCTACTTGGTGGTGGTGGTGTTGGTGGTGTTGGTGGTGGTGGAAGGCGACCGACAAAGTGATCACCTTGCAACGAAGTCAATTCGAGAAGCAACGGGCAGAGAAGAAGGTAAAGAAGCCCTAGACGTTGCGTTTTGCTGGCAAGTGTCGGGCTTGCAAAGCGCTGCGCTGTCTGGAGGCTATGTCCGCGTGTGTCTCGTCTTGGATGAAGAGGAATGCTGTCTGTTTGGTGGCCGTGAGGAATGTTGTGTCATGTGAACTGTGTGCTTCTCTCAGCCTTGTTTTAAGATGTCTCTCGCATTACATTCGTTAAGGTACTGCACTTTCACCGTAAAGCACGTTAATTGCTGTCTTCAAATGTGTGCGCGCGCGTGTGTGTGGATTTGTGTGTTCAGCGGTGATGTCTGGACTCGGCATTAAATTGGTAATCCGGTGCGGTTTGTAGAAACATCAGAATTGGGGATACAAAGACGGCCGGGCGTGGTTACTACTTTCCCCAGCAAGTTCGCGCGAGGACAATGAGATTTCCCACGTGTGTCGTTAAATGGCCTTTCTCGCTGTAGTTGTTGAGTGGCAAACGACACGGTCAACGAATTTGGAGCGCTCATTGAGTTTCACTTTCATTGAATTAGTTCGTGACCAAGCGAGATTGACACCACGTTGGTGGGGAGTGAGCACAGCTGTCAACAACACAAACAAGAATAGTGCGCCCCAAATATCATTAATTCACGTTCCACGTAACCACATTAACGCAGTGCCATTTTTCATATTAAAGGTTTCTGGGTTGTACCGCCTAAGTATAAATGTGTCGTAACCCTGCACCAGCCCACACAGCAGCCAGTAAGGGGCAGAAGTAGTCACTAATTGACGCGTTTTGTTCAAGTGGAAAACCTTACTGGCTGTGTCGGGCGGTGGAGGGTTACGACACATGAATACTTACGCGATCTAACCCAAAAAACCTTCATCATGAATAACTAGCTTCTTTGCCCATCCTAGGACGGAAGCTGTAATATTTACGAAAAAATTGAGCAGAGTTTAATTGTATCTTGTGTAAATTTAATGGCTGTGAATCTTGCACGAAAGTATGTCCTTCAACACTTCACTGCAGTTCACTGTAGCACTGTATTAATGGCAGTGATTCTTGCACAAAACATCGTTATAAAACACCTCATTTCATGGCACTGTAGCGCTGTATATAACGGACCTTCAATGTTCAAATTCACTGCTCTGATACTTTATTCTCTTCTGCTTTCGGTCGCTGGGGTTGAAAAAATTGGAAATCGATATAATATCTTGAAAATCACAGAGAAATGTCGATTTTACCATAATGTAGAAGCATAAATTAGAATTACCTTTTGTCTCAAGTGCTGAAGAAACAAAGACACCAAATCCACTTTGTTGTTGCGTATAATTATTTATTAGATTCACTTCCAATAAAGAAGCGTCAAACTTAAAGCGAATTCGCGAAAAAAAAAAATTTCCGCTCGACCTTCTGCGTGAGTGTAAATATCCACCTGCTCATGAATATTAATGACGGGAGGGGGAGGGGTGCGGTATGTGGAGTGACGTCACGCGCGGGACACACAGACATTCTTTGCCCATTATAATAACAATATTGGTCGCGATAGCCTACGTGTTAAGCACCGTTAAAAAAAAACCCCTTAGCATTCTGACAAGAGTCAAATCCAAACACGTAAATAAGATGAAATGAGGACGTGTGGGTATTCTAAAACACATTTTAGAATCGATCACGTTCGCAATCTCCAAGTCAAAGAATCTTGCGGCTTTTTGGAGAACTCTCTGAAACGTTATGGAACAACTGAAACAACATTTTAAGAGCTGACACGGTATTTTTCAATCCTTTATATTAAGTTCACTTGCTTGCTCGCTTGCTTGCTTAGGACCGTGCAAATCTTTTGGTCGTTTTTTAACCCACTTCCCGTGATCCAATCGAGCTGACATTTTGCACACAGACTCGTTGTGCGTGACAATTTATTTTCGTGAAAAAATGTTTCCAAAATTTTCCACTTTTTAGGGAATTTTTTTTTCATATTTTATTTAAAATACCATTGTGATAAAAATGAAACTCTTACTCAAGACAAACAGAAATGAATAATAAAATAAAACCGATGCCATGCATATAAATGATTTATAGTGAAAAACTTTGTTTTCACGGGTTAATTTTTTAGAAACGGTTATAGAATCATTGGTTGTACATGCAGCACTACAAGAGAGGCCCAGTAAACATGGGACACATGCCAACGTTGTTGGCCCCGACCTTGGCATGTTTACTCGTGAGCTGTGATAACTATGATGATGATGACTGCTTGATGAATTGTCACTGGTTGTTATGCCCCGTAACATTGCCCATAGAGACGAGCTACATTTATTGATGGTTCAGTTCATCCCTTGGCCTTGTTGTGACTTCCCAGCATCGTCCCAGCAATGAGTTGATGAAATTCCATCCCCTGATGTGTTTTGCATGGACGGCAGTGTTTGCTTTGCTTTGCTGACTGACCTCATTTATTGGCACGCGAGTGATTCATGTGAAGTAGCGTCATCAATTGTACAACTAACCGTCCGGCCTGCCTAGTCTAATCGGATGTAGGTGGTGGCATTCACTCCAAGAACTTGAACCTCCGATGACGTTAATGCGCGTCAGTCAGCGTTCGCGGATGAGGTCGTGACGGGTTTCTTTTTTCATTCCTTTATTTTTTATTTTTGTCATTCCTTTTGCTCGCTGTCCCTGCACGGTTCCCGTTTGCTTGCAATGTGCACTGATGTCTACTTTGTTTGAGACCGATATTGGCATCTAAAACAAAGATGACTTTAATTAACGTCATAAAACACGAGCGCTTCATATAACGGTCCAAAGATGACATATCTGAGATGTTGTGCTATTCTTGGCCACTTGTTTCCTGGCCACTGGGAACACGTGTGCTTTCAGAACCTAAGCACACGTGTTCCGGACCAGTCCAAGTATCAAGAATATTTTCACGAGGGCTCTACATGGGATGTTTGCGCAATTCCTTTTTGATTATGCTTCCGTATGGAATGGAACTGGAGTGGCCGGAGAAACCCCACGCACACACAAGCGAAGATCACTCAGATGCTACGAAGATTGGTCGAGCAATTTTCTTTGTGAACTGCCTCAGTGGGCAGTTCATCTGCCCCAATAGGGACATGTCGCACCCACGCGTTCTGAGTGCAAAACGCCAGCCTCGAGCAATACTCCAACATCTTTATTCCCCACCTTCACCAACCTGCAATGACCAGCGTGGTGAAGTATGGTCAAATAACCCCCCTCCCCCACAATCCATACGGAGTGGGGATGCCCTCTTGCAGCAGTGGATTGACAAAAGGGCTAGACGGTTTTAGAGTCGTGCACTCTTCCAAGAGTGGGCTGACAATTCGTTTTCCCGATACCATATTTGGATGAACCACCCTTCAAAACCTCCCAAGTGCAAACGTCCTGAGGGCTGTGTCCAAAAACGAGAACAGGCGTGTGCCTCCGCTCCAGTCGAACGGTCTGTGAAAAAAGCTATCGGCGCACCCCGCCAGCGGAGTGGAGGTTTGGTCGGCGGTCTCACCACCGTCCCGTTTCGTGGCTTGGCAGAAAGCGGCGTCGGCGATGTCGAAGCACCAAAAGGACGGGATCCGCACGGCGGACGGGCACCTGGCGGACGGCAGCTGGGAGCTGTCGGTGACCATCACGGACCTGGAGCGCCCCGTGACGGTGCGGCTCAAGGGGGACCTACACATCGGCGGCCTCATCCTCAGGATCGTACAGGCCGCCGGTGAGTGTCGCGATCGCCTGCGCCAAAAACGCTGGAACGTGCGCGGCAGCGGCGGAAAGGGTTTGCACCGTTGCGCGGCTGCGACGAGCAAAATTGTTGCGTAAAGAAATGTAAGCGTGATAACTATGTGTCTCGACAAGAATTCAGCTCGCGTAGCCGCAAACCAATAATGCAGATTGTTGTCCAATACGATTGGACGACAATGTTCTTGTTTTTATATTGCCATGGCAACTTGATTTTAACCAAAACATTCCGCTCGCTTAAGTTACAGCCCTTTATAAATCCACTGCCATGTTCAAGTTTCAGGTTTATCTCATTTAACCAAGTGATAGTGACCTGGGTCAGTAGTGGGGGTTAATTGAACAATACATCGCCAAGCAGGTGAGCGTGAGTTATTGAAGGTGGGGTGGAGCGTTGGGGGGGGGTTAGTTTCCCACTATCAGTTCAGATGTCACTTCACCCCTGATGTTGCCCATGACCAGGAATTGAAGTCACTGGGTTCATAGCGCAGTGGTGCTAACCGCTGCACAACCGATCCCCTTCCACTTGCAATAGTTGCAATAAACAACACGTCGGTTGTTGTTCGATCTTTGTTTAGTTTTTTTTCCGAGTACCATACAGATGTGGATGTTGTTGCTGGTGTGAGGGTATGCCATGGTCGATGACTATTTGTCACCACATTCACGATGATATTCCAAGAGAACATTGCCACGGGAAATGGAAGATTCTCGGTAACGCTTCATTAGGGGAGTAACAATGGAGCGATTCATTGTTTACTTTCGATTCTTAAAGATGGGCAACATACGCATCAATTTGACGTGTAATAATCAGTGTCCCGCTTAAACGAATGTGTTTTTTTAAAAAGAAGTGTCGGCACAAAAAGCGGCAAAGCCCGTCCCCCCGGTGACTCGGCTGCGTGCGGCGCGGCGGCGGCGACGAGGAGCTGGCAGGAACCGCCGTGCGTGCCGCGGCAGGTTTCAGCTCCAGGCTGCCTCGCTCGCTGCCCAAACCGTTCATTCATTCTGCTCCACGCGAGTCCAGAGGCCAAATGGCACGCAATGCACCTGGTCTCACGAGCCAAGCCGAGTTGAGCATGCATAGTGCTCGCTTGGGTTGGGGCAGGGGTCGGCAATCTGAGGGCACGTCGAAGGACTGCTTCGTGATTCTATGAAGGACCATCTCGGGTTCACGTGCATTGGCAGCTCTTGAAATATTGCGGGGGGGGGGGGGGGTTTCCGAATTTGGGAAAAAAAATTGTTCGTTATTTCGGTTGTCGACCCCTGGGTATGATTGACCACGCACCCACAGGATGTCGTAGAGCTGCGGGGTGATGTGGTGGATAGCAGAGGGCATTGAAGTGTACTTTATATGCTTGCACATTTATGCTCCCCCACATTTACGAACCTGCACGAACCTGCCGGGTGAAAGGATGTTCAATTAACCCCTGCGGCCCACACTTCCACGGGGAGGCCCACATTCAGTAGTCGATCGAGAAAGGGATAGATATGTATGGATGTATGTTGAACTTCTTTCGCACTGTACATATCCAACCACGCTAATGGGAGGTGCGGGCGAAGGACAGCAAACTAACCACAAAAAGCAGTTCTCAAGAAATGAGTTTCAATCTTGATTTGAAAGTGCATAGCTCCAGTGGCTTCCTAATATCAGAAGTAAGAGGGTTCCAGATGGCCGAAGAAGTGCATCTGAAAGCGCGCGATGCAGTGGCCGCTTTGTTCGATGGCTCGCGAAAAGCCGCTGTGAGGATGACCGGAGTTCGCGTGATGGTTTGTGCCGCTTGACGAGATCGGGAAGGTGTTGTGGTTCATATGTGGCAAGCTCTTTGTGTGTGATGAGTGCGAGCTCATGATGCACATACTCACCGACACACGCTGTGAGGATGACCGGAGTTCGCGTGATGGTTTGTGCCGCTTGACGAGATCGGGAAGGTGTTGTGGTTCATATGTGGCAAGCTCTTTGTGTGTGATGAGTGCGAGCTCATGATGTACATACTCACCGACACACTTTATTCACGTTGAGCAACTAAACGGACTTTGAGAATGTAAAGTTACCGAGCGAGTTTTCCACATTCCTGGTCACAGTTATAGTGCTCAAGCAAAAAAGACAGCCACCCACACAATTTGACTTCTCTGGCAGTCGGTCGGTAGTTAACCACGGAGGATATTTGCAGACGATTTGACAAACAACAGCTGGCCGAACACGACGGTGGTGCCGGCTAAACGGAGTTATCGGCTGCGATCGGTGGGAAACGCCTTTGTCGAGGAACCGAGTGTTGACACTGTCAGCAGAATGGAATTACGGGGAGTCAAGTTGGTTTTTTTTTGTGGGCAGGGGTGGGACGAACAACCCCCAGACACAGGCTGCAGACAACACTTTGTGCGGGACGTAAAGAGACGCGCCGCACCTCTGCCCCGTCCAGGATGTGCAGAGATGTGCCACTTGAGAGCCGTGAAAGATGCTGTCGAGTAAACCACACGTGGTGCAATGGTCACGACACTTGCTTTGTAATCCGGAGGTCACTGGTAACATCTCATGGCACGGCAGTTGAAGCGAGACGGTGCAAGTTTCCTGAATGCCCCTGCCTCGGTCCACCCAGCTGTATAAATGGGCGCACCAAAGTTCGTCAAGCGGCAGTTGGCGTGTGGTGCAGGGGTGATGTGTGTGTGCCCCGACACGCTTTCAAGACATCTGGCTAACGTGGACGAGTCGACGAAAATGCCCTCTTTAGAGAGGGCATTTGTAGTGGAGGCCCTTTCGCCAGCAGTGGCATTAGCAGGTAGCACCTTTGCCTCCTTTAACGTAAAAATAAGAGTGAAATGTTAACAAAAAATTGGCACGAACTCGACGTTGGACTAATGTAGAAGCGTCACGAGGTGTTCCAGAAAATGGAATTCCACTTTCACGTAAAATAATTGTCGGAAGCCTTTCGACGCTTGACCCATATCACTCAGAAAGTGCCCGAACGTCAGCTCTCGGAAGCTGAGCAGGTTTGAGCCTCCCGTAGTGCTGGTGCGGGTGACCACCCTGCATGCCGGGTTGCCATAGACGGTTGTGGGGCTTTCACCAACCTGCACTGGCCAGCGTGGCGAAGTGGAGTCAAATAACTCCCATGATATGCACCACTATGTGGAGGGACTCATCCTGCAGTGGATTGACAAAAGGGATGTGAAATGTACATTGGTTGGTTGGTGTTTGAGACTTGATATTTCTAGTGAGCATCTGTTTAAACAATGGACCGGTTGGGTATCATCAGCTAAGGATGGTTAGAGTACTCCTGGGGTCGCCAGGTAATAATGGCAAGAGCACTTCCTCTGTATGGACTAATGGATTGTTATTATTAGACAATGCAGTATCTTTGTGAACTGTGTTGAAAATATTAGGTTGGCTACATGCACCTGTGGACTTTGCTTACTGACTTTGTTTTTAAGTCACCGTTTTACTGCTCAAACGTGCGTTGAGGCAATGTCCATGTCCCATTTACAGCCCCGAGTCAGTGGTGGAAATTTCACAATCCTATATCGGGGGCGAGTCTATCCCAAGAACAACCACCGTCGATTGTGTGCACTCAAAGCGGTACTCATTTTATCGACCCACGGAGGGATGAGATGGGTTGAGTCAATCGCCAACGGGGATTTTATCTCACACCCTTCCAAGTACGAGCCGATCCCTCTACCAGAGCCACGCGGCTGGGCAACGTTTGGCTACCGCCGAGGCAGTTGTGCAAGTGCCACACGTGCCGTGAGCTGGGCGCCTTTGTGATCGGAACCCTTTCCTGTTTACTCATCCTCTGACTGATCAATGCGACTGCAGGCACCTCACAATGAGCAGTGGGTGGAGACTCTCCCAAGCAAACCGCACACAATTACCGTTTCAGTTGATGCCTGTGACGTTATTCATGAGAATGGATTGCTGTGCTAACGGTGGGATAATTACCCATGATTAGTTGAACGAGGCGATGTCTCTTCCTCCGTGCCTGCTGGAACCCGACTCTTCTGTGCCGACGTGGCTGGTGGCCCGGGTCACGTGCTATTCGGTCAGTGCAGGCGCTCGGCAATGGGTGGCGGTGATGCTGTGACACGTGGCAATTTGTAGAGATGCTCGCGGTGCGTGCATGGAATCGTGCCTGCGGGAAATCTATCGCTCGCTACTTTTGGACATGATATGGTGATGTCGGGGTGGAGCGGTGGCGCAGTGGTTAGTGCGCGGCGCTATGAACCCGACCACCAGAGTTCGATTCCCTGGCACGGCTAATAATAATGCGATTTGTAGCATGCGGAGCCAAGCTCGGTGTCACTCGAAAGCCATGTGACAGAGGTGGGGCCTTGAAGTAGCTCTTAAAAGCAGATGCTGCGAATGTGCAGTGGGATGGTGTTCCAGATGGCGAGGGTTAATATCAGTGATGAGTTTTCAATAAATATTGAAAACATATTTCTTTAGAACTGCTTTTCGTGTTTAGTTTGTTCTTCCCCGCACCTCCAATTAGCTACATTCGGTGCAGAAGCAATTCAACATACATACACCTGAACCGGTCCCGGGTCCTTCGTTTCACCGCGCACTGACCAGCTTGGCGAAGTATAGTCAAAACGAACCCTCATAACTGACGTGGCGTGTGGTGGCCTTAATCCAGCCATGCGGTGGCCTTAATCCAGCCATGTGGATTGACTAATGAGCTGTAAATGATGACGCGAATGCTACATGTGGCTCCATGGAGTGAACAAAAATTTACAAACCAGGCGGAACTATTTCAAACGCCACAAACGAGATGCTAAAGAGGAGACGATACATTAATCGATTTTTTTTATCAAATCGCGGCCATCGATAGTGACTTGAATCAAATGCATGGTTAATGCATGTACGTAATGTCACATATACAGTCACCACAATGGCCCCTGTAGAAACATCACGGACTGCGAGATCACCTGCCTTTGAAATGTAAGCTGTTTTTTTCTAAAGATACAAATCAATGACGAATTAATGGAATTGTAACAAGGGATCTTTTCTGACGTCGCTGTGCGGGCAACGAGTCTCTGTGGAATTATCGCGTCAAGTTCTATTTTGTCCCAGACAAGAGCTTGGAGCAAGCGTGTCGCACTGCCCGCTAATATCGGTGGGCGTTTACAGAAAAACCCTGCCTCCTTTCCAGTCAAGGCTGCATGTCGATGCACTGACATTTTGGGAACCAAACCGCACACGTCTTGGCTTTCATGAAACATAATTCATGATATAGTTTATATCACATCATAGACAGAAAGCAGCAGCAGCACCCATTCAAATGCGATCGTGAACTCTGCTCATGAACCAGAGAACCTTGGGGTACAGACATATACGAGCAGAACGGAGTTCTGTATCTCCACAGTAAAATCCCTCGGTGTATAATATCAGACCAATATATCGAAGCATAAATAGTTTGAGCAAGCAAACTGGACAAAATAAATACATTTGCGCAGGCTACATTTACCAGAAACGTACATTATCAGAATTATACTAAAAATAAATTACAGTAATAGACCGATTTACGTTTCTCCCTTTTATGTCGTTTTCCAAATACGTCCTCGTTGTTTTTTTTAAATGCCGCTACCTGATTCGCGTCGCCTGAACCACACACTGTCGTCGCTGATGGCGTTGTCCATCCTTTCTCGTGTCCATTGTCTCGGCCTTCGCCTCCACCTCCCCTGTACATTTGCTTTGATTTACGTCAATTTCGACATTCGTTGCACCTCTCAGGAATGCATCCCCTGACGAACACACCGGGGTATTACTGTACCGCAGCGGTTTTTTTTAAAAGCCCACAATTAGTTTATTTGTTTTGTTGTAGGACCATTCATTTTAGCCGTGCGTCATCGCGATCCCATGTGCATGCTCAATGTGCACCTTACAGGGGCACGTGGCCAATGCGACAACAATCACACAGTTTGGTAATGGACAGTTCAGTGGTTTTGCCTTGTAGCTGATTGTTATGTCATGCGGTAGTTGATACAGCTTTTGGGTATTTTATGAATGCACTTCTGCATTTACAAAAGTCCCCATTTCTGCTTCAAATCTCAACAACCTCTGCCACGTTTAACAAACGTACCGACCCAGCTTTTAGAAGTGAGTCTCGCTATGGTTACTGTTTGTCCCAGTTTTTGCTTTTCGAAAGCCTATTGAGAAGCAAAGTATCTTCTTCCCTTGTGGAAAGTGCTCCACGGTGGAATGTCGAGTAACCAGCCCACAGCTATAATAACCAACGGCAACATTTGACATTTCAAGACTGGGGGACTGGTTTTGTTTCTGTTGCAGTATAATGCACCGCACGGCAAACCTCTACGTCTGTGGAAGTTGCTCTCCGTGGCGTTGGACACAGTTAAATGTAACGCCATGCGGAAGATGGCGAGGTTAGCATTGGTCAATTGCACTTTGTACTGTACGAGACAGACCCCGTGAAATTGCACGGTTCAGTCCCACACTTCCCCAACAAAGACTCAATGTGTGCCTCTCGCGTTACCCAGATGTGTCTTCGTTTCACAAACTTGCCTTTTCAATCCATAGGTCAAAATTCAATGTCTGCACTCCTTCAAAGGAGGCGGCGTAGCCAAACTACGCGAACTCTTCTCTTCTAAAGCTCTCTCGTCGTGGAAAACAGACCTCGACATTAGCATTGAGCCACTGAACGTGTTGCTGCAGGTGGAGCCCTCAATCCACTGCACGAGAAAAACGACTCAAGCGCTGTGACTGGCCAACCTGACTCACAGACAAATGAAATGTTTTTTTATGATAACATAGATGCACTTAAAGTGCAATGGGTGCATTTAAATATGACTCATTTATTGTATTCATAATTGTACTCAACGAGCATTGCTTTTCAGTTTCATTCTGTTTCTAGGCATTAGTCAATACAATTCGCTAAAGTATGACTAACTTCCTGAGTGGGATAAAAAAAATGTAAGTAGGTTAAATGTAGGAGCCAGCCACCAACTAAACCAAGTATCGTTTTCACCTCGGGCTGACTCAACATTTGTAATTGTAGTCATATAGCAGTAACAACCATACTACGCAAAATACTACAACAAACGAAGCACCCTTAATTCCACAATTTAAGTGTGAATTAACCAATTTTTGTCCGTGAAAAAAGATTAGGCCACTGCGTGCCAACGCCACGGTCCAAATTTGTAAAATTACTCGCAGATTACTTAAAGCGGAAAACACACAGCAATTCCCGCCTCCTACTGCGACAACTCAACAGGACACCTGCCTGAAAAGGGCGTCGAGGCTGCACGAGGCTTTCCTGAAATAAACAATGTCCTTGTACATTTCAGTTCCGAGCGTTCCCAGGCTGTGCGGACACAACACATAGGTGCTGGAGAGTGCGGTGGAGGGCATGGGAGGAGCGGTGTTGTGGTTACGGCTGTTGCTCAAGAAGGCGGCCTTATCACCCCTCGCGCAGATGGCCATAACAGGAAGCGAAGCCGAGCCCAACCGACCGCACACACACGTGGCCGCCCACTGAGGAGGGCCTGCTCGCATCACACATGGCAGGGTGGTGGTGGTGGGGGGGCCCTCCTCTCCACGCCTGCAGGGTGCGTGCAGCCTGGCACGGTTAGCGCTTTAACCGAGGAGGCACCGACTGCGAGCTGCAAGCTTGGCCACGATTTTACACTATGAGACATCTCCTTTACCAGTGGCAAAATATAGTAGTAGGTTTTTTCCCTTTAAACTGGTACAAAACTGACACCTTTATAAGTCAGTTTTGTACCAGTTTAAAGGGTAAAAACCTACTTACTATACCTTGGCCACGCTGTCGTTCGCTCCATCGCCTAGGCTCGTTCGCGTGGCTTTCGAGCGACGCGTGACCGTGGCTCCGCGCTAACCGGTCATTTGTGCCGGAGAAAAATGTGCGCCATGGACATGAAACGCGTTGTGACGATTGTCCACCGTTATTCACTGTTATGGGGAGATTTACTCTGATGAGCTGAATTTCCGCTCTTTTCTTCAAGGAAATGATGGCGAGTTTCCACCAGAATAGTAAACATGAAAGTAGTCACACGAGGTGAAGGCTCAGCCCTGCAATTGCTGGCTCGTAGCAATGCTAGCGGATGAGCCTCCACTCGATGGCGCTCCAGAGAGCCTCCTCTAGAGTGTACTTGGCCTACTCTTCCACATTGGCCACACGTTAACTCCCACCAGACGCGACATGCCGATCGACTGTGTTGTACCCATTTACACTACTGGGTGGATAGAGGCAGGCGGATTTAACAAACTTGCACTCGTGTTGCAAATGCCGTGCCGGGAGATCGAACCGGTGACCTCTGCGTTTGGAAGCCCAACGTGCCAAACATCACTGCGCGACAGCCTCTTAGCATGAAAGGAATTCAACACATGGTTCCAGATCAACGAATTAGTGCTTGTAAATTGATTGGACTTAATATCATTTCGCCAACGTACAGTGCCCGTTTAATGTGTAAAGTACAGTATTGTGGATACTGTAATGGGTGACATCGATCACAAAAAAGTTTAAATCTAATCAGATGCATCGTGCTAACACAATACCATTGGGCCAACATTGTTCTGGTTCCAACCACGTACCAATGTTGGCCCACAGTTTGAACCGTTGAGTCGCCGTTGTTTCCAAGAATGACCAAAAAAACTTCCAAACGAATGACGTATGTATGTTGAACTTCTTTCACACCGTACGTAGCCAACTGTGTCTAATTCGAGTTGCAGGGGAAGGACAACAAACTAAACACAAAAAAGCAGTTATAAAGAAATTAGTTTTCAACCTAGACGACTTAAAAGTCCGTAAGCTCCGGTGGCTTCCTAATATCGGAAGGAAAGAGCGTTCCAGACGGCCGCAGAAGCGCACGCCAGAGGTCGCAACCAGGTACCCGATACCCGTACCCTACCCGATACCCGGGTGCCCGTACCCGGCCGGGTAAGGGTACCCGTTTGCGACCCTGGTGCGGCCGGGTACAGGTAAGGAATCAAAACCCGTTTGCGACCTCTGGCGCACGCTGAAAAGGCGACATTCATATTCATGGTGACGACCCGCACCCCTCTCCCATGCGCAGACGAGCAGAGGGACTGGTCGGACCACGCCCTCTGGTGGGAACATCGCAAGCTGTGGCTGCTCAAGCACCCGTGGACGCTGGACAAGTACGGTGTGCAGGCTGACGCCGTGCTCGTGTTCACGCCGCAGCACAAGCTGCTGCGCCTGCAGCTGCCCAGCAGCAAGCGCGTGCGCGTCACCGTCAGCTTCTCCGACCCCGTGTTCCGCGCCGTCGCCGATGTCTGCCGCACGTGCAGTGAGTGGCGTCGCCCGCTCGCTCGCTCACCCGCTCATCCGCTGATCTGCGCGCTCGCCCACACGCGCTCGGTTGTTCGCCTGCGTCCTCTGCTGTCTACTCTCCTGCTTGTTCACCCACACACTCACCTGCTTCACTACTCGCTCGCTCACCTGCTCATCCACTTGCTTGCCTACCGAGCTACCTGTTTGCTCCCCTACCCAAGCGCTTAGCTGCTTGCCTGCCCGTGCGGCTATCAATTCTTGGTAATGTGATTGGCACAAACTAGAATGTCACGCTTCGGCTACTTACAGTGGATAAAACTGTGCAAAGGAGACACAATACAAGTAGGATGGTAAAAACGAGGCACGCATGAATGTATTCTGAAATCGAACCACAACCCTGTATCGTGAATCATGACAATTTAGCTGGCCAGGTCACCTCGGATCAGGCTTAATGTGCCGGGATGGGTCTACGGTTGATTTGACACCATGGTGGTTTGTAAGCCACTCCGATGTGCGAGGGCAGAGTTCCCTAAAGAAAACAGCCTTCCACATTGTCTATGACTGCCCCCTTTACGACAGCAGCGAGAAGATGGAATACAAAGTTTGATTAAACAAGATGACATTGAGAGGTTTGGACATCGGACGGTGAAAGCAAATGCAGGAAGAAGATTAACTCGCTGGGGAAGAGGGGGGAGGGGTGACTCATTGGATGATTCGCGATGAGCATCACGTGCGTCATCACAGTTCAGAATCAGAATTTTTATTTAGACTGGAGGAATCCGATGAGTTATGAAGCTCTTTTTCACAGATGTCCAGTAGGGGCAGGTCAGAAAGTTTCAACAATAAACGATACAAAAAAACATGATAGGTGTGCAAACAGTGGCGGCTCCTGCAAAATCTCTCAGGGGGGGCAAATGTCTGGATGATTGATAAGGATAAGGTCCACCCATGCAATGGATAAATTAACAGCTTAAGCATGTAAAGGCAACTTCACTTCTTTAATATTAATGAAAAATAAAGTGACTCTTACAATACATCTTGTTTGTTTCTATACTCACTATTAAAACAAACCACTCAAGTTTATTTTATTAAAGATTCCACTAGGTGGCGACAAATTATATTGTTGGATGAAACGTGCTTACGTATGATGACGTTAGCACGTATGATGACGTAAGCACGTTAGTGCATGCCCTCCCGGAAGCCATAGAGAATGAAATCGCCCAAAAAGAGGCGGTACTCCACAGAACGTGACATGACGCTGATTGGACTATATCCAGAGGCACAGTGGCGGCTAGCGTGACTCTGTGGTTGAATGACATTGGTGGTGCGTCGCCCAATCGCCCTAATGAAGAAACCGCCCCTGTGTGCAAAGTATAGGAAAGGTAAGCAAATCACAAAACCCACTGAGCTGTTAGGTTCTTTTTCAGAAGCGACCTGGCCACAAATGATAGCTCTACAAAGTGGCTTATCGTGTGGACACTCATAGCAGCCACATAATCTAAATAGCGCACGTTTGCCTTGCCCTCTGTGCCCCCTTCCCCTGCAGACATCCGGCACCCAGAGGAGCTGTCTCTGCTCCGCAAACCGGACAACCCAACCAAGAAGAAAAAGAAGAAGGACAAAGAGACGACGGACGACTTCCTGGAGCCACTCATCCAGGCCAGCGGCAAAGGTGGGGCGTGCCGTGCGGCATGTGCCGTGTGGCCTCTGCGTGGTAGCCTTGACCGCCCAGGTCACTGCCCTGTCCTCCTCTGCCTCCGCAGACGTGCAGTCGCACATGGACATCGGGCAGAAGTTTACAGCGAACCATCCGATTGATTACGTACGCAACCGACTTGGCCTTGTGGCAAGAATGGTCAGCCCAAATCTGTTCGTGGGTTGGTTTCATTCGGCTCGTCGTCCTCCCCGAGGAGACGATCAAATGAGCGCCGCGTTGCGCCACAGCGGGTTTGCCCGTAGGATGGAGTGCTCGCCGACATCCGTGTAACTTTCACTGATGACTGTGGACTGACGACGAGATGCCCACTGCCTCGATGCTCGTTTGGAGGGAGACTTATAATGTTGACATCACGCAGAGCACCCCTTGATAGAACCGTTCTCGAAGAAGAGTCTTGAACCTCGGTGAGGCTTTTATGGGTATAGAGGCGTAAATAAATTTCAAGTAAATAACTCGCTCCTAATTCACACCAGTTACTTGTGGACTGTGAAATACACAACCACGCTTCAGCAAATGTTGCCTTTCCCTTCATACACCGAGTAGCGCCCGTTTCCTCCTCCCCACCTGCACCATCAGCCCACAGCCGTGTAACAACATCTCCCCTACGCCCACCCCCCAGCAGGGCACGCAGGGCCTGTACAGCAAGACGATGACACCCATGTACGACACGAAGGACGGCACGCCGCTGGCCAGCACCGTGCAGTGGTTCGGCAGCGACGGGCTGACGGACGGGGGCCTCTCCGTGCTGGCCACGAGCGAGGCGGCGCCGGCCGACGTTCTGGCGCGACGCTACCGCCAAGAATCGCTCACCGACAAGGCCCGCATCAACGGCGGGTGAGCCAGCGTCGTGAGAGGGACACAAACACCCCCCCCCCCCGTAGCGTCTGCAGGGGGAGGGGGGGAAGGTGACTGGTGACTGGAGGGGGCTCAGCCAACCAATCCCTAAATTCTTCCTTAGTAAAGTCAAACAAATGTTTTTGCAAAAATGAGCACGGTTAAGCGACGGACGTCGCAGCCTTTGGTCGTACACACAGTGGGTTTAGAGCCAGAGCAGAATGCACAAGAGGCAAATGCCGATGGTATTGCTACTCAGATTTTTGTGTTTGTTGTCCTTCCTCCGCACCTCCAAATTGGCACGGTTGGCTACGTAGCGTGCGAAAGAAGTTCAGCATACATGCACACATACTCATTCTGTTCAGCGTTTTTAACACTTGTCTAACGTTTTTTTTATTACGCTAACCGGGTAGGGTTTTGGTGTGCACCCCTCTTTAGACACGGTCTCTCTTAAGTGCGTTCACTTTGGGGGAGGGGGAAACCCAAGAGAATGTGTGACCTCTGCTCGCGGGCGCGACATCGTTCGCGTGAGGCTCAGGAACGTGCGACGGTGGGGATCGCGCCCACCTCAGTCGCACGTGGGAAATTGCCCAATGCCAGGCGGCCTCGCGTTGTCCTATCAGGTGGTTGCTCACGAGTTGCCAATGAACAGCGGTGCATGTGCAGAATTTTCCTGCCTCGTCGCCACCGCGTACATAAACTGGCCACACGGGATGGCGCGAGTGATGAGACCCGTTGCCGGTTGCAGATGGCTGGACTCCTCGCGCTCCCTCATGGAGCAGGGCGTGAAGGAGAAGGACTCGTTACTGCTCAGATACAAATACTTCTGCTTCTTCGACATAAATCCGAAGGTGCGTTGGGTCCGGGATTTCTTTATAAATTACTTCAGAAATGTATTTGTCTCTTTTTTTAAAGAGGGTTGTCGAGACGGGCGGCTCAAGAGGTCAGTGCACTGAGCTGGCACCGCTGAAACCCTGGGTTAGAATCCAGGCAATCGTCAGTGATTAAACCGGGCTCTCGTGTGTAGTGAGTTCATGGTCTCGGCACGGTCAACAATGAATGTACATAAACGATAGTTATAGCTCTGCAAATAATTTAGATGCGTTCTAGCCCTGAGAATTGAAAATATTGATTCGATCGTGATTCAACAAACGTTACTGTGTAGCAGGGCAGGTGGAAAAGTGCTGCTCCCTCGTCTGGTGAAAATACTCCCATTGAAGGCATCTGCGAAGTAGTTCTGTGTTGTCTGCTTCTGCGGGCTATTCTGTAACATGGGGGGTGGGGGGGGGATACACTGCTTTGCGAAAGTTCTGAATGGATTCTTTGTCTCATGACGTGACACTGAAAGGACAATTGGCATGAAATTGTGGAAAAATACAAAAAAAGCGTAAAAAAAAGTTACAATTTTAATCTACGTGCAAGAAGTGAGAACTATTTCCCAACGTTGTAAATAAAATGGAAGTAATTGCGCAAAAATAGAATGAGATAATAAAATACAATCAATGAAGCATAGCGATTTAAATTTTATAACAGAGCAAATTTTTCATAGTTGTTTTAGGCATGCAGTTTCATAACAGAGTTTATCCATCTACTGCAGTTTACTTCGCATCAATTAAAATGGGGTTACCCGACTTCCACTCCTGGCTACCCAACACAGCAGGCTTTCCCATGCTTCCAATCTTCTCCGTTTAAATATACGTAAAGTCATTACCTCCGACACAATTTCCCATGTGGCTTACATGCAAGATTGAGCTCGTGCGTGTGGACGTGTGCATGCCTACCCAACGTGGTTAGGGAGCGCCGATTCAATCTGGGCAGCATTCTCTGCATCACATGGGGCATGTTCAACACAATCTAGGCAGAAGTGTAGGCACTTTGTTTACGGGAATTGCCATCATCATGTTTGCCTTGTCCGTTTGAGGCGGTGGAAGTACAACATACGCGTCCGCTGTGAGTCTGAATGTGCCTGCCTGCCCTCCCGACTGCCCTACCGGCTCCTCCCAACATCCCCTTCCTCCTGCTTCTCTCGTCTGCCCTCCCGACTGCCCCTCTCGACTGCCTGCTCCGCATTGTCCCTCCCGATCGCATGGCCTCACGCCCCCTGCTGCGATCCACAGTACGACGCCATCCGGATCAACCAGCTGTATGAGCAGGCACGCTGGGGTATCCTCCTGGAGAAGGTGGACTGCACGGAGGAGGAGATGATGATGTTCGCCGCCCTGCAGGTACGATCGGCCGCCTCGCCGCTCCGTGCGTGCCGCACCCCGCATGCTAACACCATATTTCTGTTACATTGGCGAGCTCGTTGGCCGCCCGCGTTTTTGGCCGATGCAGCTCGGATTGATGCCTCCGAGGTACAAGAAATTGGGACGGTTTGCAGAACGCGCCCAGCTTCGAAAGAGGCCGTGTTAGTTTGTTCGGTCCAGCGAATTGAAATGTAAAGAGTTATTCAGGTAGGATTCATGTACGATAGTCTACAGAGAAGTCATTTCTGGTAAAAAAAAAAAGACATTGCAGCACAAGTCCAGTGAACTGTATTCAATGCCGGGCCATGGACCCCCAGTGGCAAAAGCCACCTCGATCCAGTCAGTTGATGCTAACTAAACTAATCATCTGGTAACGTAAAATCAACATTTGCAGTTTAGTTTCAGGAGGTTGTGGGTTCGATCCCAACCCTGATGCCTGTATATTTGGAGTTTGCATGATCTTCCCGTGGTCAAGTGGATTTTTATCTGGGTCCTCCAGATTTTCCCTCCACATTTAGAAATGTGTGTGTAGAGTATTTGGCTGCTAAACATTTCCACGTGATAAGCCAACTTCGTTGAGCTGTCATTTGCAGCCGGGTCGCTTCTGAAAAATAGCTATATAGCTCAGTGGGCCTTGCCTGGTAAAGTAAAAATTAACCCGTAAAAACAAAGTTTTTCACTATAAATCCTTTATATGCGTGGCGGCTAGAGTCCTCTCATCCTCTGGCTTGAGATGGCTGCCACCTATGGGTCAGATGATTGTCTGCAGTATTAAACAATTGGTAATTAAATATGTAATTTGTTTTCCCTAAACAGTGTAAAATTTTGGAAAAAAAATTTCACGAACATTAATTGTCTCGCACAACGAGTCTGTGTGCAAAATGCCAGCTCGATTGGATCACGGGAAGTGGGTTAAAAAACGACCGAAAGATTTGCACGATCGTAAGCAAGCAAGCAAGCACGCAAGTGAACTTAATATAAAGGATTTAAAAATAGTTTAGTTTTTAGACAAGGGCAGCCGGGCATGCTCGGTCCTGGCCACGCCACCATCTCGTGTGCCGCGCAAGCCTGAACAGGTGCTCACTAACAATGCTCGCTGGCAGCCCACGAGGCTAACTGTGGGGAGCGGGGGCGTTTCTCTTCCCTGGGTAACAGTACCATATCAGCAAGCTGTCTGCGTCACCGGAGATTCGCAAGGTGGAGAGTGAACCGGATGTGGATGCGGTGGATTCAGCCCTCAGTGACCTCGAAGTGGCTTTGGAGGTCAACAACCCAAGCATTCCCCTGGTAACCAGCTCTATTGTGTCATTAGACAATAAAGGTGCGTCTTCCTCTTGGTTCTTTCGGTAAAGTCACGTAGAAGGGAAGTAATAAAATAATATTATTTTATATTATACTATTTTATTTTATATGTTTTATTTTTATTATTTTATTACTTCCCTTCTACATGACTTTACCGAAAGAACCAAGAAGATGAATCCCTACAGTCACGAAAGCTTTAAATCGAAATGTGCGTCTGTCTGTTATAAAAGTAACATGTTATAATTTTTCGTCGATCAGACTTATGGGTCTTTCGGACCATTGTTTTCCGGCAGGGGTTTAAGTGGGAAAACCTTGGGCTGGTTTCAACTGTCAAAGTCTCATCAGCAGTCAGGCCTAGTTAAAGTTAAAACAATGTTGTTAGTTTGCCAAGTGTCACAGATAAGAGTTATCCACCAACACCATCTCTCTTGAATGATTGTCTCCTTGGTTCGGTTCTACACAAGTAAATTCTGAACCTGTTTTGACATTCAGTGTTTCATCATCAGAGTCGGGCTCGCTTGCACCAATGCTGGTGAACTGCCAGATATTTATAGGCAAGAACCCTCTCTGTTGAATACGGGTCCGGGATTTTCTTGTGCTGAACCAATACTGCTGAAATCACGCATGCCCAGAAGACGAAAATGTTCAACCGGTGCATATAACTCACGGACATAGATTATAATAGATTGAATAATAAGTGTAGCTGATGGGATCTGTAAAGAAATACCAACATTTGTTATGTGGAGAGACAGATATGGGAATGGGGTAGATTGCCTGATTCTTTTGTTACTTATATTCTCCATTATAATGCAAATGTTTATGTTGCGACTACTATTGAGTGCAGGTCGTGTGCTCCCTGAAGTTGAACTTTTTTGTTGCGTGTGTTTGCAGGGAGATTTAACCTCCATCCCACAGCTCGATGATTACATCAAGGTGTTCAAGTAAGTGTATGGGTGTACATGGGTGTTCAAGTAAGTGCATGGGTGTACATGGGTGTTCAAGTAAGTGCATGGGTGTACATGGGTGTTCAAGTAAGTGCATGGGGCCCACGACAACATTTTCATGCCCGGGTTCTGCCGTATCCAGCACACTTCTAAGTTATTCAGCACCTACGATTTGCATCGTTGGCTTACGTACGGTGCGAAAGAAGTTCAATATACATGTGACTGACTAAATGCATTGTTCTGAGTGGTCTTAGTACAATGCATTACATGCTTCTGCTTTTTTATATTTAAAACTACGCCAAAAAACGTTGCCGCTTTACTTCTCAAGACAAGAAGTGGGGCAAGTGATTTAAATAAAATTTTCTTTGTGAGACATTTCAACACGAGGAAGGAAATTAGTCATCATCAGTGTGAAATTTCCACATCGTGACAATGGACTTAAATACACGCAGACCCATGATATGATGGGAAACTAATCGTTTTGTATACAGCTCAATTTCCAATTTGCCGCCAAAGAAACAACACTCGCCTTGTCATAAGGGCCCTGGATTGCAACGCTTGGCCATCTCCACAAATTAGTGGCATGTGGGAGGCAATCCACCGCGCGAGGGCATAACTCTGAAAGCGCCACTCAGAGTCTACTGCCAGTGGCAGGCTTGCACCCCAAGCCTATAGCATCTGGTATTCCCAGACAGTCACCCATCCAAGTACTAACCAGGCTCAAGCCTGCTGCGTTTATAAAATCTGACGAAAATGAGCCCACTCAGGGCGATTTGGCCCCAAGTAAATGAGTGAAGGGCCCAGTAAAAACCCCAACCATATGTTGTGTTTCAAGGCCCAAGAGGTTGACGCTGAAGGGCTACAAGCTCTACTGGTGCGTCTTCAAGGACACCTGCATCACCTGCTACAAGAACAAGGAGGACAGCGCGGGGGTTCCTCTGCAGACCATGAACCTCAAGGGTACGAGGAGTCGGCAGCCGAGCCTCATGCAGCTCCCATTCCCAACACGTTCCGCTCTGAAAGAACCAGTGCCATTTGGCTTCGATGCCATTCCTGGCACGACTGTTGTTTATGTAAAAAAAAATTATTTTTCCCTGAGTGGAGCGGGGATGCAGCGATTGGTGCACTGCGCTATGAATCCGGCGACCCGCTTACGATTCCGAGCCACGGCTGTCGGTGGCGAGTGATATCTGACCTGATCCTTGCCTCCCTCACTGATAAAGCTGCACTGACCAGCGTGGTGAAGTGTGGTCAAAAACCACGATGACTGACACTGAATGGGGAGACCATCACCCAGCAGTGAATTGATAAAAGGCTCCAAATTATTGAATTGTATTCTCCCTTTAATCTCTAAATCCACCCCGCTCCTCCACCAATTACATAACATCAGAACATGATATTCATGGCTTGCACTGTTATTAAATATAGCTGTCCATTATGTTTCTCACTTGAGTGCTAAAGTTTGACTTTGAGCTCGAGGCAATGTCACTTAATCTCAAGCATCCGAGAATGATAAGGAGCCTCATCATGAGTGGCACTATTTCTGCACGTTGCCACTTAGCCATCGTCAACTCCAAAACAATGATTGTTTCCTTATTTTTTTCCTCCCCAAGGCTGTGAGGTTGCACCCGATGTCAACATCTCTGGACAGAGGTTCAACATCAAACTGATGATCCCGGTTCCCGAAGGCATGAATGAAATCTGGCTGCGCTGTGACAATGTAACGTTTGACCACCGCTAAGTACTCAACACACGCACTCACTCACTTCGGTCGTTTGCTGTTACTGAGCCTGTCAATCATTGACGCTGGTACATCGTGGGTTGGACTCGATGTATACGCCCTCTGAAATCTGCTATTTAAACAAAAGGGGAAATAAAGTGAGGTTGAAATGCAGAACACAAACATTCCCGCAGCCCCCCCCCCGCAGCCCCCCCCCCCCCCCGAGTTACTATTATAACCCCATGACCTTCCAACGAAAATGCACGTGATAGTGTACAGCTTGGGGGAGGAATTCATCCAGCAGTGGATCTACAAAGGGCTTCTCAATTTTTATTATTATTATCACTAAGTAAACTGTATGTGAAGAGGATCAGTGGTTCATTGACAGCAGGTTCTTCACCAGTGTAAAAGTATTGTCTTATACAACCGATATGCTGTCATTAAAATGTCCACAACTGCTGAAAAGAATACATTATTGATGGTGAGACACAGCTGAAAAACACGGCAGGAACATGTACCAAGGGCAACTGCTGAAGTCTGACCAAAATCAAAACGATGACACTAAGACAACGAGAGCAGGATGGTTTGCCTTTGATAAGCCAAATATGGTTGTGAAAAGCAACATGCTAATATGCCCGTAGACGAAAATGTTCAACCGGTGCATATAACTCACGAACATAGATTATAATAGATTGAATAATAAGTGTAGCTTTTAGGGGCATAACGATGCATGAACCAATATAATAATTCACCCCGCAACACATCCGTCAAAATGCATAATGGATTAATGTGACCCCTAAAGCCACTGCTCTCTTCATCTGTGTAAAGTAAAAACAAATATTAGATTCTTAAATCGAGTCCAGCCTGAATCGTGATAAGTAATTTAATCAGAAGGGGGGGACAGGATAGGGGGCAGATCGTTACGCCACTGCCATTGTCTAACTGTGTCGCTCGCAACGAAACGTTCTGAAACTTCCCCGCCCGGCGCGTGCAGGAGGAGCAGTACGGCCGCTGGATGGCGGCGTGCCGCCTTGCCTCCAAGGGCAAGACGATGGCGGACAGCTCGTACCACGGCGAGGTGGACAGCATCCTGTCCTTCCTCCGCATGAAGCAGATCAGCCCCGACGTCCAGATCTCCAGCCAGAGCATCAGCGCCGCCGACATGACGCCCGAGTGCTTCGTGTCGCCGCGCTACGCCAAGAAGATCAAGACGAAGCAGGTGGGGGCCCGGAGCGGGAGACGGATGGCGAGAGCTGTATGTTCCCCACCGCTGGCTTATGACGATGATGATAATAATATCAATGTTGCAATTCATAACGTGCGCAGTCATCATGGGACCTCCTTTGCCAGTACCAAAATACACCTTTTGCAAGGAATCATGCTTATATTAACCACAATACTTGCAGTCAAATGCAAACAAAAAACAATACTCCGATAATGTATGCATTGTCTTTGAAACTGATTGGTCCACACCAGAGACCGCTTTCTTTGGAGCCTAGTCTCATATGGTGTTCGACCTTTTGGCGTCATTGTTTTTTGTTTGCATTTGACTGCAAGTATTGTGGTTAATGTAAGCATGATTCCTTGCAAAAGGTGTCAGTTTTGTTGCAAGAAAAAAGGGGAAAACCCCTATTAGTTAACGTGCGCAGTGTTTCACAGACGTAATACAACATCAAGTTGTAACAAGCCGCCGCGGCACGGTATTCGCTCGCTCGCTCTCGCAGAGAGAGAACGACTCACGAGTGGCGCGAGGAGGAACCGCAGACGAGCGGGAAGGCAGCCACGCGATGCGCTGCTGCCAACTATTGCCCAAACTCGACGGTCCTCTGTATATTGAATGACCGCGACTCTGAGCCAAGCTCAGTGTCACTCGAGGGTCAGGCGAAAGAAGCGGGGCCTTTGAGTATCTCTTAAAGTCGGTGCAGATTGAACGCCGCCGCTGCTGCTGCTGCTTTGAATGTGCAGCAGCAGCAGCAGAACGACGATGATGATGACGACGACGATGAATGGCCGTGTTCCAGACGGCAGGGGCAGCCACGGAGAAGCAATGGCTGGCAGTGACGGTCCTGCCCCTTGGTGTTGAGAGGAGGAGGTTGCGAGTCGCATTGCTGCAGAGGGTTCCTCTATGAGCCCGTGCAGTGCGGGGTGACGGGAGCGGAGAGAGTGACGGTTGAACGTGAGCTGGCTGTGCTGTGGTGGTGCTCACGCTGTGCCTCTGTTCCTTGCCCCCCCCCCTCCCCCCACCAAGCTTGCCGCTCGCATCATGGAGGCTCATCAGAACGTGGCCAACCTGGCCTTAGTGGAGGCCAAGATGAAGTTCATCCAGGCATGGCAATCGCTGCCCGATTTTGGCATCGCTCACTTTGTCGTGAGGTTAGTGGATGCTATATTTTGCAACAGATTGTTGGGGCGAGTGCTGTTTGTGAGCACCTATAAAGACCGGCACGGCACACGAGGGGGGCAGGTGGCCAGCACCACGCCCGTCCGCCTTTGTCTCGTCTCCCCAGTGGCGACATTTACACATCATTTGAGGCTGAGTCGACCTAGATGATACAGGCAGATAATCACCTTCCGCTCCCAGCCCCCGAGCCCACCGAGGTCACCTCGACCTGCCGAGGCTCATGACCTTCCCCAGCATGCCCAATGCTTGGCCAGGACGCGGAATTTGGAGTTATTTTTTGTTGCATTATGAAGATTTCACTGTAAATTAACTGGTTCAGGTGTGAATTCCCCATCTCTGCTGCATTAAATGAATCGATCAACTATGAGAATTCAGGTTCCTTTTGCCTCATTTAGTTGTAATTTATTTTGTTATCCTAAAGGTAACGTCGTTTACAAAAATTGTGACGGATCCTCACATGTACAAATAGATGTGTGTATTTTGAGTAATATTATTATTTCCAGAGGTAAATTAATCGTTATAGGCCCCGTATAAGCACTCGCAGATTCGTTTCTGTATATTCTTTAAAATGTTTTTGAACAGTGTTGCCAATGAGACTTGCTCTGTGGCATAGGCATGGCTGGTATGGACCTTGGTGCAAGGAATAAATGCAGCTCTCTGTCCAATTTCCACCCCCCCCTCCCCATCCTCTTCAGCCCAGCACTTCCTGGCCCATGAGCCCCGGTGCAGACACACACCGCATGCAACGCACGATAAACTACGCATTAGACAAGCTGTGAGAGTAGTCTGTTTTCCTACAACGCGTGTTATCAGAACCCGAATTGGATATGATGCGATGAATGTATTGGGGAACACATTTTTTTCTTAACGCGGACGCGAATTGGCTATAATGCGATTTGGTGAACAGAACTACAGTCGCGAGAGTAGGAATAAGCGGTTGTACGGCTGCCTCGGCGTAGCATCACACACAAGGCGGTATGCTGCTGGATGTTTCCAGATGCTACCCACGCATCTCAGTCTTTGTTCAGCCTGCATACGCATCTCACAGCGTCATCGCGGACTGTGCTTTACCCTATATTTATATTATTATAACGTGATTTCTCCATAACGCAGTGCTCTTCAGGAACGCAACTGTATGCATGTTAAGCTAATAATAACAATGAGAAACCCAGCTTTGTTATAACACGTAGCCATCTGCAGACATCCTGTACGTGGTCCTTTACGATCGGAGCGTGCTCGACTTGTGGCAGGTTCCGTGGCAGCAAGAAGGATGACGCCCTGGGCATCGCGTACAACCGCATCATTCGGCAGGACGTGAACACGGGCGAAGCCATCAAAACCTGGCGCTTCAACAACATGAAGCAGTGGAACGTCAACTGGGAGGTCAAGCAGGTGCGCGCAAATACAGCAGCCTCCTCAACACGTAGACTTTCGCGGCCAATGTTATTATTGTGGGTCGACTGGACATCTGTGAAAAGTAGCTTTATAGCTCATCAAATTCTTCCAGTATACACACATGTTCTGCATAAGTATAATGTGTGTCGTACACCCTCCTCCACCCCACAAAGCCAATTAATAAAGGTGTCACGTGATGAACAAACGTGCCGAGGTTTACTACTGCTTTAAGCACCACGAGTGTTTCGGAGAGTGATCTCACAACATTTAACAATTGGTTTCGACGTTTCACTGATGGTTACATACAGCATCATCAGGCAATTGAAGATACAAATATCGGGTGGAGGTGGGTGCACAACACAGATTGTACTTGCGCGTATCTGACCCCAACATTTATTGTGACCTAAAGCAGTCTCCTGACGTTCTATCACTCAGGGGGCAACGTTTTAGAGTAATAATTTATACATGGATGAGTGATGTGCCACGATTGCACGGGTAAGCCACCCAAAGCCTCACGTACTCCCACACGTGATACATAATCAGCTGGAATAATGGCAGGCTTTATGGGATGCCAGAGGTAACAGCTGCATATGAATTGCACAGCATTTGCTTAAAGCATAATCTACTCTCATACGATGTAGGACATATAACGTGGCCATTAAACCATTCTTCAAAAGTTATTATATACTCGCGATGTCACATGCCAACAGATAACAAAACGCCACTTCTTCATCGTCTTAAGATGACTGTTTTTGTAACTGGCTGTCCGTTGTGCTCGTGCGTTTCCCCGCTCGCCGCGTCTTCGCGCGCCAGGTGATCATCGAGTTTGACGAGGAGGTGAAGATCGGCTTCAACTGCATCAGCGCCGACTGCAAGGTGGTGCACGAGTACATCGGGGGCTACATCTTCATGTCGACGCGCTCCAAGGAGCAGGACGACAATCTGGACGAAGAGCTCTTCCACAAGCTGACCGGCGGCTGGGAGTGAACTCCAGCGCAGGGGCGACACCTCCGTTGCAATCCCCTCCAAAGCCACACAGAGACCGGCGCAGCCGAGGAGGGGCACGTGGGGGCTGCTTCGTTTCACACCCCTATCCATTTACCCGACTCTGGCAGCAAGAGCACCCGAGACTTTGTTGCTCAATGCAAGAGAAAGTTCGCAAACAAAGCCCAGGCCAACTCCACCTTAATTCCAGCAAAGGTTACTTGTCAAATGTCTGCAATGTGTGCATCCTCGTCACGTCTTAAAAGGCAATGTTGTATTACCTCTGCAATTTGGTGCCGCTGCCTTCGATATTCTGGTGGCAGTTCAACTTTAAGCCAGTGTGAGTGTCTGATCTCACATCACTGTTCCAATCCTTGCCTCTTGTTGCCACCATCCAGTGTATAGTTTCTGTACACCCACTGGCTGCCCAGTTGTATGTACATATGTTGAACTTCTTTCGCACTGTACGTAGCCAACCGTGATAATAGGAAATGAGTTTTTAATCTAAATTTAAAAGTGCATAACTCCAGTGGCTTCCTAATATCGGAAGGAAGAGCGTTTAAGACGGCCGCAAAAGTGCATCTGAAAGTGCACGATGCGGTGGCTGTCTTTCTTCCATGGCCAGCCAAAAACTGGCCAGTTGATATTCGCCTGTTTACCCTTGTGCTCAAGCGAGTTATTTTCCCAGCGCATTCTTCTACAGACATTTGACTCCGAACGTGGTCACGCCGGTCAGCCCACTGGATCTCAATCGCTGTGTAAACTTTGCCCACACATGGGGGTGAAGGCTGCTGGAGTGCAACGTCTTGTGATTGCGTGTTTCGCTTCGGCACACACGATCAACCGACTGTATCACGCATATATGTAAGAGCATATATTTTTACCGCATCCGGAGAAGCATTTTGAACGCCACGCTTGATTCTGAAAGCATAAATGGCAGCTTTGATCTTGACCAAAAACGTGGTGTTTGTGACAAATCTGGGAAGACAATTCTAAATTGAAGAATCTGCAAGAAACCGGCGATGTTGAATGCGTCATGCCTGTCTTTGTAATGTTGCATTTTTATTGCGATCGTCTTGAGCAGTAGCCCAGTAAATATGCAACGTTGGCCCTACTTCGGCATGTGCTTGGATCAACATTGCCACCAGCATTTCATGTTTAATTGCAAGATACCTTTTAGTCAATGGTGTATCACAAACAGTATTTGTGAATCTGTAGCAAGGCCTATGCAGTAGATCAAATCTGATCGAGATGTTGCCATAAAATAAATTGCAGGTGCTCACGTGAATCCAACTGTTACTTTTTAGGACATCAGCATTTGTCGAAATGTTTCTTTTTTACTATTTCCTTTTTTTATTGGTATGAAAGTGTTTACAATAAAATATCTGAAAATTACACTTTTAAGTTTAATTTACCTTATTTATGCATCACATTAACAGCATTCATACTTTTAGCATTATACTTAACATACCAGTATTTTAATAATTTGAATTGTCAATGATGTCGAAATACAGGATATTAATTTTCCTCATGTTCACTTGATAAAACTGTACAAGCTAATTGACGTCATTTAATTTAAAGCGCATACTAAAAGCACGTGCAGTTACGTTAAAATCATTAAGCACATAAGGCCTCTTATCCACGGCACTATTACCAGCAACACCAATTATGTCGGAGAGCTGTAGGGCCTGCAAAAAACCCCTATAATCTGCCGCCCTATTTCAACCTATTACACTATGTAACAAAAATTGTGTTCCTGGGTAGTAAGTGTTATTTCGTAATTGCTTATGCCTAAAAAGTATAGAACATGGCTATTATTCCCCACAAACTTTGCTTTTATGACCAGGACAGTGATATTTTGAAATGCACCTATTTCCAATGAGAAAACGGGAGAATTTGTCTCTTTTCGGTTACATAAAGTCTAAAAAAACAACATATGAATCAAAATTAACATGTATTTATAGTAAAGTAATACAAAAATGACTACAAAAGATTTAGGAAAGTTTTTCTAGATTTACAATTATACTGTAAATCACTTTCACGAATCAGTCCCCAAATGAAGTCTCCCATCATGTTCTCGTTATACTGTCCTTGGTAGCGCCGTCCAAAGTCCAGTATATCCTGATGGAAGTGCTCGCCTTGCTCCTCCGAGTACGCTCCCATGTTCTCCTTGAATTTATCAAGATGAGCATCAAGGATATGGACTTTGAGGGACATCCTACAGCCCATTGTGCCGTAGTTCTTCACCAGTCTCAACCAGCTCCACATAGTTTTCGACCTTGTGATTGCCCAGGAAGCCACGAACCACTGCGGCAAAGCTGTTCCAAGCCGCTTTCTCCTTACTAGAGAGCTTCTTGGGGAATTCATTGCACTCCAGGATCTTCTTTATCTGTGGTCTGACGAAGACACCGGCTTTGACCTTTTTGTTAATACGTGCCAGGGACTCTATTAGATGATAAAACAATATTCTTAGGTTTTTTCGGTAAAGTCACGTAGGTAAAACATCAAAATTAATGAAAATAAAATAAAACAAAAATCACGACGTTTCGGAGGCAACACAAGTCTCCGTCATCAGGTGGGACCGTCACAGCCGAATTAGCTGCATCAAGTGAGGCAATGATTCAAGATGTAATCCCTTATAAGCAAGTTGAAGGGGGGAGGAGAGGGGGGGGGGTCATCAGAATGTGGTAGCCAATGAATGGAAACGTATCGGGAGGGAGGGGGGCAGGGCTCAAAGACAGCACGGAGTGCTCAACACATGCGGCAGAGAGGGGGAGGGGAGGCCTGATACACATGAAAGACAAAAGAACGAAAATGCCCATGTTTATACCAATTGGTATAAACTTTCATGTGTATCAGGCCTCCCCTCCCCCTCTCTGCCCCATGTGTTGAGCACTCCGTGCTGTCTTTGAGCCCTGCCCCCCTCCCTCCCGATACGTTTCCATTCATTGGCTACCACATTCTGATGACCCCCCCCCCTCTCCTCCCCCCTTCAACTTGCTTATAAGGGATTACATCTTGAATCATTGCCTCACTTGATGCAGCTAATTCGGCTGTGACGGTCCCACCTGATGACGGAGACTTGTGTTGCCTCCGAAACGTCGTGATTTTTGTTTTATTTTATTTTCATTAATTTTGATGTTTTACCTACGTGACTTTACCGAAAAAAACTAAGAATATGAATCCTTTCAGTCACGAAAGCTTCAAATCAAGATAAGACAATAGTCTGAGTCCATAATTGGCAATAAGTAACGGCAAAGCAGTTATAAGTGACTCAAAATTGTGCACAGTTGCGTATACAGTACACGACTTCCCTGAAGGCATTCACCTTCAGCGAGCGCGATGCCGATCACACGACGCGGTTCGAATTCGACCCTCGATCGATGGCTGCGCCATCGCCGCACACGCGTCGAATAAAAGGCAAGGGACAAGTCCTTACTTACTAACAACTCCTCTATCATTTTTCATTGCTGGAGGGGTTGCCCCCCCTTAGTGAAAATCCTGGCTCCGCTATTACTTGTAGACCTCGCACATCTTAGCAGATGCTTCCACAGAGTACTTTTTCGCTCTTGTTTTGATAAATTGGCCGCAAACATCCCAAAATGCACCTGCCGGATGCTTGCAGCTTCTTGATGCCATCTCATGCATATTTCACTGACAATGCCCAGATTTTAGTTAAAATGGGCTATTGAATGGTGCATTGGATGCCTTCACATCAATTACATTCTACAATGTAGTTTAATTAGCGGTCATTGAACACGAACAAGATTGCATCAGCCATCCGTGCTAAGCACAGTTCTAGCATTGCAGTTTGGAGCTAAAGTCCACTGCAGAGTAATACACGATGCAAGGTTAAACATGACTTGGAGGTGTGTGTGTGTGTGTTTCAAAAATCCCGTTGCTCATCCGGCTTTAAAACGGTAAGCGAGAGGCAGTTAAGTTTGGTAATAAATCAAGGTGGCAGTGAACTTCACGCAGCATAAACAAAGGATCCATTAAGGCAGCATCCGGAAATAAACGCATTCCCAGAGTATCTCCGCGTTTCACCCCCTCCGCCAATCCGAGGTCCAAGGATCTGACCCTTATCAGAAGGGTCCACAAGGTCTTCCCTTCTGGGGTTGCCGTGGTAATTGAGTTGTGATCCGACAAATCGTTTCAAACCCCGGCTTGAAGGGTAAAAAAACACAAAGTGAAATAACCACGACAGCTCACGCTTACATAAAACGTTATCGATGTTTGCTTTCATTGCAATTCATGGCCACTCACCTTGGAAAATCAACACAAGGTACGCACCCCTCTACGACTCATTTTACATTGGGCCCTCTGCTGGAATGAACAGCCCAGCAAACCCGAAGCGATTATCACGGGAGGCCCCTGCAGACTGAAGAAACCATTCCAGACTCCATTGTACCCTGGCAGAATCCGTTTTTGTTCGGTTTGGGCAATAAACATTGATACATCGGGCAACGTTGATGTTTGTTTGCTTTTCCATGTTGTGTTTCTCACGCCCAAATAAAAAGGCCAGCCCGGTCCCTCGCCAAACTAAACAACGTTTATTTTATGTTACCAGGTAAAGGCCCACAGAGCCACAGTATATGGCTATTTTTCAGAAGTGACCTGGCCACAAACGAAGTGGCTTATCACGTGGAAATGTATAGCAGCCAAATACTCTAATCGCAAATGTCTACATGTGGAGGGGAAAATCGGAGGGCGCGGATAAAAAAGAAATCCACACAACCACGCAAACTGCAAATGATACAAGTGGCAGGGGTCGGGTACGAACCCACAACCTCTGAGTTATACTGGGCGAGAAAAAGTTAAGATTTCGTCACCACGGCGCTCAACCTTGGCTCGTGTGTGTCCGTATCGGAAAAGCCTTGGCCAACGCGGCTTTTATCTAAAGCGTGTTTCGACTCTACGCGGTTTGACACTGCTAAGATTAAAATCAAGGAATGTTGGCCACGACGATAAGAATTAATTCAACAATCGGAGCAATTGCCACGCTGATATTCGCCCTTCGCGGTGTTCAATGTAGCGCAGGGCTCGGAGCGGCATGCGGCTCTTCGCTGACTGCTTCGTGACGTGCTGTGTGTTACAGGTATTCACGTGGGCAATTTTGGAAAAATATTGAGTTTTGTCCCGAATTCGAAAAAGAAATGGCTCTTCTTCTTCTCGTTAACTTTGGCTACCCATGCGTCGAGTGTAGGTAGGTAGGGTGGTTAGCAGATGGTCTCCCGACGTTCGAATCTGACGCTACACTTTTTGGGATGTACAGAGAATGAGAATGAGCGACCTGGTTGGTGACAAAAAAAAGTTGTGGATGTGAAGGAGGCGCTCAAAAGGACCCCGCCCCCTGGCTGTGTTCGTTCTCTGCAATCGTGAAGTCGTTAAAATACAACAAAACCTGTATTATGGATGATATTGGTCGCGAAAGCCGACGTGTTCAAGCGAAGTCGTCTGTTGCTGCTGTTTGCTCACTCACCGCGGATGAAAATAGCCGGGCAACTGGCTGCACGGGATCATCCGTGTAACAGATAAAATACACTTCAAACGAATGGTCGGTTCGTGGAATAAGCGGAGGAAAGACGCGAAATGTTCATTGTTGCGTTACGCAAATCATCCTTGTGACCACGAGGGGGCATCGTCTTAGGACTCCCCATTTAAAAAAAATCAACCTTTCCGTGAAACATCAAACGGCGTGGGGATGCCCTCAACATCCAGCAGTGGATCGAAAAAGGGCTCTGCGTGCATCAGAACCATGATTTATACTGCAGGAATCCGGCATCCTGTCACAGCATCCAGGGCCACCCTGATGACACACACTCTATTGCGCCTGGCAAATTAGGAAATAAAAAAACTTTTAAAAATGTATAAAAAAATCCCGCAAATTCCAAACCAATGATTTCCACCCGACTGGCAGACTGACGCCCCAGGTCACTCTTGCGAACGAGATTCATGCTGGTCTCTCACTTCGCTTTAAAACAAAAACAATATTTAACCTGAACTGAAAACGCCAACCCTTAAACACATACTTGTCCAGATCCTCCTCGTTGTACAGCACTCTACAACAAACATCGCCGTGAAGCCCAATACAGCACGCTCATCGTATCGCTGAGTACATTTGGTGCATGAACCTTGAATCGGCTGTTCACGATGAACACCCTGAACCCAGTCCAGCCCATTACAGGAAATTGAGTCACCACGCCATTACATCACTCTGACCCCATTAGTCAACCCACAGCCACATCGCCATGACCCCCCCCCCCCCACACACACATACAGAACTCATTCACCCACACGAGCATCCACATCACCACGTGGATCATAGTGTGGGTGACTGATCCCATTAGTGCCCCTGTTATACACACACCATTAACCCATATGAGTAACACGAAGCGATGATTTGCGACCCTTTGTCAATACGCTGCTGTGTGAATGTCTCATGCCGTGACAGTCTTGGGCACACTTGGCTAGACAGTGGAGGCTGGTCCCAGGACCGGCTCAAGATACTTGCCACTCATCATATTGAGCCGTGGGCGAGAATTAAACTCAATCCACCGGGTTCATAAGGGCCGTCCATAAATGACGTCACGCACCTAGGGGGGGAGGGAGGGTCAAACATTTGTGACGATGTATGACGAGGGGGGGGGGGGTGTTTGAGAAACGTGACGTCACATCAAAATGCGCAACTTTAAATAAATATAAACACGTTCTACTTAATTAAATAGACTTTTAAATAAATGTTTTCTCCCACGACATCAGAGTGCAGCGCCACATTAAATACGCACTACAATGACAATAGTTTAAAGCGATTTGAAGCAGGTTTTATTTGGGGACGGGGGGGGGGGCAGAGCTTTGTGACGTCATTTTTGAGGGGGGGGGTCTGACTTTTTGTGACGCCGTGTGACGAGGGGGGGGGGGTCAAAAATCGTCCAAAATCGTGTGACGTCACTTATGGACGGCCCTATAATGCAGTGCGGATAGTCAAATCGCCACCGCTCCCCCAAATCCCATCCTGTACGCACACCCGATTACACGCGATGTCACAAGACAAAAATTGCCCATCTAATATGTAACATACTGTTGGGGCAAGTGCTGTTCGCGAGGACCTACAAAGGCCGGCACGGTGCACGATGGCGTGGGCAAGCAACACCACACCCTTGATGTGTACACACTGCACCCAGTGCTCATATAAGGCTGAGTCAACTTAGGAGATGCCCTCCGTGTATCAACAAGCACCATTCGTCACGAAGTGGCGCCTGGTGCCAGGCTATGTGCACTTTTTGGACAAAATGAAGTGTTGAATGCTCGCTGGCAGGTCACGGGACAGACCCAGGAGCCATCGGTTGACTGAGATGACTGGCAGATGCACCACCAGTGCCCCCTACTGTGCAAACTTGCTGTTTTATTCGCCCGGCACTCCGCTCGTTGTTGTGAGCGTTGCTCCTCTGCCCTCCAGCAGTGTCCGTCACGAGCCTCCTCCAGAGAGGCTGATCTTGACACCGCTGGTTCCAGTCATCGTCATGTACCACATCACTCCATCTCTTTTCTAGCCCGTGCCATGCCCGTTAAGCCCCTCTATCCGGCAAAAAAAAACTTGGCATGCGGGATAATGACCCAGTTTACGTAGCCTCTGTATGATATACACACACACGTAACTTTAAAGCCACCATTGACCTAAACATCACTCTCAACCCACACAAACTCAACATATTCACCCTTCATCCACACTCACACCTCCTACTGTAGACGGCCCAAAAGCCCAGGCGCACACAATACAAACATCGCTCATCTCCGACACGCACTACGGCCACTTTGAGCACAAGGAGAGCACTCACTTTGCATGTTAAACCAGACTTTATTCAGTATAGTAGCCGTATCTCATGCAGTTTGAGAATCATTTAAAGCCACATACGGTATTGCACAAAACACCACGAAGCACTTATATAAAAGCAACGGCACCAGCTTGCACCAGTCACACTCGAAGGACGTTAGAAATGCCTTATAGGTAATAATATACACCCGTTTACCAATACAGCAGCCCAAATAAGTCATCGTCACCTCTGCATATTCTTCACCAAAAGCCATTCTCTATCCTCTGCAGGACACAGGCTCCGTCATCGCCACTGCCGTTGCATCCAATGCATTGCTGAGACTTGTTTTCTCTTCTTCTTCCACGTTTCTCCATCCCCCCCCCCTTCCACGTCGCATTTTGAAGATGCCAGTCTCTGCTCTTGTGGTGGGAAAAGTTCGTCGTTGAAGTTAGTTGCTTTTTGCATGTAATTTTGCAGAAATGGGGAGTGTAGTTTGCTCTATAGTATAGTTTACATATTTATGTAACAAGCTCCTATACATCTTACCCACGCAATGCCCTCCAAACGCACGTCCACATTCGTTTAGCCACCGTGGCAGCTCCGTGTACGCACAAGACCTCTGCATTTCGATTTTCAAGAACCTCGTACACGATACAATATACAGCACCAATTCAAAAATAAGAGTACCTTTGTCGGAGAGCTACATTTAAGGAACTGCAGAAGCTCAATAACACCATCTCATCTCATCTTCACAAAGTACAGATCACCTGCTGATACACGCGGACCAGCTCAAGAGCCCAGTTAATATTACCGTGTACCGCTCGCAATATACATCAATAAATGATAATACATGGCGAGAGCCATAAAGGGCGATGGGTTATCAGAAAATGCTACTATGCAATACTTAACTAATGCATCAAGGCTCCCCAGAAAGGTTGAATTTCAGCTCAGATTACAGTTGAATATGCAGAGGACTCGGTTACACAAAACCAATAAATTTAAGGCGTCTACAAAGCCATGTTTACATTTATCATCCTAATGTGACTTGTCATCACATTACTGTAAATAATTATTTGGCTTCAGAATTGGCCATTGAGTTAATGTTGAGATAGACTGGTATAGATAGTCATTAAAAAAACAATTCACTCTTTAGTAGTGCATGACAGTAACATATATGTAACATGTATGTTATGGCCGAATGTGATAGGAACTGTTATCATCAGTTCATGAAGGCATGTTGTTGTCCATTGGTCACATGTAGACGGTATTTCCATGTTCAAAAAAGTCTGAAAAAATAGCTCAGATATGTCCTTACATGTATACGACGCAAACTGATAAACATGCAATTGGCAGAAATGTTACATATAATCTTATGCCAATGGAACATTTTACATTAACACAAACCATATAAAGAATGCACGTTCAACTGTTGTAGTGTGCAAGACAGGGCTGCGTTGTAGACTGCATAGTCTAACTTATTAAACGCACACATGAAACCACCAAAGCGTTCTCCTCTCGTGTTGTCTGACAAGAGCGAGCACACGTCATTAAGTTTTAAACACCAAGCGGTTGTGAGTCCTTCGAGGGGTGGGGTGTGTGAGCGATTGCAAGCCACCTCAATATATTAAATAGAGCCCTCTGCCGACAGGGGTAGACGGTAAGTGGGGGCAGAGACGCAAAGAAACACAACGATGCAGAGACACGGAGACACGAAGAGCGATACATATCGGGGCCATACACAAACTCCACGGAGACGTAGATAGCGACCAGAGAGACAGACGCAGGCAGAGAGACGCGCAGACACGTGGAGACGCACCGACGAAGAGAGGCACAGAAACACGCACAACGTCAACATGTGGAGAGACACGGGCGCGAGGACAGAGATACGTGGAGGCAGAGACACGGAGAGAAACAGAGAGACAGGGAAAGACAGCGACACGAAGGGAGATGGAGACACAGCGAGGGACGCAGATAGACAAAGAGAGAGAGACACGCAGACTAACAGGTAGATAGATACATTGAGATGGTCACAGAGAGTGGAACACGGTCAGAGACGTGAACAGAAATAGACATGAAGAGGTGTAGGGAAAGACAGCGCTAAATAGACAGATAAGACACAAAACAATAAGATGTAAATATGAAAATGACAACAGAGACACAGAGGCAGAAACACTAAGATGTGTAGGAGAGACGTGGAGAGAGACGCTGAGAACAAAAGGTGTGAAATGTATAAGAAGAGACAGACATACGGGGACATACATACGAAGATAACTAAAGGCAGACACATAGATACGTAGAAGAGGCAGGGAAAGACAAAACGGTGGAGAAAGATACAGAGAGACACAGAGAAAGAGAGACAGAGAGAAACAACACACAGGCACATACATTAGTAGACAAAGAAAAACAGAGGCAGATCCAGAGATATACACACAGAGAGAGACTCGAGATGTAGTGAAAGACAGAGAGAGACACACAAAGAGAGATACAGAGATACAGGCACACACATAATGAGAAATACGAACACAAAAATAGACATGTGGAGAGAGAAACGTAATGAAACAGGGGGATCCAGAGAGACAGAGAAAGACACAGGGAGACAAAGATACACAGACCCAGAAGCATACAGATGGAGACATGCACACACGATAACAGAGACACACAGAAACGGACAGACACAAAACAATGGTAAACATAACAGAGATCAACACACAGAGACAGACAGACACAAAGACATACAGAGACAGACACAAAGACACACAGAGACAGACACAAAAACACACAGAGACAGAGACCCACAAATACACACAGAGACAGAGACCCACAAAGACAGACAGACACAAAAACAGACAGAGACAGACACAAAGACGCACAGAGACAGACACACAAAGACACACAGAGACAGAAACCCACAAAGACACACAGAGACAGACACAAAGACACACAGAGACAGACACAAAGACACACATAGACATACAGACACAAAGACACACAGAGACAGACACAAAGACAAACAGAGACAGACACAAAGACAAACAGAGACAGACACAAAGACACACAGAGACAGAGACCCACAAAGACACACAGAGACGGACACAAATACACACAGAAACAGACACAAAGACACACAGAGACAGACACAAAGACACACAGAGACAGAGGCCCACAAAGACACACAGAGACAGACACAAATACACACAGAGACAGACACACAGAGACAGACACAAAGACACACAGAGACAGACACACAGAGACACACAGAGACAGACAGACACACAGAGACAGTCACAAAGACACAAAGACACACAGAGATAGACAGACACACAGAGACAGATACAAAGACACACAGAAACAGACACAACGACACACAGAGACAGACACACAGATACACAAAGACACACAGAGACAGATACAAAGACACACAGAGACAGACACAAAGACACACAGAGACAAACACAAAGACACACAGAGACAAACACACAGAGACACAAAGACACACACAAAGACACACATAGACAGACAGACACAAAGACACACAGAGACAGACACAGAGACAGACAGACACACAGACAGACAGACACACAGAGACAGACAGACACAAAGACACACAGAGACAGACACAAAGACACACAGTGACAGACAGACACACAGAGAGACAGACACAAAGACACACAGAGACAGACACAAAGACACACAGAGACAGACACACAGAGACACAAAGACACACACAAAGACACACAAAGACAGACAGACACAAAGACACACAGAGACAGACACAAAGACACACAGAGACAGACACAAAGACACACAGAGATAGTCACAAAGACACAAAGACACACAGAGACAGACACAAATACACACAGAAACAGACACAAAGACACACAGAGACAGACACAAAGACACACAGAGACAGAGGCCCACAAAGACACACAGAGACAGACACAAATACACACAGAGACAGACACACAGAGACAGACACAAAGACACACAGAGACAGACAGACACACAGAGACAGTCACAAAGACACAAAGACACACAGAGGTAGACAGACACACAGAGACAGATACAAAGACACACAGAAACAGACACAAAGACACACAAAGACACACAGAGACAGACACAGAGACACAAAGACACACACAAAGACACACATAGACAGACAGACACAAAGACACACAGAGACAGACACAAAGACACACAGAGACAGACACAAGAGACAGACAGACACACAGAGACAGACAGACACAAAGACACACAGAGACAGACACAAAGACACACAGAGACAGACAGACACACAGAGACAGACACAAAGACACACAGAGACAGACACAAAGACACACAGAGACACAACGACAGAGACAGACAGAGACAGACACACAGAGACAGACACGACACACAGAGACAGACACAACGACACACAGAGACAGACACACAGAGACATACACAAAGACACACAGAGACAGACACAAAGACACACATAGACAGACAGACACAAAGACACAGAGACAAACACAAAGACACACAGAGACAGACACAAAGACACACAGAGACAGACACAAGAGACAGACAGACACACAGAGACAGACAGACACAAAGACACACAGAGACAGACACAAAGACACACAGAGACAGACAGACACACAGAGACAGACACACAGACACACATAGACAGACACAAAGACACACAGAGACAGACACAAAGACACACAGAGACAACGACAGAGACAGACAGAGACAGACACACAGAGACAGACACAACGACACACAGAGACAGACACAACGACACACAGAGACAGACACACAGAGACAAACACAAATACACACAGAGACAGACACAAAGACACACAGAGACAGACACAAAGACACACAGACACAGACACAATGACACACAGAGACGGACACATGCTGAGAGATAGTCAAAAGAGAAGTGAGAAAGACACAGAGATAGACACAAAGACACATAGAGACACACAAATACACAGAGAAACACACAGAGACAGACACAGAGACAGGCACCCAGAGATAGACACGGGGAGACATACACAGACACACACACAGACGTAAAGACAAGATGCAGTGACACAGAGGAAGATACATACAGAGACAGACATAAAGACACAAATACGGACACATACAAACACAGGGAAAGTCACTAGAGCCACAGAGATATACACAGAGATACAGAGAGAGACAGACATACACAAAGAAAAACACAGTGAGACACATACAAACACACATACATAAAGACACAGATAGACACAGCGAAATACAGAAATACGTAGACACGGAGACAGCCGCAAAGACACAAAACATACAGAGAGATAGACACACACAGAGTCAGAAAAATATAGACAACCGAGACACATACAAAAAGAGACAACATGAGAGACACAGAGATAAGCATAGAGACACAGAAACAAACACATGCAGCTATACAATTGCAGAGAAATACGCAGACATACATTGACACAGAGACAGAAAGAGACAGTGAGAGATAGAAAGACGCAGATACGAGGACATACATAGACACTCACACACAGACAGAGACGGAAAACCAAAGATGGGGAGAGACAAAGAGACACAGACAGACCCAGAAACACACACACACACATAGATAGACACAGAAGCACAGAGAGACAGACACACAGAGACAAATGCAAAGACAGAAATACAGAGAGAGACAGATCACAGACGGGCAGGGTCAGCACCCCTGGTAGTCCCCGAGTAGGGCCGGGTCCCACGTTGACCCCAGCTTGCCGCTCCAACGCTCACCCCATCCCAGAGGTCGCAACCGGGTACCCGATACCCGTACCCTATCCGATACTCGGCTACCCGTACCCGGCCGGGTACGGGTAGCCATCTGCGACCCTGGTGCGGCCGGGTACGGGTAAGGAATCAAATTCTAGATTTGAAGCTTTCGTGACTGCAAGGATTCATACTCTTAGTTCTTTCGGTAATGTCACGTAGGTAAAAAATGAAATTAAAATTAATAAAAAAAAACCTGAAGACGAAAGCTTGTGTTGCCTCCAAAACTTCGTGATTTTTATTGTTTTATTTTTATTAATTTTAATTTCATTTTTTACCTACGTGACTTTACCGAAAGAACTAAGAGTATATAAGGAATCAAAACCCGTTTGCGACCTCTGCCCCATCCCGCAGAGGCTCTCACTGTACTGCACGTGGCACACTCCCCCTCACCCGGGCCATCAATCACGAGTCTGTTGACATTTTAGGCATCGCTTCTCTTGGGAAAGGGCAGACGCAACTCTGCTCGACACTGGCGGTGACAACAGATCCAAATCGTGTACATTCCTATTTGCCAGACGACCAGAGAGGAGGCAGCTTTGGAAACATGTTCAGGTTATAGTTACGATTAGAGGAGTGACGCATTAAACCACGCTCAATGGTGCAAGTCCATAGCAACCCATTAGCAACATTATCCGGTACAATTAAGTCCATGCACCAAACATTAGGTAGCAAATCTCTAATTCGGTGGAGAGATGTTAACTATCTCACCTGCTATACAGGAGGTCGTAGGTTTGATCCCGACCCTGATGCCTTATGTGGATTTTTTTTCTCCGGGTCCTACGGCTTTTCCGTCCACATTTAGAAACATGCGTTTAGAGTATACATGATAAGCGACTTTGTTGAGCTGTCATTTGCGGATAGGCCGCTTTTGAAGAACTGTATAGATCAGTGGGCCTTACCTGGTAAAATTTTAATAATTCAGTTTAGTTTAATACGGATATTATGAGTGAATTACTTGATAACTTACTCATTAATGGGTATCACATAATTCACTCTCGTTGGCCATTTGAAGAAAATGGAACTGCTGTAGTTTGCCAACTCATGTGGTACCTACAAGTAGAATACTTGGCCTGGGCTTGCAGACTAAATGGGGACCTTTAACACCGTAAGAGCACGGTGCCGTACTGTATTTCCAAATATTTGGGAATATAGCAGTCTTTCTTACTGCTGTTTTCATTTCCCTTGTAGTTCTGTTATCTGTGTAGCTCTGATTAGATATATACATGACGTCAAAATATTGTTAACATTGACGATCAACTCATTACTGATTATATACAGTACACACAAAACCAAAAAAGCACAACTTATCAAGTTCAGTTATAGTACGTTTTACCTTAATGTCCTAAAACAATCCGATTAAAAATAAACATAGTGTTAAACAAATTAACTTTATAAAATACACGGAAAAAACTGAAAAGTGCTTCGGTAATACTTTGTGAATACAGCCAGGTGAAAGAACGTTAAAGGTTCATGATGAGCACACATAATGAAATGAAGCATTAATGTATTATTGCACTAACGTAGAAAGCATTACACTTTGGTCAAACCTCACTTGACTACTATTCCGTGAGCCAGAGAAGAAGTTGGTACCACCTCAGAGGTAGTAGCCCATTAATACGGCCAATAGAAGTGGATTACCTCGATAACCCCACTCATTTCAAGTGGTGTTCACAAAAAAAAAATCACTGCTATTGGCCACGCAAAGAAATTGGAACCGCTAAAGCTCCATGCCCCCTCAGGTGGCACCGACAAAGTGAGAGCATCTGGTCTGGCCTCCAGGAGCCAACCCAACCAATGGCAACACCCTGTCCACTCTGCAATGCAAGCGACGGTAGGTCAGATGGTTCCTACAAGAGGGGTGTAACTCTGACAGTTTACGGAAATTCAAGTTCGCTTGACACACAGCACGGTAGGTGGAGGGCGTATGTGTGCGCATGAAGAGGTTGGAGATAATTTCAAAACCTCCAGTTCAAAATTGTTCACAATATCCCGACAATCCTAAATTGTTACATTTCTACCAGTGAAATTAACATTTTCGTCTCGGGTGCACCAATGACTTCTCCCGTTCAATTTCCAATGAGTCGATCACTCGTGTTGCCACCACATGAATTTCGACCGCTACGGTGACAGGCGCTGAGATTGAGATTCAGTGGCAAATACCCACAACACACGCACGGACGACAGCAGCAACAATCTAAGCGTTGAAAAAACACAGAAACAAAATACTGTAATAGAAAATACATAAACAAGCTGCACTTACCTTATGCTGTATTCAGAATGCCCCCCAAGCTGTCATATTATATTGTACTGCCACAAACGATTGCACATTTGGCAAGAATATGGGTCGTATTAAAACGTAGGCTTTCACATCCAATATTATAGATGATAACGTTTTGTGGGTTAGATAGCTTAAATGTAAATATGTCATAAACCCACCGACACAGCCAATTAGTAATGTTTATCACGTGAACTAAACATACCAATTAGTTACAACTTCAGCACACCGGTGTGTTGGAGAGTAAACCCACAACATTTACAATTTGAGAATTGCCTGCTATTGTCTGGCAATAACCTGATGAACCTGGTTGCTGTAATTGCCAGTGAAACGTCAAGTTTCATTAATACATAATAAATGAAATATACCTAATAAATGAAACTGAAAAGTTCATACTCATTGGTTATGTCAGGTGGAGGTGGATTTACGACACGTTTACATTGACGCTAACCCAAAAAACTTCATAACGAAGAATATGGGTGTTTTGAACGGCTGTTATAGAACTTAACGGTACTATTATATTGCGTAGCTGTTTACTGTACTGTTTAAATTCTTAAACGATGACACGTTTGTGCTTATAATCGATAGCTGGTTATTCTTCACGTCTGTTCAAGATGCTCTTGCTTTGAAGATTACCGTGACACAAATCTATAGTTTTAACTTTATCATCCCTCATCACAATTAAAAATTATAACTTTAAACCGCAAGTTTCATAATCTACCCCTTTGCTAATTTTCTCATATTATATATGGGAGGTGCTGTTTGACCATAACTTAAAATATATATTTTTACAGGACGTATTCCTGCCCAATAAGAATGTTTCTTTTAACAAGGGAGCCATTAAAATTAACCATACAAATATAAACAATAACCCGTAACTTTCCTGCTATTGTTTAAAAAGCGTGTACGTAACATTAAATTCCCTAAACTCCCTCCCTTTGTCGATTATTAATATCACTCCTCCACCGGCAACAATTGTGCCGGTCCTTAAAATAACAATTACACCATACTAAGCTCACCAACGGCAAACACTAAAAACCGAATCCTCGTCCTGCTAACGCCATCCTCTTACAAGCTCGCCAAGTACGACCAATCAACAGGCAGGATTACGCACCCCCGGCTTTAAGCGAAACTGATAGTGTGCGGGTCGTGCCACCGCCGCTGCCCCACCACCCCCAGCACCCCCAATCCCCTAGATGGGTGGGGACCCCCACGGGTAGCTCAGCGTGATCCCCATGGAGGCGAGGGATGATCGCGACCGCATGCAGTTGCTGGGCGCGATGAAGCTGGGACCGACGGCCACCAACCACAGCACAAGCAAAAGCATCAGCCAGATGAGGCAGCCGACGTTCCACACGCGCCCCGCGTGGCTCGCCACCACCTTGGAGATGTCGTCAATGTCGGCGTCACCGTCACCGGCAAAGTTCATTCCGCCTTTGATCGTAAGCGGAATGCCGCCGCCGCTGCCACCACTGCTGTTCTTAAAATTCTTCTGCTCTTCCACGAGACTCGCGCTCACACCGCTGCCCTTCGGCACAACTTCCCTCTTCTTCTCAACAACGTGTTGATATTGTTCATCTCGCTTTACCATTTTTCTTACGGGCCTTTCAACGGCCTTCGCCATCCTATTCTGCACCTGCGGGTTTCTGCTGCGCACGTTCAAATCACCACCGGCAACTTTCAGATTTCCCTTCCTCGATTCCGCTCCACTTACAAGCCCCTCGTCAGCTGCTCTTCTTCTCACACCGCGTAAACTCTCTTGGAACTCCTTGCGACTTTCGTCAACCAAACCTTCGCTCACCGTCGACACCTTCTTGAAACCGCCCTCGCCAGTTGCGCGGGAAGGAATCACGTCTTTGGGGAAGCCACAGAGACGTCCCGACGTTTCATTTCTGCTCAAAACGAAGACACAACAAAACACGACACAAAGCGCGACAAGAAGGACGCTCAAGGATAAACGCGTAAACATAACCACCTTTTAACCGTGTACCGACGCCCAATAAGCAATGAACTGCCGTTCATCACGGTGAATGTGAGATCCAGCCATTGTGAAAATAGGAAACTTTCTTAACTAGAGTCAGTGGGGAAAAAAAACACACACAAATAACATAAGAACAACTGAAAAAATTATACCGACAAATGCAACCCTTCCAGAGAAAGCTAAAGCAAAAGAGATGCGAATACAACGCGTGCCACCGCGATTCTGTGCTGCTAGATGCATGCATAAGGTGAAATGAGAGCAAAGGAAGGTGCTTTACGTTGTTGTTTAAAAAGAAAAAAGCTAAATGCAGGAGTGTAAGCGGAAGTCAGCTCGCTCAGTGCACGCACGAAGCAGAGGGCGCGTGGCTGCGGGGCTGATCCCTGCAAGCGATAAGCACTGAATCAACTGCATTACCTTTGATTCTGATCTTGCTTTGCTGCTATTGACATCTACACAAATGCAGAAGAAAAACAAGAAACAAAAAAATGAAATAAATAAGAGGGATTTGTGAGGCATTGGGTTGTTTGTTTGTTTGTTTTCGTTTAAAAAATAAACAAGGAGAACAAAATTACAAAAAACAAACTGATAAATAATAATAAAAATTAACAAAGATCCTGGACGGATTTGTAAACCAATAAGATGTCGTATATTTTGTGGTCGTTCCTTTTTGTATGTTTATAAAATGTCACACGTGCACACACGCACACTCGCTGAAAACGGAGCTGTGAGGTCATCAATAAAACGCAAAACAAATTTCTCGATTACGGTGAAGTAACCGCAACCCTGGCTGTCACGGCTTCTGCTAAACATTCGGTCGCTTCGGTAAAAACTACACTGGCAACCGTTGCCGCAATTCTGTGCCGGAGCGTGCGACGGCAGTGACTCCGTACGGGGCACGTCGGTTTATTTTCTCATCGTCTGCTCGGGGGGGGGTGGGGGGGAGGGGATGATCGTCTCGTTGACGGGCGCTTCGCCGTACCTGGGCTGGCGAACCGGGCAACGGTTTGTGTTCCAAGGGCCCCTTCCATGGCAGACGCACGGACGGCGCCTTCCAGCCGGCGCGTACGGGAGGGATGGGCCCCGTCCACTCGCAGAGGCGCGGGACGCAGCTGCCGCAGGTTCCGCCACCGTCTGCGAGTCTCTTCTCATGAGCCGGCGGATTGCCCCACGCGGCTTCCATCGACGCAAGCTGCACACATAAATCGACGAGCGCGATGAAGGAAGAAAAATAATGGCTTTACCTTTTACGGCAAGAATACAGGAGGTGTTAAGATGTTCAAACACCAAAGGGACACCGATTACAAGGCATCGATCGAGTCTGCATTAACCGCACATAAGTTGTGGATAAAACGTGCACACAAACGTGCTTTGATAATGTGTGCATTGTCCTTGAAACTGGTTTGGCCTGCATCAGAGACTGGCAAAATAAAAGGCTCCCATAGATTTCGAAAAGCACGTTCGTGAGACTGGGGAAGGGGGAGTCGCGCGGTGCCGTGCATGCTCAGCATTGCTCAGCGGTCAACGACGTGCGGCGCTGCATCCCACCTCCTTCACTGGCGAGGGTGGCGACCGTGACGCCGACGACGTGGCTGCCAAGGTTAGCGTCTCGCCGCCGCCGCCGCCTCCGCCCAGGCTCTTGGTGCCCATCTGGGGGCGTTTCCTCGCCGTCGGCGAGTTCCGGGCGGCGGTGCCCGGCGTGGCCTCCGCACCGCCACCCCACGCCTGCTGCTCCTCGCTGTTGCGGTTGACGTCCCAGCCCGCTCCATCGGAGGCCTCGCTGTGCGGCCGGGAGTTCGAGTTTTCCGGCGGGGATCTCGGATTGCAGAGCGTTCCACTGCCTGGAGCCGGGCGGTCGATGAAGTTGTGGCGGCCTGGGGTTGCGTGCGCGTCTGTGGGACACCCGTTGCGAGACGTTTTGGGCTTGAGGTGGGACGAGGTGGGCGTGGATAGCTTTTCATTTTGAGCAGCTGGAAACGTATGCGATGGCCGGTCCAGTGATGGGCGGACCGACTCCACTGCCGATGTTTTGTATTCTTGATCGGCATCCGCAGGCTCATCTGTCATCACCTGGCGGCGCAGGCCTGACAGCGCCGCCTCCACCTCTGCTCTCGTTGAGTCATGACGCCGCCGCGTTCCCGCGGCTCCTCCCTGCGGCGCGACATCCCCGTTCTCCCGACAGCTTCCGCCCGGACAGCTCTCCTCAGCACCGGCCACAGCAGAGCGGCGGCAAAGACTGTCGCCACTCACGTTCCTCGCGGGCCATCCTCCTTCTGTGGCCCCACCGTGATTACTAAGCTCCCTACACCCAGTCTCTTGCGAGAAGCGCGACACCGACTCCCCACGCAAATGAACCTTTTCCTTGTGGCGGGTAATTTCAACGTCGAAAGACGGAGAGAAGGAGGGGGCGGTCGTCTCAGATTCCTTAATGTGGGTAATGGCTGCTTCTATAACTCCATTCACGTAGCTGTGAACACCCATAACCTGTTCCCGCAATTCAGATGTTCTGACACAGGCCTGGCTTTCCAGAAGCTTGGATACTACACACTGCTCTTCCCTGCCGCTGCTCTTTACGCTTAGCGTTGCTCCTCTTCCGGGGACGGGACGAGTCCAAGAGCGCTTCTCCGTCGCGCGCAATTTGGTACGAGCCTCTTCATTGTCCCAGGAAAGAAGAGAGCGGGAAGCCCTGCAGGGATCGGGCGGCGGCGCGATGGGCTCGCAGTCAACGTCGCGGACGTTGTCGTCGTCGGTGTGTGCGGAGAGCGACGAGTCCGAGTCGTCTCTGAGAAGAAATCCGAGTCCATTGGAGGATTCCGTCGATTTGCGATTGTTGAGATGCTCTGAGGCTCTGTGACGCAATGAGGACAATTCATTCCCGAGCTCAATGGCCTCTCTGTCACCTCCGTTGGAGTTCACCGCGTCACTGTTATTTCTCGTCGGCCTATTCGGATATTCCCTTTGTCGAGTCAGGGAGATGACATTTTCAGGAAGCTGAGGGTAATTGTCACCCCTGTTAAAGATCTCACGCCCAACAGCGTACTCATACTTTGCGTCCATATCATTGTACGGAGTATATGCGTCAGCCAAACTTTGGAAAGCCCCTTGCCGCATTTTCAAAGAGGTCTGGTTGTGAATACTGGGATCTCCACGGTCCCACCTTTCGGCACGTGCAGCTTCATGTACCGTTTCATAGGCATGGCTTATGTTGCCATTTTTAATATCGTCCAGGAGCGGATCCACTTGCCCTTCGCGAGCGCTATCGGCCGGAAAGCTTCCAGGCTCCACTCTAAAACTCGAGCCAAAGAAGTTTCCTGTTGTGGCCAGGGGTGATACTGAAAAGCGCGAGTAGAGCTTGCTCGTCAGTAACACGGGGTTACTGCTGTGCAGCAGAGGCCTTCCCTTTGAGATGTTTTCCCACGGGGGAGTGACGTAAAACTTTTGATCCTTCAGCTCGTCATCCAGCGAAGAGCTGTCACTGAAGTCCGAGTCGATGCACCAGCCCTCGGAGTTGGAGGAGCTGTCTTTCTCCAGCTCGTTGCTGTCGCCGCTCAGCGTGGTGCTGGAGCTGGACAGCAAATCAATGTCGTCCTCTTCGTCGTCCGAGCACACGGACGCCCTGGAGGTGTTGACGATCAAGCTCACGTTGACGTCATCGTCCAGCAGGGAGCCGCTCTGCCGTCCATCGTCAGCCTTCCCATCGAGGGGGATAGCCGGCCTGTTCGCTAGGCCATCGACAACGAGCGAGTTGTCCTCCCAACTGTGGCCTCTCACCCCTGACATCGGTTTGGTCTCTGTGCTTGACGATGCCTCGTTGCAGCTGTTACTCTCCTTGAAATCAGAACGTTTGTGGACTGCGGCTTGTGACAACTCTGACCCCTGAAGAAGCTGCAAGCTGCTTTCATTCAAGTAGGCACTTCTTCCTGATTTGTTGCTTTCAGTAAGACAGCTTGACGTGAAGCTCCGAGGACTTTTCCTGGCTACGTTCACAAAGTCCTCCCTCTGGATCATGGTATCAAAGTGATCACCTTTTCCCGCGCACATTCTCCCCAGTTCAAATTTCTGGAACACGTTACTCGAATGCTGCCCCATAAAAGATGATATTGGGCTCAGCTGGCCTTTGCTTTCATGATCGTGCACATACCCTGCAACTTCAGAATAGCACGGATTGGTACTCGTCAGTGCGTTATTAGACGTCTTGTTTCTGTTGCTTAAATCAAGCGCGCTGTCGTCTTGTATAACTACTGTAGGCAAGTCGGAGATAGCCATGACGTTCTCCAGACTGTCCTCTTTCAGGTACGAGTAATCATAGAAGATTAGCGCCTTCTCGAGCTCAGAATCACCATCGTGCCCTTGCGTCGGGCTTTTGGCACCTGGATTACTCCCGGTTTCCTTGCCCGTGTCCAGGTATTCGTCGCATTCCTCATCCGACAGCGAGCTGGCGTAGCCCGCAAAGGTGAGGAGCCTGGCGAAAGGATCGGGCCTGTAGGCCGGCGCCGCGTCTTCCACCCTGGAGGACGTGTCGCCGTCGAGGTCCTGCACCTCCGAGAGGAGCCCAGAGTCCGACGTCGTGGCCACGTCGCCCTCGCTGGCGATGCCGCTCTCGCACTCGCACGAGCGCTCGCCGCCTCCGCCGCCACCTCCGCCGCCTCCGCCGCCGCTCCCGGCCAGCAGCAGCCCGTCCAGGAGGTTGAGCAGCGAGTCCGTCGACGAGAACGAGTCCTGACCGTCGGCCTGCCGTGGCTCGGCGGATCGACCACGGCCGCCTTTGCTCGACTCCTCCGCCGCCGCCGCCAATCGCCGAGTCGTTCCGTCCATGCGACCGGGGCTCTGGCAGGAGCCGGGGGAGAAGCCGGAATCGTGGCCGGCCTGGAGGAATGACTGGCCCATGCTCCACGTGTCTACGGCCGAAGGTTTGCCGGTGTCACTCGGCGTGGAGGAGGTGACCGCAGGTGGCTGCTCAGCGCGGGCAGCCGAGAGCTCATTTCCCAGGTCCGTTTCATCCCATTCCAGACCCTCCACGGGAGAGACCGACAAGTCGGACTGGGAGGCGTCCACGTAGTTCAAGGTCACCTGGGGGGGGGGGGAAGGGGAGTGAAACGCCGTCACCACCAGGCACAGTCTGGGGCGGTCTCTCGTGTAAGTTTTTGCATTCGCTGCTTGAATGTTCATTTATAGAAAGAATATAAAGCAGCACAATTTGGATCAGGACAGCATATAAATGCAGCTGAATCTCAAGCCGCTATATATAATCACGAGGAGTGTTTGTGTGCCTTGCCATGTTTTATTGTTAATAAAGAGAAACAATGTATACTGCCAGTGTTTAGGCATTGTCCACATGACAAAAAATCCATGTTAATTACATAATTATAGTTTACAGCTCTTCCTTTGTCAGTCTACTGCTCGTTGTTCACTATACTTCGCCGCACTGGTCAGCGAGGGTCAGTGAAGGGAGTAAATGCCCAGGACCAGTTCAGATATCACTCGCCACTGATGTTGGCCATGGCCAGGAATCAAACTCAGATCGCTGGGTTCTCGGCACGGTAAAATAACCACTGTGCTGACGTTGCCCACAAAAATGCATCTTTTCTTCTCCCTTCGCCAATGCGGTGAAAAATCGCTAAAATATTCAGTAAATTCATGAGCATAAAAAATCGTAACTAAATTCACTTATTCGAATGTGCGACTGGGGCATTGGGCTCACCGCCCATTTCCCCCTTGCCACCCTCCCGCCTCCCCCAGCTACCATATACCCCCCCCCCCGCCCCACACACACACCTGCTCCGCGTTGAGCCGGCGCTGGAGGCGCGACTGCCAGTGCACGGCCTGCAGCACGACAGCCTCCCAGCGTCGCTCCAGCGACACGGCGGCCAGCTGCAGGTTCTGCCCGTCCGCCCCCGGGTGGCCAACGCCGGCCGCCCCCCTCTCCCCGGCGCCACCGTCGCCGGCACCGCCCACCCCCTCCAGCAGCCGGTGGCACAGACGCACCAGGGCCGCCACCCCTCCTCGCCGGCGCCGTATCTCGTGGCACAGGGACTGCGGGGAGATAACTCCCCGTGTTATTTACACACAACGAACTTTGTCTGCGTCAAGGTGGTCAGGCGTCTCTCAGGGGTCAGGGCACTGAAATCTTTAGATTCATGGGAATCGCCTGCGATTAAACTCACGATAGTGAGGTGATGGTTTTAGCTGGCTCACCAGTGACTGGACCAATTTTTATTAATTCCAGCTCTGACAATGAAAGATATCAGTTTGCCATGTGATGGGCAGTCAGGTGGCGCGCTGGGGAGCCATTCAGTTAAAGCCAGTGTGTGATAAAGGGGTGGTATCACTGTGGTGGTGTTGGTGGGTGGTACTGGTGGAACTACTGTGTGGTATCACTGTGGTGGTGGTAGTGGAACTACTGTGCGGTATCACTGTGGTGGTGCTGGTGGTGGTACTGGTGGAACTACTGTGTGGTATCACTGTGGTGGTGCTGGTGGTGGTACTGGTGTAACTACTGTGTGGTATCACTGTGGTGGTGGTACTGGTGGAACTACTGTGTGGTATCACTGTGGTGGTGGTAGTGGAACTGTGTGGTATCACTGTGGTGGTGGTGGTAGTGGAACTACTGTGCGGTATCGTAGGGTGGTGCTGGTGGAGCCACGGTGTGCGGTGCGGTACCTTGAAGTGGTCGAGCTGGCGGTCGAGGTCGGTGGGCGCGCGCCGCTCGACGCACCCGTCAAACACGAGCATCTCGGCGTCGCGCAGCCAGGCCTTGAGCTCGCGCACGCGCCCCTCGAGGCGGCACACCAGCTGCGCCGCGGCGGGGCTCAGCGACTCGCACGCCGGCGGCTCCGCGGGCTCCCCGCACGCCGCCGCCAGGAAACTCTGCGACGACGCGCGCCATGCAGAACGTCTCGTTCTTACTGCCCCTTCTTAATTCGTCGTCGCGAAAAAAATTTTTTTACATAAATATAACAAAGAAATCCCAAATCGCATCCCGATTGCGCCACCGGCGTCACGTCACGAGACGAAGGATCATATTTGGATATTTCGCGCAGCGGCTCACAGAAAGCGGATATGCCAGAGCTACTTCAGGGGCCCCCTCACGTGGCCACACGGTAGGGGGCAGACTTTCAATTGCTCCAGAAAGGAGGGGGTAGCACTTTCCCACGCACTCTGCTACGGACAGTGATGGTCAGCTCATGACAGTTAAACAAATTTATTTTCATGTGTTTTTGCGTAGTCGTTGGTGACCAGACTGACACCATTACCTCACTACACTTGAGAGCACGGTTTAATCACAGATCGCCACCCGAATGAAAACCCAGGATCTCAGCCCTGTCGGATCAGCGCTCTAACCTACGAGAGCCTCCTGGTCATCTCGAATAATTCAATGGCTCAGAGGTCAGGGCACTGAGCTCGGAACACCGAGATCTTGGACCCGGAATCCAGGTATCCAGGTATCCGGGAATCCGGGTATCCGGGTATCGGCCGCATTCTCAAGTGTAGCGAGTTGATGGTCTCAGCCCAGACACCAATGACTGCACCAAAAACAATCGCATTCAATGTAGGTTTTCACTTTATTTTGCTCCATTCCAGATTGCAATGTGGAAACATTTTGGCTTGCTTGCCATATCCTATTCTATTCAGAATTCACACAGCGCCCTTCCCAGGGTGCTTTACAATGCAAACCGACGGCGATACACGAAGGGGCAAAAGAGGAGCAATGGGTGGGGTGGAGAGGCTGTCAGTTAGGGACGTGACGGAAGGGACGGAGGGACAGGGGCTGGAATAGGAGCTGCTGATGTTACAGGGGTAGGGAAGGAGGAATGAGGTGGAGTGCAATGGTGAACGACGGTGACAGATGGGTGCAACGTGAATGAGAGGCAGCAGGGTATCAGGCACATGCGTGAAATGATAACATAGATGGGCGCTGTGGCCAGGCATGGATGAGGGTAGGTGAAGGGTGGTAGGAGCAGAGGTCTGGTGGCCGGATAGTTGGGCTGGTTGAGAAGCACGGTGGAGGGCTCGAGGAGAGATGTGGCTCGGTGCGCATGGAGAAAGCGAGACACGGGAGATGGGTCAAGAATTAGAGTTGTCATTTCTCTGGAGCAAAGCATGTGGGGGCCCAGGTTATCCATAGGATGACCAGTGTTGATTCTCCACAAGGTGGTACTCATTTTATTGACCGTGGAGGATTTATGGGCCAAGTTGACCTCAAACTGCAATTCTTCCTTATAATTTTCATACTTTGAATCCGGTGCAGTTTTTAACTCGCCATAAGTATTAACAGGTAGTAAAAAAAACATTTAAAAAATACAATCCAGCAGAAAAACTAAATGTTGTGTAATGCACCAACAATAGGGCGGAGATTGCTTTAAGCCAAACGCAAAGTAACGATTTACTCCCGTCACTCTCTCCCTGTCATACAATCGCTCCTTTATGCCTCTTTAATCACTGTGACCATCATCATTGTTGTCGTGATCGTATTGCCTTCATACATCTGGCAAATGCCAAGGACTTGTTCTACCAGATTCACTGTTTTCTCGAGTCCTTACAGTGCTTGACCCTCATATTTCAGGACGGTACATTTCTCTTTCTCTTCATTTCCTTTGATTGCATGACTCTTGAACCCCCATCTTCTCTTTGCCGAATTTCCCATACCCTTGCTCTTATCAAGAAATGCGTTCATTCCTATCTGCTGGATAATCATTAGTGCTCTAAGTTTCTGTCCTCTCAGCGTTATGTATGTATCCTGAACTTCTTTCGCACCGTGCGTAGCCAACCATGCTAATCGGAGGTACGGGGGGCAGGGAGGGGGAAGGACAACTACACACAAACAATCATTTCTAAGTAAATACGTGTTTTTAATTTAGATATAATGTGCACATATTTTCTGGGTTGTTGGTAGACCTGAGGGGCACACGGCAAGTAGTCACAGCCATCGCTAGAGGTGTACTGGATGTGGTGTGCCAGGTGTCAGAAATATTTTATGAGTCAGCAAACTAGACAGACCTGGCTGAAATTAACCCATAGTTATTGTGGCCTCAAGGCTTCTATTCAGCATGTACAGGGTAGTCCAGATAGTATTGTGACCCCCATTTAATGCTATAAATGTTTTAAGTAAGGTTTATTTAAAACGGAAATTAATATGCCAAGGGAACAAATGTTAGGGGTAAATTAATTTGGGGAAGGGGGGGGGTGTCACAAGACATGTGGACCACCCTGTGAAACAAATAAAACCCCACAATATACACAGTGCCACGTCGCCGCCGTACCTCGACCGAGTTCCACTTGGCGTCCAGCTGCTCCAGCTTGAAGCGCACGGTATCCGTCGTGAGCGTCTGGTTGAGGCTCACAAGCTCCTGCCCCTGGGTGAAGATCTGCCTCTTCTTGGGCAGCCACATGGTGAGCTCCACACGGTAAACCTGGGGTGTGGGGTGTGCGAGAGACACGAAACCCCGCACACCTCCGTTTAGCAGGATTGGATATGTACGGTGCGAAAGAAGTTCAAAATACTGTACATACATCATTGCCAACCTTTCGGTGCGTCGTCTTTTGAGGGCCTAAATACTCGTTTGCACAACCTCCACCAACATCTCCAAGAGAAATAATTCCTCACGCCTTTATGCGAGCATTGAATATTTGTTGCAGAGTTACTTGTTATCCAACAGGGGGCAACGTGCATTCTTAATGGGGCTGATAGTTTACAGGTGAACGGTCATTGCTGTGGGATCGATCTGGTACATTAAAAAATGTAAGCAATGTTTTTTTCTAATACCATATAGAACAGCAACCGAAATCAATTGTTTGTTATGGAACTGAATGCCACTCAATGCACTGTCTGCTTCAGCAACAAAGGCCTCTGATTGAATCCCCCGGTCAATATTGACTTAGTGGTAGGTCGCTCATTCTCTTCTGTTGCCCTCAGTCTGAAACTCTCTTCCTCCAGACACCTATGCTGTCGATTCCATGCCCATGTTGTTGTCAGGCTGAACTCATCCTTTGTCCAAAAAATTAATGGTCACAATTCCGTACCGCGTCTTGAAATGAGGTCGTAATGAAGACGCTGCATAAATATGCATCGTGTTGTATTTTCAACACACAAGAAACAGGGCAAAACAACCGCAGCCAGAAGAGTGCATGACCAACACAAATTCAGTAGAAGTTTAATACAATTGTTGTTGCGGAAATTTCTTTGAGACCAGATGCGCAGTACTCCAAAATGTGTGGCCACCAACCTTAGACAGCTGGTGCCAGTGCTCCTCTGACATCATCAAGTCGTTGTCCTCCGACATCACCGCCTCCACATCGCAGAGCCAATCCCACAACTCCAGGCAGTTGGCACCAAACTCTTCGCAACTGGAGCAGAGCAGAAAGTAGAGCCAGACCTCGTGAGCTGTAACAATCGGCAACTATGCAAGCTGTAGAAGAAACCCATCCCCGCATGGTGACTGCTATTTGTGGCGCACAATCGCAAATCGTGTGCTTGGCAGGACATGATATATTGTCATTTCAAAATAGCTGTTGCATTAGAAGTGTGAGAATCTGGCCTTGAAAACAAACTCCCATTTTATTTTATTTTTGCCAGACCCGCAGATTTTCCCCGATGTGCCGTAACGCCGAGCGCTGCGGTGCGCGCGTGTGATTTGGTGACCTGGAGGGTAAAAGCGCATCCCCTGAAATTGCTTGCAAATGCCACTTGTGTCAAAAAAGCTTCCGCTGGAGGGAGCTCTAAACAGCCCCCTCTAGAAGGAACTGGACCCTACTCTTCAATGCTGGGCAAACGTCTTGCAGCGTACAGGGAAAATTAAGTGCTGTATCTAAAGCAGACGGTACAGTAAAGATGTTTTCACAAAGGTCACAGGTGTGGAGGCAACCCTCCCTTCATACCTTTAGGTTTCCTCTGAGCACTCTGTTGCACTTGCACACTGAGAAATGCTTAAATAAATTGGCTAAACATCCCACGGCGGGGGACCACACCTCGCTGACAATGAGCCTTAAAGCTTAGCAAAGTCTCTCTTGGGTAAACAAAAAAATATTGTAATATTCTCAAATATTGGCTTGCACAAAAACCCATTTATGACAGGAAAGTTCCAAGGAAGACGCGAGGCGGGTGTGCCAAGGAATTTACAGCAACGTCTGACAGCTTGAAAATACAGTTATTAGGGCAGCATTAAATATTGCGCTCAGAGTTTTAAAATCGCCATTAAACCGCGAGAATTACTATTACGGTCGAGCCCAGGGCATAGCTCAACCCCCTGCAAAGCAGCGGAGCGTGGTTAGCAGGCATTGGCCCTAGAGCAAGGAATGAAATAGGGCCCCCTGTCCAATTTGAACTTATATACATGATCTATTTTATGTATTTATTCTTTGCGATTTGATTACCTCTCCTATACTTTGCACTCCTCTCGTTTTTTGTATTGTTTGTTCTTGTAACTTTCTGACCCACCCGACTGTTTCTCCCCGTGGTCGCGTGGATTTTTCCCCGGGTCCTCCGGTTCCCCCCCCCCCCCCCCACATTTAGAATCAACGTGCGTTCAGAGTATTTGGCTGCAATCAATTTAGACACGATGAGCCACTTCGCTGAGCTATCATTATTGGCCGGGTCGCTTGTTAAAAAAAAAAATAATTGCTCAGTGGGCCTTACCTGGAACCAAAAAAACAAAGTAAGTACATTTTTAAAAAGCATTTAAGAAGTCTCTGTCGAAGCGAAGCCGGAAAAGACGGAGCTATCGTGGTGTAAACAAAGCCAATGGCAGTGCGGTCGTGCACCGGCATTCATTCAGCGCTCCACCCTTGGCACGACGGCAGGGATGTGAGGTGGCCATGCAGCTCAGTGGGGGGGGGGGGGGGTTGGGGGGGAGTGGGGGGGACAGTGGAGTCTTCAATGCCCCACTCGTCCCTGGGGACAAAGACGGCTAACTCCGGCGCCGGGGCCTCACCTGTCGTTGCGCCGAGCGTCGCTGGCGAGCGAGAGGGAGCGCGCGGCCCGCGCCGCCCCCTGCGCGTGGCCCAGGTAGCGCTCGTGGTGCAGTCGGAGGGACAGATGCTCCACAGTGTCTCGCGCCAGCTCCAGATCCAGCAGCTGACCCTCGCCCTGCGCGCGCGCACACGCGCGCACACGCACGCACACGCACGCACACGCACGCACACGCACGCACACGCACGCACACGCACACGCACACGCACGCACACGCACGCACACGCACACGCACGCACACGCACGCACACGCACACGCACGCACACGCACGCACACGCACGCACACGCACGCACACGCACGCACACGCACACGCACGAGCACGCCCGCCCACCCCGTTAACCTCAGCGCCACCAGCCACTCGCCAAAGCGGACAAATACACCCTGGGATTTTTTGTTTAGCTTCATTAAGAATCTGTCTTCTCGACAGACCTGTTCTACACCTGAGGATGGCTGCTTGCGTTGTGGCCGAAACGTCGTGAGAATTATTTTATGTTTTATTTTTATTATTTTATTATTTCCATTCTACGTGACTTTACCGAAAGAACCAAGAAGATGAATCCCTGCAGTCACGAAAGCTTTAAATCGAAATTCATTAACTAATTATGTCCCACTTGAGACATTGAAGTTGTATAGGGTTGCAACCTGTTCTGGATTTGACCCAGGCAGTCCAGACAATTGCATCTTTGTTCAAGGGGTGGGAATTGATTCTAACGAGATCTTGTACAAGTATTGTGTTTATTACAGGATACTGCATGGATTTGATAGACCTAGGTTGAACGAGGAATATGTCTGGGTTTGGTCTGTGGAGAAGGTGGCAATGCGCTTTGAAATGTAGATTGAAAACTCATTTCTTTAGAACTGCTTTTTGTGTTTAGTTTGTTGTCCTTCCCCAACACCTCCGATTAGCATTGCTGGCTACGTCCGGTGCGAAAGAAGTTCAAAGTACACACATGGAACCTAGAGTTACCCAAGGCTAGCAGCCTTGAAGTGAAATGGGGCCCGCTAATGATCTGTGAGGTAACGATCTATGAGATAATGATTTGTGAGCTAATGATTAACTATACACCCGCAGTATAGTGCCGTTTATGTATTACGTAATTGGAAGTATTTTAATAAAAGGAGCGTTAAAAGGGTACAGTAACACCTAGAAGCCAAAGAAGAATCAATTTATTTACCTACTTTGAAACTAAGATTTTTTTTCTTTAAAGCCCTATAATGCAAAGGGGTCAGCAAGAAAGAGCGCGAGTGATCATATTGTGTACATGGACAGCCTTTTGGTCAACCCACTGCTGAATGAGGGCTTCTTGACACCGTGCAAATCATGGGGGTTATTTGACTAAACTTCACCACGCCCGTCAGCACGGGTTGGTAAAGGCGACGAGCGTAGAGGCACAGTACAACGACGGATTACGCTGCACTGCCCTCTGCTATCCATCACGTCCAGCAGAGAGTATCATAGGAATCCAAGTGTGGTCTCCCAGGCTAGGCCATGCATTGATCATTTGTATGCACGATTGCTGAGCGTCTTTCACAACCGGAGGTGCGGGTAACCTGCGGCTGGGCGTGCCCCGTGGCGTGCGGGCGGGCCTGGTGCGACGCCAGGATCCCGGCCTTGGCCACGTCCAGGGCGGCCAGGAGCCAGCGGTGCTGCCGGCAGATGTGGGCCTGGAGCGACGTCCACGCGGCCTCGAGCCAGCCCAGCAGCCCTGGCAGACCTGGGGCCCGGCGGAAGACGCGCGTTACGCGCGCATGCACTCGTGCAGAGGTGCCCCGTATGGACTTCAACGGACTGTCGGTGCAAGTGTCGTTAGCGAGCTAGCACCTGTGAATGCCGGCACGGCGCACACAAGGGGGGTGATACCGCTTCTGACCGGCTGCCTTTGTCTCCCCAGTGCTGATGTTTACACACAGCACGAGGTAATCATTTAAGGCTGAGTCAACATCGGGGAGGCCCAGTATTGGTTCATATATTCACCACTGTTATTGGTCGTGAGCAGGAATCGAACTCTGGTCGCCGGGTTCGAAGCACAGTGCGCTAACCACCACGCCACCGCTCCCCACACAACACGTGAATACGCACGTACATATGCGTGCACAAATACGCACACATAAGCCCACATAACAAAAATTAAAAGGTGAACAAATGAGAAAACGCCATGCACGTTCCCAAGCGTAAAAAGATCAAGGGGCATGTAATTACACTGGCAGGCGTGCGCGCGATTGCAACAGTTTGAAGCACGAGGTCACACTCGTGCGTGGAATGTTGAGGTTGTTGGAGGTCACCGGTAACTCGTTCAGGATGGCGAGGGTGTTACCGGTGACACCGATCGGCCAACGGCCGAGTGTCAAACCGAGGTGGTCGTACTAACCAGACAGCCTCGCCCCGAGCAAATCCAAAAACTGCTTTCCTTCTTCCACCACTTCATCCTTCATCGCGCAACGGCTCTCCATGCTCATCTTAAAACTCTGCAAGTCAGAAAAAAGAAACAGGCAGGGAGATGAAATGATATACTGTCGGTGTCAACGCGAGGCAATAAAATTAATAAACTGCGGGACGCATCGCGCTCGCCGTGCATCCACTGTACGCTGGTCGCCGTGCGTTGTGTTTGACTCTAAATGTTGCGTCGCTCAGCACAGGGGGCAGGACGACACCGCGGGGCTCCTGCTACAGGCAACCTCTGCAAGTTCGGCGGGGAAGGGTCACCATGCCCCCAAGCGATTCCATGGAACTGTCACAATTTGAGGGGGGTCGCGATTTGATTAGTGCACGAGTTGTTGATTTGGTCTCGTTTTTAGTCCCATTTGAATTGTTTCTTCGTGGGCTCCCCCCCCACCCAGTTTTGTTTGTAGTTTCGCCTGCTCTCCGCTCTAAGTGCCACATGAGCATACTATCTCTCTAATTTGCATACCATATAGGTAATTCATTCTGACGTGCACGATTTGATGCATCAATCATGAGCGGCAGACCAGTTTTGATTGAAGAGTCAATGCATTGTAATGCTACTACGACATGTGGCAATTATGCTGTTGCCGTACACTGGACCTGAACAACGAGTAACATATTACATTTAATAAATCTGGATTTATTTATTTTTTGATCAATGACAGATAAAACCTAAACATTTTAGCCAAGTGTTCTTCTTCAGGAAGATTATCCTGAAAAAAAAGGTTACCCTCAATACCTACTATAATCACCCAGGAATGTCTGTCCTTAACGCTCGTGACGTCACTCCACATCGACCAGCCCCCCTCATTAATATTCATGAGCAGGTGACGTCCTCCAAATGGACACCCCGCCCCCCCATCCATAATAATTAGCGGGTGACGTCACTCCACATGGGGGGGCGAGGTGCCTCCTCCCCCCTCCTCGGCGTCAACTTACAACCCTCACTACAAAGGCAGAACCCTCACGTCACGCGATCTCCATAACGCTGTTGAGACATCAAAGTAAAAAGGACGTCATGGTAAACAAGGGATTATCACCTTAAAATGAAATAGGTCTGTGTCCCCACGCCCTTACAAATTGCACACGCATTAATGCAATGAATATTACGTCGCGGTCTGCTTTTCGCTTGCAAGTTTCAGATTTACTGCAATACACCCGTCCTTGGACGGGCAAAAGGCGAGTCTCTCAAGATTATCCTAATCTTGCTAATATTTCTGAAGAAGCACCCTCCGCCAAACCATCACGATCTTCTCTCCCTCAGTCACAGAAAGGGTCAGTGGCGTTTACCATATGCACAACTTCTTTCTGCGTATAGTACAATGGCTCGTTATTCCATCGGACGATTGGAAATAAAATCGTCCGATAGATTAACAGGCCGGATTTCTACTTATGCAGCATATTGACTTACCCATAATGCTCCGCAACAACACAGGTTTTATATGAAGAAGGGCCATTTCCCGAAATGTCATCTATTGTATACTTTTCCTTTTAAGGCCACGGTGTTATTGGCGATCGTGTCGAGTTTCTTTCACAATGAGTTTGTGGTGTTTCATTTTCGACTCGGCAGTCACATGCGACGTTGGCAAAGGCATAGCCACCCCCTCCTCTCTGAGTGGCGTGGATGTCGGGGGAAGTGGGCCTCCCACCAGGTGGTTGTGCAGGTACAGCTTGAGGCTCTGGGTGTCGGGACGTGGAGGGCCCATGCTCTCCGCCTGCTCCTCCGCCTGCTGCAGCCACGAAGTCAGCTCCAGCAGCCTCTCCACGAAGCTCTGGCACGGGGAGGTCACAGGCAGGGCACGAACACGAGGGGGGGGGGGAGTGTCAGGGCGTAAGCAGACAAAGCGGTCACCACTTTGGGCCTAAAACAAGTCCACGGATTCATGACAAAAAAATTGAGGTGCACCAAACAGCAGCTCAATTTCACATCCAAATTAACATGTCGGTCTCATTAACATAAAAAGGCGAATTTATCTCTCTCATTACGTTCTCTACCCACATTTATATTTTTGTTCATGTGTCTCTTATCTCAAGACATGCATCTATAGCTCTTGACTATCTCTTCTGTCATCTCACTAGGATTCTTATAAATGGAAAGGGAGGTCCCTCCAAATTATTTCCGTTTAGGGCAACCCCCCCCCACCAACGATGGGCCAGCACCACCACTGAGCAGCATCGGCTGTGTGGTCCCTGCAACGGGAGTTTCATCAACTGTGCTCATGCTGATTCACACCGAGGCTAGACATGAATGAGCGGCATATACGTTAACATACTGTCATTTTTTAAATCCACTGCTAGATGAGAGCCTCCCCATCCCATGTGTTAATGGCCGTTGTTTAACCATACTTCACCACGCCGGTCAGTGCGGTTTGGTGAAGGTCGGGAGTGGGGGGAGCCCAGGATCGGTTCAGATATCACTTGCCAATGATGTCAGCCATGGCTGGCAATCGTGCTCAAAGCCCTGGGCTAACTGCTGTGTCACCGCTCCGCCATTAAGTTCACCACTACGTACTCACTGCCACAGTCCAATCCATTGGCGGACAGACCTTTTAGAAAGGCATTAAGCGATTCGGTAGGCTGGGAGACGCCGATGCGTTTTTCCCTTGTAAGAGCTCTTTGGTGAGCTGTGCCCAGCTACGATCTACCAGATTTTTACCACTGCCAAGAGGACCCTTCTCAATGTGCCCACTGCCAGGCACTCGCTGGACCGGTTTCCCAGACTGTCCTTTGTTGACACTAAAAGCTTTGCTGCTGCGCTCCATGGGATGCGGCGGCGCATTCCGCAGCGCCACTGCAGGGATATGGCGAGGGCAGCTTTGGCGGTGATGCCGACTTCTGCGTCTCTGCAGCATTGAAGTCGCTCCCCTCTGTCTCTAAAACCATCGCACCTGCCCCCCCTCCCTTCCTCCCACCCATCCCGATGGATGGGCCGAGTGAGATGAATGCTGAAGAGATTAATATATCCGGCGTACACTGCAATGTAAATGCTACACGCGAGCGTTAAATGGCTTTGAATTACAGAGGTTGACGGTTCGATTTCACTGGCCGCGCTGATTAACCATATTGATATGCGCCGCCTGCTTCACAGTGGACGTTAATGATCCCCGTGGCGCTATTTGCAAGAGCAGGCAGGCCGTTGTATGTGTTGGCATCACAGTACACATTTAGAAAATAACCCACAAATTACTCAATTGTTCCATTGGAACCTCATTTGCCAGTAAAAAATATGATAATTGTTTTTTTACCCTTCTATCTGGCAACAAAACTGACACCTTTTTTACAAGAAGTCATGTTTGCATAGACCACAATACCTGCAGTCATAATGCAAACAAAAAACATAACTCTGATAAGGACAGTACATACATGATCAGAGTTGTGTTTTTTATTTCCTGGTGAAACAAAATAAAGGGATAACTTCAAACTTGCAACTAAAGCCTTTCCTGATAAAAAAAATAGATAATTGGCAGTCATCTCAACTGATTAATAATTATATTGTTGGTTCTTTCTGTAAAGTCACATAGAAGGAAAATAATAAAATAATTATAATAATTATAATTATCAAATGGAAAAAAAAGAGTAGAAACTCCACATTCCCCTGGTGGAAGCCAGTCTCTCCAGAATAACCCGGCTGGTGAATTCCTACAAAGTGGACCTCATTCAATCCACAGAACTACAATCTGTATCTCCACATATAAATACAAGTACGTTTTAGTCCAGGTCAATATTATCTGGCAGCATTTATTTCAATCTGCTTGCATCGATCTGCCAGCGAGGTATTTCTAAACATCCCCAGGGCGTGATGACAAACATCTGGGGCCATTTCCTCTGCTTACACAGCTCCTACCCCACTGTGGTATTCCCTTCCTCGTCGGATAAGGGAACTCCGAGACTGTCCAATGTGCTAAAAAAATACTTTAGATGTAACCTGTATAGCGTGGCATTTACAGATGAAAACTAAATTTATGTTATAAAAGGTATGGGTGCAGAATAACCTAGTTATATTAATTGCATTGTTTTAAAAACAATTGTACAGAGGATAATTATTAATGTATAGGGACCCTTGGTTTTAGGAAAGGCGCCGTAAAATAAATAACGTTTAATTGATTGGTTTCAGAAAGAAATATCTGGACCAGTTTCAACCTTCTAGGTGTTATGAACAGTCAGGCTTGCTAAGCAAATTCTGTTGGATTACCAAGGGCCTGTGGGCCGAGTCATCTTCCAACCAGGATTAGAGCTCACATAGCCTTGCTGACCATGGGTTGTCTACTCTGAAATGCAGTGCCACCCAGCTGGATCGAGTTAACACAAAAGACGCACCAACATTCAATTTGGCAGCAGCTGCTATAAACAGAGGGCTGCTTTTGGATTGTTGTGTCAGTCTCATGCACATGATAAAAAAAAAACAATTTGAACGCCATTAGCAGTTCAAATAAAGCTGTCTCCAGATTATGTCGCATAATGGGGATTCAATGCGGAGTGGGGGTCCCAGATACGTTACCCGTGCTGGCTACAGTTCTATCGTTGCTGGTAGTGAGTAAGGCTTCAGCTGCACCAAACACTGCCACACATCGGAAGCCATAGAGGGAATATTTAGTTTCACATGTGTGTATACATTACAGCACTGAGTCTAATGAGGGTCGGTTGTTGCTATAATAGCGCCATGGTGAAACTGTGTGTCACGCAATAGGGAAATCAGACTAACTACACTTATACTAATTAGACTATTAGAATGTAAGAAATGCAGCCATTGAAATTGTCATGTTACTCATAAAGAATGAAATGGAAAGCATTGAAGTATTTCGTAAGAAAACAAATAACTGACATATGGACGCATTTCTATTGTACATTACTGCATGTTTCCGAAATATATGTTAAAAAATTATACATTCATTATTAATGTACAGGGTAATTGATACGTTTAATATGCTTGCAACATAGCCAGGGTATGTCTACAGGCTCTCATAATCATTACGCCCCCCCCTGCCCCATCCGTGATAAATTGTCCTGGCATTGATTCTGATGTCATCCTCACCAATGGCAAACATCTGAACCTGTCTGGCGGAAAGCAGGCTCGACGCGGAATAATGTCATGGCCACCTCACACCCCTGCCCTCGTGCCAAGGGTGGAGCGCTTAATGAATGCCGGTGCACGACCGCACTGCCATTGCCTTTGTTTACACCACGATAGCTCCGTCTTTTCCGGCTTCGCTTCGACAGAGACTTCTTAAATGCTTTTTAAAAATGTACTTACTTTGTTTTTTTGGTTCCAGGTAAGGCCCACTGAGCAATTACTTTTTTTTTTCACAAGCGACCCGGCCACAAATGATAGCTCCACGAAGTGGCTTATCGCGTGCAAATTTACAGCAGCCAAAAACGCGTGATGTTGATTCTAAATTCGGAGGGAAAACCAGAGGACCTGGAGAAAAATCGACACTATCATGGGGAGAGAGAATATGCAAACGCCATATATCAGGTGGCAGAGCCAGGATTGAACCCCACGACCTCCTGCATGCCGGGCGAGGTAGTTAACATCTTACCACTGCGGCGCTTCCAAAGGGAAAGTCGAGCTTAATGGGAGAGTCTAGCCAGCGCCAGTGATTCTGATCGTAGCTATTTTAGATAGATTTTTTGTGATCCAGAACACTCAACTGGGGGGGGAGGTTGTCCTTCACCCTGTGTGGATTTACAGGAGCTGAAAAGCGACTTGCGCAAGAGACGTCTGGAGAGGGACCGCGTTGCTATTTCTGTGACTGAAGCCTCCTCTGTCACAGATGGTTCTCTATTAAAAAAAAATGTCTGAAAGAGTTTTCCTAGAAAAAATGAGAGCTGACGCAAAAAGCCTGATCAGCTGTAAACATGAAATTGCTGCAGAGCACACACACACACATTATGTAAGCAGGGTATGTTCACCGTTTGGCTACTTTTTGGCTACTTTTTGGCAGCGTGTCGCAGCACTCAAGAATGTACATTATTTAGATGCTCACGATAGAGGCAACTGTCGCGGTTACTTTACTTGAGAATTGGTACCTCGCGCCCAGTTCACCTTGTTTATAATAACACTACTCTCCGTGGTTTTTCTTTTGCCTCTGACCAAATCATCCAGAATGCGCCTAATCTCCTCAGACCTCACGAGCTAAGCTGGTTTTGAGCCTGGATATTGCTTAAATGGGCGACCACCACCGACAGCTGTTATCGGCCGAGGGGCTATATGGTGGCGAGCAGAGCGGAAACATCCATTCTTGTACTGTACTACTATGTTTCAACATCGGTGCTCCCCACCTTCACTGAACCGCGCTGACCGGCGTGGCGAAGTAACCCTCACGACCCGCACGGCGTGCACAGCCTGTTTTGCACATGCACACGTGAGTTTGACAAATGTAGAAAGATTCAAGAACGATTCACCCCCCCCCCTCTCCCCCCACCACGTCTGGTGACCGGCCCGGTCCGTTTCACGTGAGCCAAGGCAGCAGGGAAACACGCACGCATGTGGAAATGTGAGACAGTATGTAGCCGACCGTGCAAATCTATGGGTCTCGGTGTGTATACATGTACGTTGAACTTCCTTTGCGCTGTACGTAAGCCAACCGTGCTAATCGGAGGTGCGTAGGGGTGCAGGAGTGGCCGTATGCCCGCGTAACATTGTCGTGGTTTACAAACCCGCCCACCTTCGCCAAGATGCAGCTCAACTTCCTACTGCACTGCTGTCCCTTCCGTACAATATAACCTCCCTTGCTTTATTTGTTGCACAAACATCAAATTACTTGGTTGGCGACGCCGTAAATAACAATTAACTAAAGCGCAGCGTATTCGTCAATGACGCCTCAGGCGAGGACCACGCTACGTGGACATGCCTCTGAAGGAGGGCCGCAGTGAGAGGCCTCACCTGTTGCACACCTTTCTTTTCATGGCCATCTCTGAAAAAGAACTTCATAGCTCATCGGATTTCTCCACGATAAATAAAGACCCTGATTTTGAAGGCCGTGTCGAGTTGTTTTGTTATTATTTGATGTTTAAGCGAACTGCAACATTAAGTGCACGTATTGGTTGTTTTTTATATTTAAAAAATGTTATTGTTGCTTTCTGTGTAGTTGCCGTCATGAAAACTGTCTGTTTGGGCATGTGCTGAAGTGGCTTCATTTCCGCCCGGGACTTGTGCGTGCTTGCTTGAGCACAACATACACAAAGCGTGCCTCTGGGAGTAGTCACATTCTCAAACACTGCGTAACGGTTAAGTTTTGCGATGTTAAGTCAAGATACACAATGAAAACTGCCTTCGTGATGGTCACATATTATAATTGTCATTGGTCCAAGGAAGGAATAGAGGTCATAAAAACGTCAGTGATCTAAAAGTCCTCTTACGAAGAAAAACTGAGCAGTAATATCTAAAAAGCAACACAATTTATGGCACACTTCTACTGCAACGTAGTTAAATAAAACTCTCGTAATAAAACCGGTAGTTATTTAAAACTAATAGCTACCTGTCAAAACGATCTGTAGGACACCACAAACACCTACTACAGTGTAAGACAAAGCACAAAATGTCACCGCAAACTGCCGCATGCGGCATTTACAAAGGGGAGCAAAAAGAAAACAGCCACCTCAATCTTCTCTTCCATCTGCCTGCCGTCTCCTCGACACTTGAGGCACCTGTGCAGCTCCTGCCTCAGCGAGGGGATGCTGCAGCACGCGGCATCGTCCAGGCCGCTCTCCGCCACCCAGCGGGGCCCGCACGCCGTGTCCTCCTCCCCCTCCGCGGGGCCCGGCGAGTCCGAAAAGTCCGACTCGAAAAGGAACGACTCGTCGGATGTGGCCGAGCCAAAGGTCTTGTCGAGGGAGCGGCCACCGCCGCCGCCCTTCCCCTCGTCCGCCCTCGCGTCGTCCATCTCCCACCAGCCGGTTTCAGCCTGCCACCCGTCGGGCGAGCTCGCCCCGGAGTCGCGCGAGCCCGCGTCGGACAGGAAGGCGCCGCTGGAGCCGGGCGATCCCGCGGGGAACGCGGGTGACGAGGTGCCCCCGCCGCTCCTGCCGGAGGCCTTGCCCTCACTGCTGTCGCCATCCCAGGGCTCGCTCACGGGGCTGAAGGCGTGCGGGGACGCGACGCCGGAGGACGTGCCCGACAGCTCCCAGTCGCTGACGTCGCACACCCTGGCGCCCGTCGTGCCGCGGCGCAGCAGCGTGTCCAAGCCATCGAGCTTCAGCGAGAGGAAGCCGGGCTCCCGCAGCAGCAGCAGCGACGGCAAGGCCATGTACTCCTGGGACTCGCCGCTCGGGGAGACGTCGTCTCTGGCCGTCGCGGCCACGTTGTTCGAGCCGAAGTCGATGGGCAGAGGATCGATCGTAGGCGCGGCGTCGCTGCTGGCGAGGGCCAGGTAGGCGTCGTCCCTCCGGCTCCGAGCATCCGGTGCCTGTGCGGCGTTCCCGACGACGCAGTACTGAGACTCGGAGGCCGCCGGTGCCGACGAGCGTGGAGGGCTCTGCGGGTTGAAGTGCCGGCGGTTGCTCACTCTCTCCGCGCGCCCGTCGTCGCTGGGTCCGCGCCGAGATGGGCGTCCGCTCCTCCCGCGAGCGACATCCTCGTCGTCGTCATCGTCTGCCTTGGGGCGTGAGGAGGCCTGGAAATACTCGCAAGCTCGGCCCTGGGCAGCGGCGGAATCGTCCCTCGGACGCCGATTCGTGCCCGGGCGGGACGATCCTTCCGTCGCATTGACATACGCCGACCCGTCCGCGCGATTGTCCACTTCGCCAGCGTTTACGTTTCTCAGGTTCAAATGTATCTGCGTCGGGCGTCCAAGAAAAGCCACCGAGGAGGCAGCATTCAGCGCCGTGTTGAATGTGGTGATGCTGTCCCGAGTGTCGTTCCACTGCTTGTTGGTCATGCCCACGCTTCCTCCGCTCGGCGCTCTGCCCAAAGCAACGCTATAACCGATTTCCCCCGATGCTTCCACGCCAGCCCCCTGATACGTCGCATCGTGTGATCCGTCTTCATCTTCATCCAAGGAAATATCGCTTTCGCTGCGACTCTCGTCTCCGCCAACGGCACCCATGCTCGCATTTCCACACACATCCACGAATGATTGTTGGACACCGCTAACCGACCCAAAAAATGACATCTTAAGGTAGGAAGCATCAGCCGCATTCATCCCAGCACAGACGCTGCCCCGTGTATTTCTCGGCGGCAACGAATCAGAGTCGCTGTCCGAGTCCCTGACTTGCTCCGAACCCGCGCCGGCGTCTTTCGCCTCATCGAACAGAGAAGGGGTCGCCACATCAAGGGGACGCGACCGTCCCTCCGGGGCGGCGTCCGTCGGCCGCGTCGGGGTGGCGCTCCCGGCTCCGCCCGTGCCCGGCGGCAGCGCCAGCGACGGCGGGGAGGGCGGATCATCCTCCCGGGGGCTGTAGGCCGAGAGCTCGGAGGCCGTGATGCCGCAGTCCAGCGAGAAGTAGTCGGCCGGGCGGCGAATCAGCAGCTGCGTCTCGCTCTGCTCCTCCTCTTCCTCCTCCTCCTCTTCCTCCTCATCGTCGTCCATGACGATGCCCATGCAGTTCTGCGAAAGACAGACAGCAGGTTAAAACGAGGCGGTGCTGGGTCTGTATTTTTAAATTATCTCGCCGGGGGTTAGAGTGCTCAGCTCACAAATGGACTGCTGTGAGTTCAAATCCCAGTTGGGCAGGGGGGTTGGGGGGATCAATATAGCATCGCACCCCTCCATAGTTGATAAAAGGACCACATTATGGGAAGACAAAAGTGACTGTCTCATGGATGGACAGACTGAACACTGCCGTAAGAATGTGAAATCTTCACTGCTCGCTCAGGGCTGCTAACAGGGATGATTTCCACCTCAGACTCTGATTGGGTCCTGGCACCAGTGGTGATTAGTTTATTGACTGTGGTGAGATGTAATTTACTCACTCAGGAAAGCCTCTCAAGACGCTTTAGTGAGGAGGGTTACACACTGAAAACACTTGGCCAATTCCATTCACGAGCACATGGCTTTTACAAGCCAGATTGGACTCCCGCTTGGGATTTGAGATTCTGACCTTGCTCTGCATACTGCGAGACAGGCACCCTGCTGCAAGTCACAACAGCCAGCCGCAAGCGCGAGAGTAAAACAACAACAAAAACAAGTTTACACAATGGCTCTTCATTCCTGCGTTGCGCCATCACTTAGCGCGCAGACAGCGCCAGACGCTCCAATTAGACTCATTTCTAAATGCAGCTGACAGACGCACAGCGCGCTGGGAGCAGAACTAAATACCGTCACGTCTCAATTATCGCGCGCCGCGATACGTTTTCAAAGCGGCCGGACAATCGGAGCCCTAACCGTTCCCCGTAAACTTTTCTTCCCCTGAATAGTCAAATGGCTCTTGAGCACTGTGAGAGACAGGTTTGGGGCTCCGGGCTTCTGAGAGGGCTCTCTTAGCACGACTCATAGGACACGGCCGGCATTAAGCGCTCGCTCGCTCCCTCCCTCCCTCGTAGACAATCACCTCACACCCACCCTGCCCCCGAACACATGTCGTATCAATGAAGGAGTTGCATTTGTGTCCGCTAGGGAGTCTAGTCAAACAGGGCCCATCTGTTAATGGCAGCTACCGAACGACTTGCCGCACTTGGGGCGTAGAGCCCTGACCTCGACTAAACTATTTTTATTTTACTAGGTAAGACCCAATGAGCAATACAACTTTTTTTTTCAGAAGCGAACTGGCCACAAATGATAGCTTAACGAAGTGGTGTATCACGTAGAAATGTATAGCAGAAAGGCTTGTCCCAGTATCCAAACCCATAGTGAAAATGGAATTTTTGTCCTCGTTTAAAATGTTCCGGCTTCATGCATGGCTCATGATACTGAAAAAGAGTAGGGCTACCTGAGTAGAAGTCGAGGTTAGCAGAGGAATAAGCGGGGACAATTCCAGTTGAGCCTCCCAGAAATATGGTAAACTTATGATGCAGCCTTCATGTAAAGGTTAGCACAATGGACTTGCAATCGAGAGGTTGCCGGTTTAATCTCCTGGGAAAGTTTTTACTATGGGTAAACCAGTCAATCGGCAGGTCGCGAGTGGTGGGATAAAATGTGGATACTCACACCTCTCTTATATGATCAGCCAGTACGGCTGAAGAGGTCAGACACCCTCTAGAGGGGCTTTGCACCTTTGACCTTCTCTTGATCGCTACGGCCAACGTCCCGGCACTCACCCGGTGCACTTCGTCCTCCTCCTCCTCCTCCCGCTGCTCCTCCTGCTCCTCCTGCTCCTGCTCGTGGGCACCGTCGCCACGCATGTCGGCAGCGGCCGTGACGGTGGGGACGTGCGCAGTGGTGGCGCGGAGCTGCAGGCCGCGCAGCACGCGCTCACGCAGCAGCAGCGTGGAGACGCGCAACCGGTGCCACAGTAGGTGCACGGCCTGGATGTCGAGCAGCACCTGCACGGAGACGGCGAGCAGCCGCAGCGGGAACTCGGCCTCCTGGAGCGCGTGGATCACCTCCACGTGCTCCCAGATCTCCTCGCAAATCTCCTGCAGAGAGAGAGAGAGGGAGAGAGATGATGCTACCGGCGTCGATTTCCCGTTACCGCACCGATAGCAAGCGTCGCCGTCTATTCAACTATTTTTTTCTTAAACTATTTTTGTTTGACCAGGTAAGGACCACTGAGCTATATAGCGCTGTTTCAGAAGCGGCCTGGACACAAATGTTAGCTCCGAGAAGTGGCTTCAAATGTGGACATTTATAGCAACCAAATACTGTAAACACGTTTCTAAATGTGGAGGGAAAAACCGGAGGACCCGGAGAAATATCCACACGACCATGGGGAGAACATGCAAACTTCAAATATGCAGGCGTTAGGGTCGGGAACGAATCCACGAGCTCCTGTATACCGGGCGAGGGAGTTAACATCTCGCCATTGCAGCGGTTATCACGATGACAAGACTGTTGGGACACCAGCACCATCGTTGTTGTCACCGTCATCGTCTGACGAATATCGAGATTGGCACGACTCACAATAATCATTTGCATCGTTGTGGAGAATATTTATATTTCAATAAGCAGACAATGTCTCCTTCACATAGCCGTCTCTCCACATAAAGAAGGCTGTTTGATCATCATAATCATAATCATCATTGTTGTCATCTTTGTAACGCTAATTATATCACCACCATCATCTGAAGACGTTCATAATCATCATAATCAGCATAACAATTGAATAATAATTGTTTTTTATAAAGCCACTCTCATTGTTTTGGCTGACTGGCCTTTTTCCTGTAATTAACACAAGTTCACTGAAGCAGAAAATGGACAAATAATTATCATATACTGAAGGCTATCATCGTCATTAACGGGTAAATATTTTTTTTTATTTGTTGAACGGTCACTGTCATCATCTGAAGATTGTCATCATTAAATAAGGGTGTTATTTAATCATCATCGTCATTAGCAGCAACATTTTGCAATGATTACCATCATCATAAGACTATCATACGTATCGTTGCACCTATTGTCATGGAATAAAAAAGGCGCACAGGCCTGAATTACTAATTATAGCGCTGTGCTTCGAGTGCTCATTTCACAAATGGATGGCTGTGAATTCAAATCCCACTTGGGCTATCAAATAAGCATATCATCCATCCAGCGATAATCAAATTAGAACCACTTCGTTTTAAGAAACAGCAGTTGTCTAATGGACACACTAGACCACTGCCATGGGAATGTGGAATTTCCATCACTGGCTCCGTTTGCTAACAGAGACGAGTTCGACCCCATACTCGCGTAAGTAGGGAAGTACTTTGACTTTTTTTGTTTGTTTACATTCTGAACAAAGAAACTACTCTCAAAATAGGGTTGATAACATCTATGCACCCAGACAAAACAAGGCAGACGTACAGGCACAACACACAGACGGATCATAGATGCACTATACCAGGCTCAACTCGGAAATGTCAATACAATTTTATCACAACCAGGCCAAGATTCGAATCTGTAAATTATACGAAAATGCCATGATAACCGAATAACTGTGTAAGGCTGGTAAACCAAACTTCTCAGACAAGGCACACAAATGTGTGAAAAAGCCACACAGCCTTTTGTGCATATGCAAAAAATCCCAACTGCAGTTTCTGGAGAAGTGCATAATGGTCCTCTTGTTTGAGATCTAAATTAATTAATTGGAGCAGATGTAACCATGACAGCAGCACTAGAATTTTGCCATCACTAAAACGCTGCTGTCAGTTGGTCACGTTTGCTCCCATTTATTTTTAAATCCTTTATATTAAGTTCACTTGCTTGCTTGCTTGCGCGCTTACGACCGTGCAAATCTTTCGCTCGTTTTTTAACCCACTTCCCGTGATCCAATCGAGCTGACATTTGACACACAGACTCGTTGTGCGTGACAATTAATTTTCGTGAAATTTTTTTCCAAATTTTTACACTTTTTAGGGAAAAAATAATTATATTTAATTACCAATTGCTTAATGGTGGCAGGCAATCATCTGACCCATAGGTGGCAGCCATCTCAAGCCAGAGGACGAAAGGACTCTAGCCACCACACATATAAAGGATTTATAGTGAAAAACTTAGTTTTTACGGGTTAATTTTTTTTATCTATTAATTTGCTGTGATGGTCATCTAAGACAAGAGGAACACAATGCATTTCTTCCGGAAAATGCTAATGGGGGTTTCTTTTTGCATACACTCGAGAAATAAAGCCGTGTTGCTTTTTAACACGTTTTTTTGCGTCTTGTTTAAAACTCGGGTGGCCACGGTGGAGAGACGTTAACTACCTCGCCTGGTAGACAGGAGTTTGTGGGTTCGAACCCGACCTTGACGCGTGTATGCGTGTTCTGTTTGCATGCTCTCCCCGTGGTTACACAACTTATTTTCCGGGTCCTCTAGTTTTTCCCTCCACATTTATAAATATGCTCTTCGCGTATTTGGCTGCTACAAACTTCCACATAAGCCACTTCGTTGAGCTGACAAAGAGCTATATAGCTCAGTGGGCCTTACCTGGTTCAATAAAAAAAAATGCGTCGTTGAGTTTAACTTGACGAAAGATCCGTTTCTGCTTGAGAAACTCCCAAACGGCAATGATTTCCTTATTACAACTACTCAGCAACACCGCAAGGCAAACACTCTTTGAGAGATATAAATACTGTACACATCACGCGTGGAGCTCAACCACCGGAGCGGGAACAAGAACAGAACGATGATGACGCACAAGCCCCTGCGATAAATTACACAGATAAACTTATTTTTTGTTGCGGGAAATTGAGAGCGCGACACGTGTCCGTTGTGTCCACGGCAATTTGTAAGTGATCGTGAAAGTTGCCTTTGCCTTCGCTAGTTCACGTGCAGAGTGTGGAGGACGCCCCTGGTGAAATGCTTGAAGGTGTGTGCAGAAATAATGGCCTTCGAAGACTTCGATTTCTTTTTTTAAGATGGCAATAAAACCTAAAAGCCCTCTCTATCGACTATGAGAAAGATGTTCCCGTAGGGTGGTAGCCGGTGCTTTTTTTAAACACTAATTAACACGTTGGAACATGCCACAGTGTTCAATACCATATTGTTGTTACATAGTACAGTCCAGTGCCATCACATTGTAACGCACAGTTCCATCATAAAAATACCATCACACGAGAATACCAAAACAAACAAAGACAAATATCCCCCATATAGTCTCAACAGGCTTTTGGGGCAAGTGCTGTTAGCGAGTAGCCCCTTGGAAGGCACACAAGGTGGTGGGGTAGCCAGCACCACTTCCCGCCGCATTTTTCTCCACTATTTGCGACATTTACGCACCAGACCAGGCACTAATTTGAGGCTGAGTCGACCTAGGGGAGACCCAGGACCCGGTCAGATAATCGTCGGTAAACAAACACGTAAACACAAGCAGAGCAGCATTACATGTGGGCACTGGGGAGGAGGGGTGACTTGCCAAAGAGGCAGCCGATAATGGACGTCTCTTGGCCAAACTCCTTTTAAAGAACCCATTAGGTATACAGCCATAAGCAGCAGGGATTTGTGGGTAATGCTGTAATGGATATAGATTTGTTTAGAAGTTATTACGCCACGCCTGAGCCGGTGTCTTTTCGGGTAATGATGCTTCGTGACAGATGGGGGACATTATATTTTGGTGTAATTTTGCCCACCCCTCCACGTGCGCTCAAAACAAATCTCAAAGAATTCCCCAGGATTAAACTGATAATTTCTCAAATCCACTCGACCTTAATCTTCGACTTTGCCAATCGTCTGTAATTATAAATCCGAGCATTTTAAATCACGGCCGTGCACGAATTATATCTCTATCGTAATCTTGACGAGCACGCAAACGCCTTGCCGAATTGTTCTCGCCACGGCATTGTCCGGAGCGGTGTTATTCTTGCTCGTAATCCAGCGAAGTGCGAAGCCGCCCTCGGACGCATTCATCGGCCTCTTGCTCGCCACCCTCCCCCGAAACAGCTCCCCCTCCGCTTTGTGAGGATGACAGCAGAGTCAGGCGTTTGTCCATTCAGGGCCCGCTTTGGTAGGCACACAAGGCAAGAGGAGGGGGGACGAGGCAGCGGTGGAGGGGGTGGAGTGGGGTAACGTGGCCAGCGTCGATCGTCCGTCAAGGAAATCCGACGCAAGTAGCAAGAGGGATTACGAGCGTGCGACGGGGGGGGGGGGGGTGCTGAGCCAATTCGGCGAGGGCACCGTTTGACAATGGCTCACTCTTGCGAACGCTGTCGTGGGATCTTTTGACGCCCACTGGCAGATTGGGGGACACACATGCAGATCGACTCTCCACCGCGTTTCGTGTCGCCGTCGGTTAGTTCGCAGTTCATTTTCCCTCCCGCCGCGTGTGACATTTATGCGAGCCCATAAACGGCGGATGCCCTCACAGCAGAATTTAAGGCCGAGTCTTTGTGGAAGCTATAAACTTAAGAATTATCAAAGGATGCCTTTTTGGGTCGGGTACAGTTTTAAAAGTTTAAGACACCCCTCCCTACCAACGCCCACATATCCCTAAATGTTAAAACACGTCATTTGTAAACGTTTTGGGCACCCTTTTTTCTTAATCGACAGCTGTTCACGTTGTTGGCGTTAGACAGTTACACGTAAAACAAACATAGAGGCTACATCGCAAGGCACAAACAGACGCCGTGTCTTTAAAGGTTCAGCAACTTGCCCAACGAACATGGAACGTTGGGGGGGGGAGCAAACGTTGGGGCTCAAATCGCGTAAATATCATTGCGTCGTTAAACCCATCACATATGGCTCTCGCCTGATGATGCTCGTTGTAATTTGCTGGCGAAACGTCGAACTCGAAGTGTAAATGTCGCGGGTTCCCTCTCCGGTGTGCTGCACTAGTAACCAATCGGCATGTTTTGTTTACGTGACAAGCCTTACTAATTGGCCACGTCAGGTGGTGGCGGGTTGAACGACACATTTATTGATCACGCCATCGAACCCAACAAAAACCTCCACTACAAACACTATTGGTCGCGCAAGCTCACGAGTTATAAACTATCGGGCTCGAAGCTGG